TATACTAGAAAGTTAGTGGGAGTAAGTTTATATTTCTGATTCTATATATTGATGATATTTTATTTGTTAGTAGTGATCTTAGTTTATTATATGAAACTAAAAGTTATCTCTAAGAACTTTGAAATGAAATATATGGATGACGTATCCTACGTGATAGAAATATAAATATTTCATGATAGATCACGTGAATTTTTAAAATTGTCTCAGAAAGTATATATTGAAGAAGTTCTAGAAAGATTTGATATGGACTATTGTTCAATTAGTATTGTTCCATATCAAAAAGGGGATAAAATCAGCCTAATGCAATCCCAAAGAATGATTTAGTTAGAAGTTAAAGAAACGAAAAATATTCCTTATGCATATATTGTGGAATTTGATGTATATACAAGTTAGTAAGGGATAAAAGATTATATGCTCACACTTAAAAAGATATTTTTTAATTGGTTATTTGTTTATTTTGGCTGAAAGAACAATATTATGAAAAAATATAAAGTAATTTTTTATTACTTTGTCTATTATAAATTTATAGTGTACACTGCTGATTATTTTACTAAACCACTACAGAAGTTATCATATGTGCCAAGTGAGAGAATGTAAGATTATTTATTTAATTGTGGCCCACATGATTTAGACATGTGACATATTATTTGGTGGTTAAATAAAATAGATATCAGATTAATATTATATTATTTGGTCAACTTATAAATTACATTTTTGGTAATTATTTATTGGAGAAGTGTTTTCCTTTCTTGTTCCTTACTTTGGTGGAAAGTGGAATTAGGTTACTAAAAGGAAAATGGGTTCTCTTCTACCTTTATAAAAGTGCATATACTCTATCAATTATGTACACACAACACGTAAAAGTTTTATGTGTGCAAAAGGCCAAGAGAGATAAATCGGTTTCCACGTTTTGACGCAGTTTAGCATGTTGTTCGTTTTATGTGTGCAAAAGGCCAAGAGAGATAAATCGGTTTCCACGCTTTAACTATTGTAGTTTAGTATGTTATTCGTTCCGCAGAAAGGACCTCGACGTTTGCCTTAATCTCTTCGAGTTTTACAATTACAAATCGAGGTATTTATATCTAACTATTTATTTATGTATTATATATATGTGAAAATCATGAAGTTCTAAGATATGGGATTCATGTAAATTTGTGATTAATGGTTTTCACGAATTATTATAGTTTACAGTACAAAGATAATACCTGAAAAAGTGTTTTTCTTCTACGCGTTAGTATTTCCATGTGTAAGTAATAATTTCAAAAAATTATTGCTGGGCCATATGCTCAAGACTACTAGTATTAAAATGGTCTTATCGATAAATAATAAGTACATATATATAAATTGTTAAAAACTTAATAAAATTACATGAGAATGAAGGTTACTTTAATCAAATTTGGAAAAAGAAAGAGAATATATAAAAATATGACTAAAGTGTGTGTGATTTTCTCCTTTTGTTTTTATTTGGATGTAAAATATTTTTAAATTTTTATTTTTGGATGTGTGGTTGTCGTAAGTAAAGTATTTAGAACAAAAAAATATAAAACTTAACAAAAATAACTTACTCATCAAATATGGCAAGTTATTTTACACGATTCACCTCATTAAACTTGACATCAACCTTGACATTTATCAAATATGGAAAAAATAAAAATAAAAGTATATATTTTATCTTAAAAATATATATCTTTTCTAAAAATTAATATTTTATTTCGAAACAATGGAGGCCAAATAAATTTTAATTTGGCTGTGCAATCCTTGCATAGAGCGAGCGGTGGACTGTAGTCTGCAACAAAGCACTTCAAAACAAGACAATTCACTTCAAAATAGCTTGTATCTTCTAAATCATTTATTTATCTCTCTCCTCTCTCTCTTAAAAGAACTTCCAAAAACATGATTTCCCGTCTTTTATTTTTTCGCAATGGGACAAGGGAAAATGGGCAATATATTTACTTTTTCCTTTTCGTCCATCAAAAGTCAAACCGTCACAGTGGTTTGTCTTTGTAGCAGTTTGTACCAATGGTATATACTTTTAACACCTCGTGTACAAATTTAAATTGTAAATTGTTTAGTAGGGATAAAAGCCGCCATGGCACCATCGTAGCTTTAGGGGACCAACACTTTGATGTAGGACGTTAAGATATAAAAAACAATGGCACGACCCGGTATATATATATTTATATATTGATGATATAGTGAGTGGTGAAAAATATATATATATATATAGAGAGAGAGAAGGATGGTTTGTCATCATAGATGTAAGACAAGAGGTTAAAATGGTAATTTGACAATTGTCTTTATGTAGTTGTCTCTGTTGAAAGATTCCTGATCCCTTATATTTGTCGCATCATTTTTAAATAAAAGGCTACTCAATTGCAGCACTATTCCATGGTATCCGCGATTTTATCTTTTTATATGCCTATTTATTTCATGTGGCTCAACCTATTCACATGAATTGATGGATGACAAACAAGTCCCAATAATTGAGTAAATTATTGAATGGTTCTTCTTTTTCAGCTTATCTCTAGCTAGCTTTTTTTATTTATTTATTTTTCGAAATCATTCCACTTGTGATTAAAATGATCAACTCTTGCTTCTTTTTAAAGGAAAAGTTAACCTTTTATTTTTCACTCAAAAGGCATACTTCCCACCTAGTAAAACACCAATAATCAACGATCCAGTGATGGTTGAACATTTTCAAGTTTAAAAATAATAATGCTTTTAAAATAAAAAATGGAATCAAAATGTTTTTTTATAATGTTGGGTACTTTAAAGCAGAATTCAAAGAGATGATAAACACGCATTTCTTCTAATTTGATGTATTTTTTTCTTGTTGTCTGGAACACTTGCATTATTAGATAGAAGATTCACAAGCGGTTTCTTCTAATAATGCCAGGCAAACAAAAAATTATATGTAAAAAATGATGAGATAGAAGATTTACGAGCCGTTTTGAGATAAAATAACATCAACTTTTAGTACTACTATATGATATATATATATATATATATATATATATATATATATAATATTTTCGAAATATGATATTTAACTGCTGTATCTCAAGTGATCAAAAAGAAAAGAAGTTTCAAGTGATCTAAAGTGGGAAAAATGAGAGTAGGTACTAGGTATCATTTCAATAATATTTACAGGCCCAATAAATTTAAGACCAGCCCGAACATGAATCAATACAACCAGTTCAGCAGAAGCAGATCAGGCCTATATACACTCAACCTGAAGGTTCAAGTTTGGGCTGTGTTTGGGGTGACCCATTTGGGTTGATTACAGTAACTTAGCTCGTTATTGTATGAATGTGCCAAATTTGAACTCACTTTTTTCTTTTTCGGTAAAATAAATTTGAACTCACTTTCTTGTCCCATACTGTAGTAATTCTGAGAGTCTGACACTACATTTGACGGTTTGAAATTATCTACACATTTAAGGCTCAACCGCTACTTGTTGAGTTTGTTCACTCCAAGGTTGATCTTCCACTTCTCACACTTTTACTTAAAATTTAAAGTTTTATGTTAGAGATTAAAATTAAAATATAGAATTTTATGTTGTTTGATAAAATTTAAAATTAAGTATTGAAAATATTAAAAGTTATCAACAGAGTCAAATATGTGAGAAATCAATTAGTACTTAGGAGTTGTTTGGTAACGTTTTCATTTTTGTGTTCAAGCCTGTGCGTTATAGCCCAACCCGTGGATCTTGGATAAAAAACCTAGAAACTGTTTGAGCAAAGTAATCCAGATTCAATCCAATATTTTGAATTTTTTCAAGCCTTTAACTAGAAAAAATAAAAAATAAAAAATAAAAAAATGAGCACATTCTAACAATGTAATATTATATTTATCACCCAATTTCTAAGCTATCAATCATTTATATATCTATTGGTATATATTTTTTTCCCTGTACAACAACATATATCTTTGGTTTTTGATTTGGCCAATCTCTAAGGTTTGAATCATAATAAGATTGAGAGAATCAGGCATGATTAAGAGATAAAAAGTGAGAGTGAGTGACTGGCCAAATATTTAGGGTTTTAATTATGGAAGAGTAAGTATCAAACACAATGAGAATGATAAAGGTTAACTTTTAAAAAAGAACAAAAAAATAAATACTTGAAGAGAATATGGCATGAGTGACTGGCCAAATATTTAGTGTTTTGAATATGGGAGAGTAAGCATCAAATACGACGAATATGGGAGAGTAAGCATCAAATACGACGATAATGATAAATGTTAACTTTCTGAAAAGAACAGAAAAAAAGACTCGAGGAGAACTGGACATGAATATGAAGAGAAAATAAGGAGCAAATTTAAAAGATTTATGAGCTATATAAAAAAAAGGTACTAGTAATAAATGTATAATTTTGGAATAAGATGGAATATATTTTCCTTAATTCAGTCAGTAACAAATAGAAACAACTTATTTTTGTTTCATAAAACGGGAGCTTTGGAGATTATGTTTCCAAAATTAAAAATAAAAATAAAAATACCAAACATGATTATTTATTTTCTAATGTTTTGGAAACAAGAAACATGTAATAGAAACATTAACAAAAGACCCATTTACTTTTTTTTTTTTTTTGTTTTTGCACGAGACACACTCATATACTGATTTTGTTTATTTGGGATGCCAATTCACCCGGTCCTAACCCTATTGAGGTGGATTTAAGATTATCCCAATAAAATTTAAATCTTGCACAACTCCAAAACTGCTGCATAACAGTTAATATATAAAATAAATATTTTTTTATTAGTTATAATTTTTTTTTTCATTATAGTTTTAAGTTTCTTAGTATAATTGTTAAATATTTAACTTTATTATAAATTATTTATAAAATTTGTTTTAAGTTTGAATTATGACATATTCCAAACTAAATTAGAAAAAAATAAAAAAATAAATAATGGGACGGGTTTGAAAATTGAAGGCTCGGTGCCGACCTCTGTCCCATTTAACATCTCTTGCATAAACCGGACAAATGGTCGTGTTATTGAGTTGCAAGTTGTTCCATAAAAGGAATCAATTTGCGTGAAGCCCTCAACACCTGGATGCAAACGACCCTTGTAACGGTTGTTCCAAGAATCGATTCGATTCAACAAAAGTGGTCCCCACCTGCTTTTGCCACGAACTCACGCAGAACAGGCTTGAAGCAAAGCATCAAGCAAACCAAGTTGACAAGAGAGAAGACAGCGTCAATAGGGGAGAGAGAGAGAGAGAGAGAGAGAGCGAGCGAGAGAGAGAGCGCTTCCATGGCCAACGCGAATGACGAAAAGCCTCTCAGGAAGATCGCAGAGGCTTTCAAGGACCTCTCCAACACTTTAAATTCCCAAACCCTCGATGTCGGCGTGGTCGACCTCGAGCTCGCCCCTTTCTCTCGCGCGTGCTCACTCGTGTCCCCTCTCTTCGGCTGTTTAGGCATCGCCTTCAAGTTCGCTGAAATGGACTACGTCGCCAAGGTACCTAAATCTCTCTCTCTGTCTCTCTCTCTCTCTATATATATAGATATGCTTTGATTGATCGATGGGGAAATTTTGTTCATCTTGATTTTGTTGATGCAAACAGGTTGATGATCTTGCGGAGTCGTCAAAATCGATTGCTACATTGCAAAAATTGGTTGATCTGGATATTAAAGAGAATTGTGTAAGGAAATCCGGAAGTCATACGAGGAATCTTCTGAGAGTGAAGCGTGGGTTGGACATGGTTAGGGTTTTGTTTGAGCGGATTATTGCAATGGAGTACGTTTTTCAACTTTTTTTTTTCTATTTTAAAGTTATTTCTGACAAATAATTGTTTGGTTTTTTGATTTTTCCTTCTATTGACTTGAAGGATTCTCTCTAGATGATGAATTTGATTCCATGCAACTCGTCAATCTTATTTCACACCATATAATAGAGACTTGATTAGTGTGTGTATATATATATATATTGGGTGCAATTTGATGGCTTGTAGAGCTTGGGTAAATATAGATTATTTCACTCCTTAAAATTCCAAAAACGTAGGGACACATTATTTAGGAGTGGAAAGAAATAATATGTCCAAGACACTTGAAGGATTCTTTCTAGATGATGAATTTGATTCCATTCAACTCGTCAATCTTATTTCACACCATATAATATAGACTTGATTAGTGTGTGTGTGTGTATTTGGGTGCAATTTGATAGCTTGTAGAGCTAGGGTAAACATAGATTATTTCACTCCTTAAAATTCCAATAACGTCGGGACACATTATTTAGGAGTAGAAAGAAATAATATGTCCAAGACACTGTTGAAGTTGAATGACTGGTCTCACAATAAGCTAAAATTTGGTAATTGTAGAATTAACTTTGGGAATAGATATGTGTTACCCCCTGGGAAAAAAAGGATAGAGGTACCTTTCAGGATTTGAGGGAGAAGGTGGAGAAGATTTTATTGGGTTCATGGGAAATTGTGTTTGTAGCGTTAGAAAAAATGTCATGTTCTGACATATTTCTTGGCAAGAGTTGTATTTTGGTCTATGGCGTCATGTCACTCCCTCAAAAGGTTGGCATCAACATTGAAGTTGTGTTTTTTAGAATGAAGATTGTAGCGAAAGATCTCATTGAGAGCTTGTTTCAAGCTCCATCAAGAACAATATAAAGAAGTTAAGTGACTTTATAATATAGAGAAGAGAAGTCAATAACCATATTGATTTAATAAGTTTCTAGTTGATCATGAAAATTTGGTTAAAATTGGCTTAGATCAAATTAGAAAATTTGAACTAATTTGGATACAATTATGAAGTTAAAAACTGAATATCAATTACTTTATTGTTTTCTGATTTGGATTGTTTGATTATATGATGATACACTCAAGCTTGATTAATTAATGAATTGAAATTGGTTAAAATTAAAATTAACCTCAAGTCTAATTGGGACAGAGCATACTTTGATCCCACAGGTGGTTGTAGGGCATGATGTGGACCTATACCATTTAGTTACTTATGGTTTGGACCTGTCTTGGTCCGTCAATTGAACAAAATGAGTGGAATCAGAAATTGGTCTCAAGATTTTTAACATATTGGTGATCTCAATGACGTTCTAAGCGAGTATGATTCAACTCCTCTTCTTTTTCCCCCACTTTAAGAAGTTCAAAAATTTCCCCTTACCGAAAATAGTAATTAATCTTAATTGTGGGGGTAAAATGAACATTTTCTCTGCCTACGACAATTGAAAATTAACAAAGAGATGAAGAAAACCATTAAGAAAGAGAATTGAGGGATTATTTATTTATTTTACTAGAAATTTAGACAAAGGGAAACACATACGGCTTACCCTTGAAATACTGATTTCCCAAATAGGTTGTGTGGATTTTTTTTGTTAAGTAAGAAGTTGGAAACAGTACGCTTAACATTTTAGAGGTCCAAGGTGGAATGAGATATATAAAAGTCGACCTTGGATAGAGAGAGAGGGAGAGAGAGAGAGAGATCTGTAGATCCCTTGATTGTATGGCCTCGATAAGGGCTAGTCCAATTCTGGAGGGAGTTCTAGACTTCTAGTTCAGTACTCCTAACGTCTCAATAAGTCAGTTCCTTAAGTTTGTTTGGTTCCTTTCTATAGTGGAGCACTGGAGCATAGAACTATTTCTAACTGCAATCGAGAGCAAGAGGTGCTTATGGCTACTTGGTGGCCTTATGAAATCCTACCATGCTGCCATAATGTCACCAAATGGATACTGCCATGTACTTCTGGGCTGTTTTATTGGGAAGTGATAAGGCAGCATTTCAACCACTATGGATGGCTAGTGCAAGCAGCGATAGTAAGGTGGCATTGAGACATGTCACATATCAAAAAAGCTTCAACACGGTCCAATAGATGCCTCCACGTGTCAATTTGGTGACCCCCTATGCAGTGGTAGTGAGGATGAGATGTATGCTGACTTCAAGAGGAGATCACCTCTGCAAGCCCTGTACTTCAGCCACAGAGCCAAGTGGTTCTAGGACCAAGGACCATGTCATTTCTGCATATCACAAAGTGGCTCATATTAATAATAACATAGAAGGATATGACATGTCCATGTACCTTGATGGGACAAATGATTGCTGCAGAATCCCTTTGGCTCTTGCTCATAACCAGGTAGTGCATTATGCATTAGGGTTCACAGTTCTTGACAGAAAAGAGCCTATGAAGAAGGCAATAAGCCTTATTTGAGGAGAAGAGATCGTTGTAGCGAGACATATAATGGGGATAAGAGGTTCAGACTATGAAACTTGTATAATAGAAGAGGTCCTTGAAGCAAGACTTACCAAAAAAATGGTCAAATACTTGCCAAAAAAAAAAAAAACAAGTAAGGATAAGAAGTTGTCTAATATCATGTAATACTTGTGGAGAAGGCTGGAACCCATTGGCTTGAGGAGAGAATGCTTTGGCTGTAGTCAGACGAGTCAGTTCCACACAGATAATAATAGGAGGGGCTGACTGTAGAGAGAGACAAATTGCAAGATTGGAGAAATAATGAAATCAATTCCCATTGAAGGTCATACGCCTGGCAAAGCTAATAAGCCTGTAGATAAGGCGGATCTCATTGTCAGAGAAAGGAAGGTCCGGTTAAGATGGGTTTACCGAGGAGGCATAAGATAGAGATGCTGAATATATCAATATAACCTTGTAGAGGATACATAGGATAAGTATGCTGGTAGGCATTAGATATGTGAAAATAATAAATATGTTGATAACAGTTGACAAAGATGGTTTGCATGTTGAGAGGTCGCCGTTTCCTTAGCAATATGCAAAATAGATATATCTCCACCTGGACCAATAACCTTGGGTCATAATGATCTAAAAGCTTCTTGTATTCAAACTTCAAAGAGAGCTCTTGGATGCCATTAATGTGGAGGGGTGTACACATCATGTTGTAAGATTACATGTGGATTATGTGGAATGTGCCATGTGGCAGAGGTGAAAGTGGCATGCAGACTACCACTGTAGAATCACGTGGCAAGGTGAGATTTGCCACCTCTGTGATTTGTGTGGTATATAAATTAGGTACCATAGGTTGCAAATTTGATTAGCAATTATTTTGGAATAATTCATTTTACAGATAACTAATGCCCCTTCTTAATTATTTTTACGTGCATGGTCTTCAAACCTAATGTATAATTTTTATTTTTTATTTTACCTAAAGTATAATTTTACCATCATATTCGTTTTTCTGGTTAATATTTTGTTTTTCTTCTTTGTGGTTAACTTATATGGATAAATGTGCAAAGCTCTTAGCATATGGTATTATAGTGCTAGCATGTCACTTAAATGGGTGGGAGGGGTGAGTCTAAGGCTCCGTTTGTTTGGACGTAAAATATTTTTCAGATTTTTTTATTTTATTTTCTGGTGTTTGGTTGTTGTAAAATATTTACGAAAAAAAAAAATAAAAAAATAACAAAAATTAACAAAAATAATTTATCCATAAATTTTCGACAAGTTATTTTACGTGCCCAGTTCGATGGATTCGAGCTCAACCTCAACGTGTACATTTGCCAATCACCGACAAGTAAAAATAAAAGAATATATTACCTAAAAAAGAAAAATATTTTTCAAAAAGAATATTTTACGTCGAAACAAACGGAGTCCAAGTGTTAAATTCCTATTCTTATCAATACTAGAAGAAGAAAAAATGTGGATAAATGTGTAATATTTGAATATTTCTGTTAACAGGGGAAATTCCCTAAAGGATCCAGCTTCAAAAGCCTATGCACAGGTATTTGCTCCCTACCATGGATGGGCCATCAGGAAAGCTGTTGCTGCAGGGATGTATGCTCTTCCTACAAAGGCACAGCTACTGAAGAAGCTTAACGAAGATGGTAAGTTTATGTGCCTATAACGAGTTCCTTTGTTTTTTATTTAAAACCTCTTCCCGTTATGTGAAAGCCATTCTAATTGACAGTGAAGTGTTTAAACCTGCATGTCATCTGGTTTGCAACTTAAATTGCTGCTGTATTGTTCAGGGAAAAAAATAAATAATAATTGTTGCCTTGTAGTGGTTGACCAATCTTTGGATGGTTAAATATAGGCTTTTATGCTGCTGGTCTATTTTTTTGGTTGAAGTATGTCAAATTTGATTTTTGGATGTGTTGGGTAAATAAATCTTGATTTGTAGTACAATGCAATTTATCACTTAACCCAATCCAGCCTACAAACAACCCAATACTAAGTGCTGGTTTGGTTGTTTCTTGGGTTAAGCATGTTAGTTTTGATGCAGAAACTGCTATTCAATCTAACTATCCCTTTAAATACAAACTAAGTTCCCTTTGTAATGATTATGGAAAAGATTATGAATTCCAACGTCCCTCAAACTGAGATTGTATTCCTTAACATGGTTGTGCTAATGGCATGTTTGTTACCACTTTTGTTCCTTTCAGAAACCGCGGCAAGGATTCAGATGCAAAGTTATGTTGCCATGTCTGCCCCTGTTATTCTATACATCGAAAAACTTTTCCTCTCAAGGGAACTGGGTACAGATTGGTAAACTTGGACTGCATTTTATTGGGTCGGTTTATTTTTATGGCAGTTGTCTTGATGTAAAATGTAAATTAGATGCAGATTGGTAAACTTGGACTGCATATTATTCAGTTAGATATATTTTTATTTTAATTGTCTTGAAGTAAAATGTAAATGAGAAACTTTTCTTCTCATAAATTAAATTGTATCCTTTTGAACTCTATTTTAGTGGAATAGACATTTATTTTAAATTTGCTAATGTAATGAGTTGGAATTGTTAGTATTCACTTGTTTTTTTTCTCATAACCTTTTCTTCTCATAAATTAAATTGTATCCTAATTAATCGTTTATTGTATGATATATATAAATATTATATTTTCGAAATATAATATTTATCTACTACGTAGTATAATCATTTAAGTGATCAAAGGGACAGAAGTTTCTAGTGATCTACACCGGAAAAAATGAGAGGAGGTATCATTTCAATAATATTTACAGGCCTAATAAATTTAAGCCCAGCCCGAGCATAACTCAATATAACCGTTCAGCAGAGCCAGATTAGGCCTATATACACTCAACCCTAAGCTTCAAGTTTGGGCTGACCCATTTGGGTTGATTACAGTAACTTATTGTATGAATGTCCCAAATTTGAACTCACTTCTTGTCCCATACTGTAGTAAATCTGATAGTTTGACGGTACATTTGACTGTTGGAAATTATCTACACATTCATATCAACTCCATCAGTGCTTTTTTGGCGAAACTGGGTCAATTTTTGAAGATTGAATGCTCCAATGGACTGTGGAAAAAGTGGGCCCCAAAGAAGAACTCTTGATGGACGTAGCTAAAAAGCAAGAGTGGGTTGGCGATTGGGCTCACTTTTTGTGGGCCCATTTTTGTTTTCTTTTATTTTTAAAATTCAGGCCAAAATATTATTCCCAAGCCCAGAACACTATTTCTAAGGACATGTTTAGCTGAAATAAAAGTTAAAATTCAGATTTTTGGCTTACTTTTTTTTTTTTTTTTTTTTTCTCTTAAAATAATTGAACCAAATAGCCGTTAAGGTACTGTTCGACTGACACAAACAGTGCCTTAAAGTTTTTTTAGGCAAAAAAAAAAATTCAAAATATTGGGAAAAAGTGATTTTTTTTTTCATTTTTAAATTTTTTAGTGTTCTTATTGACAGTATAGCAATTAGAAATATAGTCGTTAGGAAAAAGTTAAAAAATAAATTTTATTTTAAAATTTAAAAATATTAAAATATTAATATTTTTGGAGATCGAAAGTGCCCCATTGGAGTTTATGCGTTAGTTAAAATTTAGAGACTCAAAAATGCTGACGTGGTTATGGGAAATGTTTTTGTGGCTATTGAAAAATGCTGATATAGCAAATTCGGATAGCCTAATTTTAGAGACTCTATTAGATATGCTCTCAAGGCTCAACCGCTACTTGTTGAGTTTGTTCACTCCAGGGTTGATCTCCAACTCATCACACTTTTACTTTAAATTTAAAGTTTTAAAGTCAAAGATCAAAATTAAATTTTAAAATTTTACGTTGTTTGATAAAATTTAAAATTAAGTATTGAAAATTTTAAAAGTTGAAATTTTAAGGTGTGGCAAGTAGAAAATAAATATATGTTTTTTGGAATTTTCAGCCTTATTGTCATTTTAAGTGGCGCTCAGGTTTTAGGAGAGAGATAAAAAAGTTTTAATAATAAAGGTATTTTTTTGAAATAAGAGAATATATTTTCCGTATTTTAGTCGGGAACAAATAGAAACAACTTATTTTTGTTTCATAAAATGGGGCTTTTGAGAACATGTTTCCATTCGATTCAACAAAAGTGGTCCCCACCTGCTTTTGCCACGAACTCACACAGAACAGGCTTGGAGCAAAGCATCAACAAACCAAGTTGACAAGAGGGGGAAGACAACGTAGATAGGGGAGAGAGAGAGAGAGAGAGAGCGAGCGAGAGAGCGCTTCCATGGCGAACGCGGATGACGAAAGGCCTCTCAGGAAGATCGCAGAGGCTTTCAAAGACCTCTCCAACACTGTAAATTCCCAAACCCTCGATGTCGGCGTGGTCGACCTCGAGCTCGCCCCTTTCTCTCGCGCGTGCTCACTCGTGTCCCCTCTCTTCGGCTGTTTAGGCATCGCCTTCAAGTTCGCTGAAATGGACTACGTAGCCAAGGTACCTAAATCTCTCTCTCTCTCTCTCTCTCTCTATATATATATATATATATATATATATATGCTTTGACTGATTGATGGGGAAATTTTGTTCTTCTTGATTTTGTTGATGCAAACAGGTTGATGATCTTGCGGAGGCGTCAAAATCGATTGTTACATTGCAAAAATTGGTTGATCGGGATATTGAAGAGAATTGTGCAAGGAAATCCGGAAGTCATACGAGGAATCTTCTGAGAGTGAAGCGTGGGTTGGACATGGTTAGGGTTTTGTTTGAGCGGATTATTGCAACGGAGTACGTTTTTCAACTTTTTTCTATTTTAAAGTTATTTCTGACAAATAATTGTTTGGTTATTTGATTTTTCCTTCTATTGACTTGAAGGATTCTCTCCAGATGATGAATTTGATTCCATTCAACTCGTCAATCTTATTTCACACCATATAATAGAGACTTGATTAGTATAGATATATATATATTTTGGGTGCAATTTGATAGCTTGTAGAGCTAGGGTAAACATAGATTATTTCACTCCTTAAAATTCTAAAAACGTCGGGACACATTATTTAGGAGTGGAAAGAAATAATATGTCCAACACACTGTTGAAGTTGAATAACTGGTCTCACAATAAGCTAAAATTTGGTAATTGTAGAATTAACGTTTGGAATAGATATGTGTTACCCACTGGGGAAAAAAGGATTGAGGTACCTTTCAGGATTTGAGGGAGAAGGTGGAGAAGGTTTTATTGGGTTCATGGGAAATTGTGTTTGTAGGTTTAGAAAAATGTCATGCTCTGACACATTTCTTGAGCAAAAGTTGTATTTTGGTCTATGGCATCATGTCACTCCCTCAAATGTTTGGCATCAACATTGAAGTTGTGTTTTTTAGAATGAAGATTGTACCGAAAGATCGCATTGATAGCTTGTTTCAAGCTCCATCAAGAACAATATAGAGAAGTTAAGTGACCTTATAATATAGAGAAGAGAAGTCAATAACCATATTGATTTAAGAAGTTTCTAGTTGATCATGAAAATTTGGTTAAAATTGGCTTAGATCAAATTGGAAAATTTGAACTAATTTGGATACAATTATGAAGTTAAAAACTGAATATCAATTACTTTTTTGTTTTCTGATTTGGATTGTTTGATTATATGATGATACACTGAAGCTTGATTAATTAATGAATTGAGATTGGTTAAAATTAAAATTAAGTAAAAATTATCATGGAATGCTAAAACCCTGTTCACCCCTCAAGTCTAATTGGGACAGAGCTTACTTTGATCCCACAGGTGGTTGTAGGGCATGATGTGGACCTACACCATTTAGTTACTTATGGTTTGGACCTGTCTTGGTCCGTCAATTGAACAAAATGAGTGGAATCAGAAATTGGTGTCAAGATTTTTAACATATTGGTGACCTCAATGACGTTCTAAGCGAGTATGATTCAACTCCTCTTCTTTTTCCCCCACTTTAAGAAGTTCAAAAATTTCCCCTTACCGAAAATATTAATTAATCTTAATTGTGGGGGTAAAATGAACATTTTCTCTGCCTACGACAATTGAAAATTAACTAAGAGATGAAGAAAACCATTAAGAAAAAGAATTGAGGGATTTTTTATATTTTTTTAACTATAAATTTAGACGAAGGGAAACACATACGGCTTACCCTTGAAATACTGATTTTCCCAAATAGGTTGTGTGGAATTTTTTTTTTTTTTTTTTTTTTTTTGAGTAAGAAGTTGGAAACAGTACACTTAACATTTTAGAGGTCCCAGGTGGAATGAGATATATAAAAGTCGAGCTTGGAGAGAGAGAGAGATCTGTAGATCCCTTGATAGTATGGCCTCGATAATGGCTAGTCTAATTCTGGAGGGAGTTCTAAATTTCTAGTTCAGTACTCCTAAGGTCTCAATAAGTCAGTTCCTTAAGTTTATTTGGTTCCTTTCTATAGTGGAGCACTGGAGCATAAAACTATTTCTAGTTGCAATCGAGAGCAAGAGGTGCTTATGGGCTACTTGGTGGCCTTATGAAATCCTACCATGCTGCCATAATGTCACCAAATGGATACCGCCATGTGCATCTGGGCTGTTTTTTTGGAAGTGATAAGGCAGCATTTCAACCACTATGGATGGCTAGTGCGAGCAGCGATAGTATGGTGGCATTGAGACATGTCAAATATCAAAAAAGCTTCAACACGGTCCAATAGATGCCTCCAGGTGTCAATTTGGTGACGCCCTATGCGGTGGTAGTGAGGACGAGATGTATGCTGACTTCAAGAGGAGATCACCTCTGCAAGCCCTGTACTTCAGCCACAGAGCCAAGTGATTCTAGGACCAAGGACCATGTCATTTCTGCATATCACAAAGAGGCTCATATTAATAATAATATCATAGAAGGTGACATGTCCATGTACCTTGATGGGACAAATGATTGCTGCAGAATCCCTTTGGCTCTTGCTCATAACCAGGCAGTGCATTATGCATTAGGGTTCACAGTTCTTGACAGAAAAGAGCCTATGAAGAAGGCAATAAGCCTTATTTGAGGAGAAGAGATCCTTGTAGCGAGACATATAATGAGGATAAGAGGTTTTTTTCATACTGACGGTACTGTATATGTGCCTATTGGGAAGACTATGAAACTTGTACAACAGAAGAGGTCCTTGTAGCAAGACTTACCAAAAAAATAGTCAAATACTTGCCAAAAAAAAAAAAAAAAAAAACAGGTAAGGATAAGAAGTTGTCAAATATCATGTAATGCTTGTGGAGAAGGCTGGAACCCATTGGCTTGAGGAGAGAAAGCTTTGGCTTTTGTCAGACGAGTCAGTTCCACACAGATAATAGTAGGAGGGGCTGACTGTAGAGAGAGACAATTTGCAAAATTGGAGAAATAATGAAATCAATTCCCATTGAAGGTCATACGCCTGGCAAAGCTAATAAGCCAGTAGATAAGGCGGATCTCATTGTCAGAGAAAGGAATGTCCGGTGAAGATGGGTTTACCGAGGCGGCATAGCTGCATAAGATAGAGATGCTGAATATATCAATATAACCTTGTAGAGGATACATAGGATAAGTATGCTGGTAGGCTTTAGATATGTGAAAATAATAAATATGTTGATAACAGTTGACAAAGATGGTTTGCATGTTGAGAGGTCGCCGTTTCCTTAGCGATATGCAAAATAGATATATATCCACCTGGACCAATAACCTTGGGTCATAATGATCTAAAAGCTTCTTGTATTCAAACTTCAAAGAGAGCTCTTGGATGCCATTCACGTGGAGGGGTGTACACATCATGTTGTAAGATTACATGTGGATTATGTGGAATGTGCCATGTGGCAGAGGTGAAAGTGTCATGCAGACTACCACTGTAGAATCACGTGGCAAGGTGAGATATGCCATCTCTATGATTTGTGTGGTATATAAATTAGGTACCATAGGTTGCAAATTTGATTGACAATTATTTTGGAATAATTCATTTTACAGATAACTAATGCCCCCTTCTTATGTTTTTTACTTACATGGTCTTCAAACCTAATGTATAATTTATATTTTTATTTTACCTAAAGTATAATTTTACCATCATATTCGTTTTTCTGGTTAATATTGGTTTTTCTTCTTTGTGGTTAACTTATATTGATAAATGTGGATAAATGTGCAAAACTCTTAGCATATGGTATTATAGTGCTGGCATGTCATCTTGAATGGGTGGGAGGGGTGAGTAGTGTTAAATTCCTATGCTTATCAATACTAGAAGAAGAAAAAATGTGGATAAATGTGTAATATTTGAATGTTTTGTTAACAGGGGAAATTCCCTAAAGGATTCAGCTTCAAAAGCCTATGCACAGGTATTAGCTCCCTACCATGGATGGGCCATCAGGAAAGCTGTTGCTGCAGGGATGCATGCTCTTCCTACAAAGGCGCAACTACTGAAGAAGCTTAACGAAGATGGTAAGTTTACGTGCCTATATTTAGTTCCTTTGCTTTTTATTTAAAAGCTCTTCCCGTTATGTGGAAGCCATTCTAATTGACATACCGAGTGAAGTGTTTAAACCTGTATTTCATCTGCTTTGCAACTTAAATTGCTGCTTTATTGTTCAGGGAAATAAATAAATAAAAATTGTTGCCTTGCTTCGTGTGTAGTGGTCGACCAATCTTTGGATGGTTAAATATAGGCTTTTATACTGCTGGTCTTTTTTTTGGGTTGTATGTCAAATTTGATTTTTGGATGCGTTGGGTAAATAAATCTTGATTTGTAATACAATGCAATTTATCACTTACCCCAATCCAACCTACAAACAACCCAATACTAAGTGCTGGTTTGGTTGTTTCTTGGGTTAAGCATGTTATTTTTGATGCAGAAACTGTTATTCAATACAAATATCCCTTCAAATACAAACTAAGTTGATCCTTTGTAATGATTATGGAAAAGATTATGAATTCCAACGTCCCTCAAATTGAGATTGTATTCCTTAACATGGTTGTGCTAATTGGCATGTTTATTACCACTTTTGTTCCTCTCAGAAACCACGGCAAGGATTCATATGCAAAGTTATGTTGCCATGTCTGCTCCTGTTATTCTATACATCGACAAACTTTTCCTCTCAAGAGAATTGGGTACAGATTGGTAAACTTGGACTGTATTTTATTGAGTCAGTTTATTTTATATGGCAATTGTCTTGATGTAAATGTAAATTAGATGCAGATTGGTAAACTTGGACTGCATATTATTCAGTTAGATATACTTCTATTGTAATTGTCTTATGTAAAGTGTAAATTAGATTCCTCTAACTTTTCTTCTCATAATTTAAATTATATCCTTTTGAACTCTATTTTAATGGAATAGACATTTATTTTAATTTGCTAATGTAATGAGTTGGAATTGTTAGTATTCACTTGTTTTTTTTCTTCCCCGGAAATTTTTGGTTCTCATTTTTGATGCCCCATGTTGTATGAACCAAGCTGTTGAGTTGAATGTTGCAACCAGAAGCTGAAAATCAGCTTGTTTCAAGATTGATTGGGTCAGAAAAGCCTACTCCCTTCCTCTATCTATGCATCAGTTTTAAACTTGGTTACTCTAATTGCTTCCTTATGAAAATTGGCAACCATTTTCTTTCTACATTGTTGCGATTCTGGCAGATCCCTTTTTTTTGTGTGTGTGTGTGTGTGTGTGAAGTGAGGTTTGTTTTTAACAATTCTGATGCAGCAGCTCATTCATTTTTCATACTTCGTAACATGTAAATTCACATGTTCATATCAATTATAATTTTTATTATTTAATTTTTTTTTTTTTTGAGTTTAACCTTTTTTTGACTCTATTGTTGTATGTGTCGTAAGGTCAACATCGGAGATTGAAGAATTGAAACCTTTGGTTACTTATATTATTTATTGGACTTTACGTCAAACTTATCCATTCTCAAAAGAGGTTAAACTTGTCCATTCTCCAAATGCATTAGGAAATAACTTTAGAAAAATGTTAAAGTAGTTGAAAACTCAAGAACAACTCGGTGCTAAATATTTACAATTCTTAAAATTAACTAGTTAAATGTGCATCATAGTTATTTCAATCAAATAATAATTTTATTCAATCCGATACAATATATATATATATATATTGAAATCTTACGAAAATTACACTTTTCAAATCTTAATAAATCCAATTAAATAATAATTTTATTCAATCCGATAAAATATATATATATATATATTGAAATCTTACGGAAATTACAATTTCAAATCTTAATAAATCGAACGAATATAGTGTTTATTTGATTCGTATTTGATCAGATTACCAACAATTTCATTCTAATTTGTAAATTTTCCCCAAAATAAAAATAAGAATTATTTTTCTGTAATAAAAAATATACATATGTGTGATACGTATATTCATACACATACACAGTAGGTTATTGGATATTTGGATTATATAAATATATTATTTGATTTAAAGGAGTTTGATAAGAAGTCAAGGGCGCGCCTCTTTTTCCAGCATAATAAGTTGATTTTCTAAAACAGATATATATATATATATTTTGTTTGAATTAAAACAATAGATTATTATAATTAATATACCATGACAAAATTCCAACTAATACAATTACTAAGCATTTAAAAATAAAATATAAAAAAAAAAAAAAAAAAAAAACCGCTATACTGAATCCCATTCCCCTTCCCCTTCTCAATTCTGCATCCAAAACCGCAGCTTCCTTCTTCCATTACACACGCCTCCCTCGTGCCACTCCCAATTCTCTCCTCCTTGTTTGCATTCGCCACGTCTAGACTGTAACTCTAACTAATTCACCTCTCTCTCTCATATATATATATATATATATATATATGCTTTGCAGAAACCCTAACTAGACTGCTTATTGAATATATCCATCGATGGACGACGGGGAAGGAGGTCTAAGCTTCGACTTTGAGGGCGGCCTCGATACGGGTCCCAGCAACCCCACTGCATCCGTACCGGCAATACAATCCGATGCAGCAGTCACGGTGGCGGCTAACAGCTCTGTCGTGACCACCTCCGCTGACCCGGTGGCGGGCAACCTACCGGGGCGGCGGAGTTTCCGTCAGACCGTGTGCCGGCATTGGCTGCGAAGCCTTTGTATGAAGGGTGACGCTTGCGGGTTTCTCCACCAGTATGACAAGTCTAGAATGCCGGTGTGCCGGTTCTTTCGATTGTACGGCGAGTGTCGGGAGCAAGATTGTGTGTATAAGCACACTAACGAAGATATCAAGGAGTGCAACATGTATTTTCTATCTGTATCTCTTATATTTGGTTCTTATATGTCACAACATATTGTTTTTTATGTGAATTTGATGTGTTTGGTTCTACGGTAGTTGTTTCCATTGTTGTTGTCTTATTAAATTTGATGAATTGGGATTCAGTAATATACTAATGATCATGGGTTCTATGGAGACCGAGTTAATTATAATTTTGTGTTTTCTTTGAAGATATGTACGCCCTCACACACACATATTAGGTTTCTTTGTGTTTTTAGTTTATACACACTCCTCCATACATTTGGAGGAAGTTGATCCTTTTTGGAAGACAAATTGAACATAGAGAAGAAGCAGAAAGGAAGACAAATTGAAAAAAATGATCCTTTTTGGAAGACACATTGAACAAATTGTTATGTTCCATCCACTTTCTCTCTCTTCACTTTGAGGGGTGTTGCCTAGTTTAGCGAGAAAATGCTTGAACATCAGTGTTGTTGGTGCGAGTTTGAGCTTCAGAGCAGCTACTTTTTAAAAATATTAAATGTAGTCTATTTCGAGTCCTCCGTCCCCAGGTCTATGTGAGACTAGAACTGAGTAATGTCCATTTATTTTTTTTTTTCCTTTTCCTTCTTTCATTTTTTCTTGTAATTGTTATTGTCTCATGTGATGTATTTGATAGTATATTTATGCTGTAAGGTTTTAAATTAGAAGTTTATTGGAATAGCCAAGTCAGATGTTGGGTGTAGAATTCGTTTACATTTTTTATGACTTCTAAGATTCTAAGTTCTAGTGGGATCATGATAATCCTAAATGGTTCGTTCTTCATTTTACTCTTTTAAGGCATTATGGTAATTTCATTGGGGTGGAAGATATAGAATTGATTTTGTTTTATATATTGACTTGTCAATCAATAGAAAAATTACCTATCTGGAGGAATGCATTTTCTTATTGCTGAAAACTATTCTTATTGCATTGTAGCCTAAAAAAAGCAGTCAACATCTTTTTAGTTAGGTCTACACCTTTTTTTACCAGATTTAACTGCTCAATTTTTTTGGTGTTTTGTTTAAGTAGAAAGTTTCTCTCATGACGGTTTTTTAGTAGTTTGAGGAAGATAGCCTTCCTCTCGTGGGAGCATTATATGTATGTTTCTGAAAGGGTTGTTCTATAATTGCAGGTACAAGTTGGGGTTTTGTCCAAATGGTCCCGATTGCCGGTATAGGCATGCAAAGCTGCCTGGTCCTCCACCTCCTGTCGAAGAAGTGCTCCAGAAGATCCAGCATCTGGCTTACAATTATGGCAACTCAAATAGGTTCTTCCAAAACCGGAATGCTAACTATTCTCAGCAAACAGAAAGAACTCAGTTTCCACAGGGCTCCAATGCTTATAGTCAAAGTGCACCTGCAAAACCTTCAACAACAGAGTCCCCTAATATGCAGCAACAACAAGTTCAACAGTCCCAACAGCAAGTCAACCAGGCCCAAATACAGAATCTTCCCAATGACCAGCAAAATCAAGTGAATAAAATTTCTACACCCCTGCCTCAAGGAATATCTAGGTGTGTTCATAGTTCAAAGGTTTTTAATTGGGTCATGTAAAATGACTTCGTGTACTTGAATGTTGATTTTTTTTTAAGAGGTCTATCCTCACATATCAGCTGTAAGTTAGTTTATTTGCAACCTACAATAGTAAACATAGCTGTTTCCAAACATTTAGTTTTGTACTTCTGTTTTAGTGATGTATAAATTTGATTTTTCCTCGTGTGCTTTCTTTTGTTTTCTCGTATTTATCTTTGCTCGCATGGAGTTGCAAGAAAAAAATTGAACAATTGTGGTTTTGCCCTGTTAAGTTTTGCTGTAGGTGAAGCTTTTAATCCATAAATAACTGGATATGCATTTTTGTTGCTTTTCTTATAAAACATATTCCTTTTCAGAAAATTACAAATTTGAGGGATGATGAATTGCACTGAAGTTAAGTGTATGGAATACAAGGGTCTGAATAAGAATATTTTTCTTCAATATCACTTTCGTGTAGTTCATGCTCCTTAATTGTTGAGAAAACGCATCTCTATAAATTTTTTTGCTTGTTTTGCACAGTCCAGCTGATTTTGTTGGCTTCCAAGGTCCCAATAAGCTATTTTATAACGTGCAGGTAAGACTGGTGTCTTGAAACTTGCATTTCTTCTGGCTTAAGGGAAATTTTTCAGGATGCTGCCTTAGATTTTTACTTGCTCTCGTTTTGGACATCTCTTCTCACGTCCAAAATTTTGTGTTGAATGATATGTTGCATTTTATTGTTCTTGTGATGCTTTGATTTTGTCCAGTGATATGCATGTGCTAACTTATAAAAAAATAAATAAATAAAATGCATGTGCTACACGCTCATTGGGGTTTGACTTATTCTGTCCTTAAGGAGTACACCTATTTTCTCATACTACAATATCTTCGTTCTACTATAAATTTTACAATGTCCTGCAGGTTTTTTTATGCTTCTTCTTTGACTAAGTTTTAGTAGCCTGTAGTCAAGGTAAGAGATAAGAGTGCACCTTGAATGTTAATCAACTTTCGTAATGCTAGTTGCTGTTTGCTAATGGCCCAATGATCATAGTTTTCTTTTATTTTCATTGAAATGGCCAAAATGTTCCCATTTTTTTGGGAACTGCAACGAGACATGGGTGGAATGTAATTCATGTGTTTCCTTCGAGACCTAGAAGTTATCGAAATAAACCAAGAAACGGTTGAGATTTTTTTATTGTGTGGATAACAATTACAAAAATGGATAAAAGGAAAGGATCTTATTCTTCTTCTTATAAGACTTATATAGTTCATGCTTATTATGTCATAATGTTTTAGTTGCTCACATTAATTTTATATCAAATGATTGTTGATTGAGGCTATGGCCTTAGATACGGAAAAATAGGATTCATGTAGCCGACTCCTAGTAGTTGGGAAAAAGGCTTTGTTGATTTCAGCTGAGTATTGCATCTATCTAAATATTCCACGAAATGGTTGAAATCTTTTTCGTGTCTATAACTATTACAAAAACAGATTAAAGGCAATATCTTCTTCTTATTCTTGGTTAAAGGGGGGAGACTGAAACTCAAAAAATAATTGAACATCTCTGATCCTTGAATAAACAGCATAAGAGGTGAAGTTGAAGAGGAGTTAGGAGAGGAGCTTATCACAATACTTAGATGTTAGCGACTGTAGTCCAACTTGCTGATTATTTTGCTTAGGTCGTTACTCTTAAAATGTCAATATGTCTACCTTCTTCTAAAGGTTCATCCCTGTAATGTCATAGCTTTTATTATACTAATTTAATTTCACATTAGAGATTTAGCTTTACAATTTTTTGTACTTTTTTCTTTACGAGTATTGTATTGTTTAACATTATTTTGATGAGTTACACAATTTGCATCTACTTCTCAACTCCACCAGTGTCCCCTTTTCTAGATGGACGTCTATGTCTGAAACATATTAGTTTAATAACTTATTTCACTTATCTTTGCTCATTAATATATTTTACTTTATGGTTTTAAGCATTTCCAAATTGTTTTCACCAGTCCATTTAATTTCTAAAGTATTTCAGAAACGTTTCCATTTTGGAGCCGACCAAATGACATTCCAAAAGGTTTTGTTCCTTGGATCCGCAAGTATAATGTACTGGATATGAGGCCATGGTACATGGGGAATGTACTGATTCAGAGAATTGTTTGAAGGCATTATTTGTCACGAATAATTTAAATGATTATAGCTATTAACAACAATCAGTATTTGTAGCTTTATCATTCTTTTTTACCTTTTCAGAAATTTTAAGCTATAATTATTGATCATACTTTGTCCATGTTTATCATTTGTTCTTTAAGAATTTGTTGCTAATTTACTACCGTCACTTCAATATATGAAAACCTAGGTATTTTATTGTCAAAAGTTGCAACCGTGAGAACCTGGAATTATCAGTACAACAAGGAGTATGGGCAACCCAAAGAAGCAACGAGGCCAAATTAAATGAAGCTTTTGACACTGTTGAAAATGTTATTTTGATCTTTTCAGTCAACCGGACTCGACATTTTCAGGTTTGTTTATTTATTACAATTCTGGATGTGATTTGGTAACTGCAGTCTAGATTACTGTGGCTCCCAGTAAATAGATTTCACATAACTCGCAAAGGTTGTAAGGGAATCCTTAGCATAAGAAAAAGTTTTACCTTTTGCTTTATATGAAGTGTTTGAGTATAAAAATTACTATGGTTTGCTAGGGTTGTGCAAAGATGACATGTAAAATTGGTGGCTCTGTTGGTGGAGGGAACTGGAAGTATGCACATGGAACTGCTCATTATGGGCGAAATTTCTCTGTCAAATGGTTAAAGGTACATTATTTTAAGTTCGTTTTTTCTTTCTTTCTTTCTTTCTTTCTTTTTTCCTCTTTCCTGATCCTGTAAACCATTCAAGTTTTCGATTTGCTGTCCTAGATTATTACCTAGTGTTTATTTTTAATAAATTTTCCATTTTTTTTATGGGCTTTCTTTCATATGAACGCTGTTGCTAAAGGCATGATTAGGCTCTAAAAGAGCCCCATGTTCATTGAGCCTAAGCTTAAGTGCTTCGACCTATTACAAGGAAGCTCTTTTAGTTAGACATACATAAAACCATCAGGTGTGTGCTTTTAGTCTCCAGACAAAAGAAATAATAAAAAATATTTTAAATAACACATTTAAAAAATGGCGCCTTTACTTTTTAGTCACTGAATCCTCCCCACCTCCCTTCTTATCTTAAGTATTGTTATTCGACATGCTTCATTCATTGGTGATGTAGTGGTGGCAATGGCAGTAGTAATGGTGATGGTGCAGATTGGGATAGCAACAAAACAGTAACGGTGTGGAAATTGGAATGGCGGCTATAATGTGGAGGTATTGGTCATGTTGGCAATGCTGTGGTGGTGGCAGGCAGTGCCTGTATCATATGTGGCGGTAGCTACGGTGTTGGTTGCTGCAATGTGATGGCGTCAACAACAGTGTAGTGGGTGCAGAGGTGGCAATGGCATGGTAGTGGTGGTGGCAGCAAAATGGAGTTGGTAATTGCTAATGGTAGCAGCAGTGAAGATAGCTATTCAGTTATTTCGATCCCTTGCCTTGGGGATTTTTAGAATGATACCATTAGGAACTCATACTATCCAAATACGTCATTAAACCCCACAAGAAATATCAGATATTCTTTCCTTAGTTTGTTAAAGGATAAGAGATTTTAAATTCCCAACCCTTTCGGAAGTGAAGTTTCCCACAAAATTTCCCAGCCAAGACAAATAAATAAATTGGAGAGGTAGTAGATATGAGGTGGTGTAGCTAATTCTGTTTTGGATTTCAAAGTCAAAGGTGCTCAAAACTTGGCCTTCTGCTGGTTGAAAATTTACAGTAAAGTGCTTTAGAGTGAAATGGTAACCTGCTGCAAGAGCTCTATTTACTCGCAGTTCAGTCTGAAATTACAATGCCGTTAAATTTATGTCAGTTTTCATTCTCATGCATTCACACATGCAAACATGCACAAACATGAAAATCTTGTTTGTATTGGTTGGTGACTCGTATACTTTTACTACATCATTGGACATAAAATACCTGTAGTGGAATTGTGTTTTCATTAATGCACTCAATTGAACTGTGGACATGGTGGGAATCAGTTACTTCAGGGCCTTGAAAGAAACCTTTCTTTGTGCCTGGCCAATTTACAATTATGTATTTTATATATTATTTTTTTAAGGCCGGGTATGCAGTTTTCTGTTTGATTTGCTACTTCTGTTTTGTTGCCAAGTTAAATTTACATGTGAAGGTAGATAGTGAAACACAAAAGTAATATTTTGTACTCCTAATTTTTATTGCTTTAATTTCATGGCTTTAATATATCAGGAAGCTGACACCCATCCATGATAGCTGGGTAATTGATTTCTTTTTTAATTTGTCTAATCTTTTTGATTGAAATCATACAATCTGTGTATGCAACCAATAATTTTGTTTGTTCATAGAGTTAGTATTTCCACATAGAATGGAATGTTTATTTGAAAGTTTCATAAGCATACATTTCTTGAAGACATATCTAAATTGTTTATTGGCAGAAATAAGTACTAAAATAATTATGAGGTGAAAGCTAATTGCAATATCTTATACGCAGCTGTGTGAACTTTCCTTTCACAAAACTCGCCATTTGAGGAACCCTTACAATGAGAACTTACCAGTGAAGGTAAAGCCCTTGGATCTGTTTTTAGTTTCCTATGACATGTTCAACAGTGTTAAATTACTTTCTTGTTGTTCTCCTTCCTCTTCTTTATATGGCAAATACAGCTCTGTGCTTGCAACAAGAAGTTACTGGTTTGTAAGAATCAATTTAGTTGGATTGACTTTAATGATGCATGGAAGTATGCAATGTTTTGGAATCAGGCCATAAGATTAGGCCATGGGTTAAACTTTCTACTGTTGGGGCTGCAAGTTGAACTGTGACATCAGCATTTTGTCATATATAAATTACTTATTATGTAAAAATATATACTAGATATACAAGCTCTGAACTTAATTTGTTAGTTTTCTTTTTTAAACAACTCAACTTTTGAGTTTGGCTCAGCTGATAATGGGGTTGTTGCCTTTTAAGTACCCAAACATAGTGCTACAAAGTCTGTTTGAGTTTGGCGCAGCGGATAATGATAGAGTTCAAGTTGGGGCTTGGAAATTGGAATAAAGCTGAGCAACTCGAGTTTGGCTTGAGATGGCTTGTTTAAGCCAACTTTTATTAGAAAAGTTATCTCCTCTACAAATATATGTTAAAAAAAGTAACTTGTCTTGGGTGCTTTAGAGACATAGTAGGTGGTATAATTTATAAAGGCAGCCTTTTGAAACAATAAACGCATAATGGTTACATCACTCTTCATGTTTATATACAATGGCCAATACCTTCTCATAATTACTTGTAAAGCTTCCCTTAGTCCCTTATGGGCTTATATGTAATGTATGAATATACGTATGTGGATCGCCCAACGAGCTGAACCTTTACCTGTTCAGGGTAGGCCAGTTCACTTAAATATAAAATTCATGCTTAGTCACTAGATGAATATATGAGCTTGAAAAGTTTAATGCCAAGTCAAGCCCAAACCGTTAATGTACAACTCCGTTTATTAACAGCCTTAGCCAAATTTAGTATGTATATATATACACACACCAGTTTTTTCTAATGCAAATCGGTTAAGTTAAATAGGTTTAATCTAAAATTATGTTATTTAAACTGCAGATCGAAATAAACAACTTGGTGAATGCTTATTGATCTTAAATATAAGTGAGAGAACCACCACAATTTGGGAAAAAAGATGATCCATGTTTGGTGGTGAGCGGTTGAACTCCGTTTGGATTATTAAGTAGAAAAGTAAAATATAAGTGATATTCCAAGGAGAGATATCAGGGATAAAAAAGAAATAGATGAAAAACTGAGGAAATGGGAAAGAAACCCAACCAAATTTGGTCTGAGAGAGAGGATTACGGTCTAGGCAGCCAGTACAATCCGGTTTTATGAAATTTTATTTATGTTACTGACGAGGAGGTGTTCCATGCAAGGTTTTAGCATATGAAACCATGTATTTTGCTATTGAAATAAAGAGTGATTGACATAATTCTTTTTTTGCACTCTTTACCGAGCAATTGTGAAGGTGAAAGTAGCTTTATTTGCACGAGGCTTTGATTTGCGTGTATGAACAACTTGAGAAGTAATAAAGGAATCACGGAAACAGCCTCTCCGCATGCAGGGGCAAGACTGCGTACATCCCCTCCCCTAACCTCTCAATGGCGGGAGCCTCGTGCACTGGGCTAACCCCTTTTTAACAATTTCAGAAGTAATAAAGGAAAATATATAATGCAAAACAAAATTAAAATATGATGACAAAGTTCTCACTTTGGTTTAAAAGTGGCTCTAGGTTTTCAGCTAAGAACATAGCATATTGCAGTGAGCCTGGATTTGTGCATCTTTAAGGTCGATTTTCTAACCAGAAAAGGGGAAAAAAAGAAGAAGAAGAAGAAGAAGAAGAAGAGAGAGTTGACATATTTTAATGGTTTTCTATATATTTTTAAAATTCGTGTTTGTTGGAAGTAGAGATAGAGAGTTGGCATCTCCCCTAATGGTGGGGTGGGTGAATTTTGGGGTTGGGGGACACTCTCATGACTAAGCATTGCTTAATTGATCACAATTCTTGTATTGAGGGATTCATTAGATAATTGATCTTGATTCTATGAGATGTGAACAGGACATGATGAGATTGAAAATATATGTAACAATGATCTCCTGTGTATTGGATTTTAGTTTAATTGTTACATAAATTGATTGATAGCTGCTTTTTAGCATATCATGGTAGTAGATAAGATATGTGACCTCAAATGGTCAAATATGTAACCATGATCTCATATGTACTGGGATTCAATTTAGTGTTCATTTGGTAGGAGGGATGGATAAAATGGAGGGAATAGATAGGAGGAAGGATGGAAGCAAAATGTAAGTGTGGTATTTACTTCTGGGAACTTCAGCCTTCAGGTTGGAGCACGACAAATAATGCTCAATGTGCTAATTTTACATGATGGACATATCAATTGCCATCTGCGTTTGTGAAAACCACCATGTGTGTACATGTTGGTGGATTGATCGGTATGAACCCATGCTATATTTTTGTTCTTCGAAAGACCCATGCTAATTGAAATTGTGTAGATTCGGTAGCTAAAGACATTGTTTATAGAGGAGGGTTATTTCATGCCGCTTTGGGGAGGAGAGAGGGGGATGGGCCTCTGTGGAAATTCATTCGGAAGGGCTGGGATGAGTTCTCTAAGCACATTAGATTCAGAGTTTGGGAGGGTTGGGACGTTTGGTTCTGGGAGGATGTTTGGTGCGGTGATCGCCCGTTTTCTTGTTTTTTCACAAGACTTTTCAGGATTGTTGTTGATAGATATGTTTTGGTAGCAGACTGTTATCGGATCGATATCGGTAAGCTTACCTGGGACGTGTGATTTTGGCAATCCTTTTAGGATTGGGAGCTGGACGATGTTTCTCGCCTACTGGACCTTTTGTATAGACAAGAGGTGCCTTGTGATACCCCCTGATTTCCAGGCCGTGGGTTGATCAAGTCCAAGCCCAAAAGCCAGGGGATATCGAAACAATTAATATTTTAAATCGAACACAGAATACAAAAAGAATGAATAATAAAGAAATAATATCGCTGAATGGAAAAACTAATAAATAAATAAAATAATATCCTCTGAATAAAATCTTTTAATTTTCAAAGATAAATGCTAAAATCCTTATAGAATTAATTCTCCAAAGAATACAACTCAGGAATCCTCAAACATGGACCCTTAATAAAATCCCATAATTGAAAATAAATAAATGTCTAAAACTGAAATAACTAATCAGAAGATAAAATCCTACGTCGATGACACTGGAAGAGTGATGATGCCAAGTCTCTGATCTGCACGAACAACTGCTAATCCTGCTATTAATGAGGACCTAAAAAATATAACAATGGTGGGTCAAAACCCACAACAAGTCCTTTCTACGACAACCCAAATAGAGACCTGAAGAAACTACACATCTATAGTTAATTCATGCAAGAGCTACATAGTTGATAAGTATATAAATATATACACTAAAGACTCTCATTGGATTAAGGCAGACTCAACCGTGTAGTGGATATCTCATGCAAATCGCACACAAAGATGGTCACAGGTCCTCCTTCTTCCAGGGCATGACATCCCTAATCCTGCTACCCATCTCGATTGGCAACATACGCCTACATTCTAACCACTGATCCCAAGACTTCAAGCTTGTATCATGGTACACATAATATCATTATAGATATAATTAGCCATATCTTGACAATGGTTAGCTAACAAATAACAACCATACCCATATCCTGAGAATAGGCTGGAAGTTATAAAAATATAATAGCTATATCTCAATAATGGCATGTCATCCATATCCTGATAATGGCCTGACATAGAATGAGTCTAAGCTTATTAGCCAGCTCATCCACAGAATACAAAGCAAAGCCATATCTTGACAATGGCATACATAGAACCAAATCCTGACATTGGTCCTCAAACAAATCCAAACACGCACGCGCACACACACACACACACACACACACACACATATCATGTTTCAAGATTATAAAATACAGATATGCAATTGATTATAATCATATCATATCATAGCAGCACATAACATAAAATTTCATGTTATCAAATCACAGGAATGACTTATAATTTATTTAAGCTTCGTACATCATTTATCTCACATAAACTGAATCTTAAGTATGTTGATATTTATTTTTAGAGCCAAGTAAGCATTCTCCAAACACATCTCATGCTAAACATTTAATCTCAATTGTTAACACAAATGAAAAGATTAAATTCATCAATTCTCAACAATTAAATTCAAATTGTATGCATCATTGTATTCATGCCTATTTAAATTCACATAACGTCATCCCATCCCTATTTAGTGTGCAGGATCTTAAATAATCAATTCGGGGTCAAAAATAATCTTTTACCCAAAATTTCCCAGAGCTCGAGCACTATTTCGTGAAACAACTCGAGAAACTCAATTTTAAGCCCTATTCTCCATTGTTAAGGGTCTTAAAACATGTTACTAAGTCCCATCAACACCTAAGCACGAAAATACATCAATATAGCAGGTAGAAATCCATTAAAAATCAGATCTAAGCCATAAATTTATCAATTCATACAATAAGAACAACCATAAACATAAACTCATAAAGACCTATGTTCTAGATCAATTTAAAAATGGATTCAGATTTTAATAGTCCTTTAAACATCCCCAAAGTTATACTAGAGACATATAGATCATAGATCTAAGGGAGAAGTATAGAGCAGAGAACTTGCCTTAAACTTTCGGATCCTTAAACTTTCGGATCGAAAGTTCAAGGTAAGTTCAAATGGTCCTTTTTTTTCTTCTTCTTCTTCTTCATTCTCTCTCTTTCTCTTTCTCTCTCTACTTTCTCTTTTTCTCTTTCTAGATCTACTATATATGTATATATATAGATAAATATATACTACATATATCCTAGACCTAACATACGTCTGACAATCTCAAACTTGGTAACTAATTTAATAAATCATTATTTTTAATGAAAATAATATAGATATATATATACACCTCATTATATATATAACTACTAATTCCCATTGGTCACTATCCAACCCATTTAGGATCCCACTCAAATAGTCCAAGACCCATCTAGTTGGTCCATAGGCTATAACCAAAATCCATAAACTTTAAAATAAAATAAAAATAAAACCAAATGAAGCATTTAAATATCAAAATAAAAACATTTAAAGACAATTCAATTACTCAAACACATCACATGGAATCAAATAAAAATGCACATACAATTAGCCAGCATAAATTAATTTAACTAATTCAAATAAAACAATTCAATAAAACAATTAATCAATTAAACACACAATTAAATATAAAAGCAAATAAGCAAATAGCCATATAAATAAAGAAAAATGTAATTAAATAAATTCCAGAAAATTAGGGGTATTACAGTGCCTTCTTCTTCTCAGGGGAGGTTTGCGGTCTGTTCCTTATTTCTCTACCTTTCCAGATTTCATCGTTCCAACTTCCCATTGAAGACGGTTTGACGCTCAAAGGCTCCTCTCAGGGTGGCCTTTTTTGTTTGGATTGCACTTTGAGGCAAGATTCTGAATTTGGCTAATCTGACAAAGAGAAGACAGTTCACAGTCAACTGATGTTATCAGTGTAAAAATGATGCAGAGTCCATGGATCACCTTCTTTTGCTTTGCCTTGTGGCTCATGGTTGCTGGAGTCTTGTTTTGGTTTGTTTGGCGTTCATTGGGTTATGCCTTGGTCTTCGAGGGATTTGATTGATGTTTGAAGAGGCTACAATGTGGGGTCCTACGCCCGTGATTTTTGGAGGGCCACCCCCTTTTGTGTTTGGTGGTGCATTTGAAAAGAGCGGAATAGAAGACCTTTTGATGGGGAGAAATCCTCCATTGAGACGCTGAAATTTTCTATTATTAGTTATCTTTGTAGTTGGGTGATGGGGAGAAATTGTATGGATGAAATCGTGGATTTTTTGGGTTCTTTGGGTCCATAGGACTCTCTCTTTGGCTTCGGCCCTTGTATAGATCTCGGGATGCGTTCCCATTTTGAACGATTTCTAATACACTTTTGCTTATAAAAAAAAAGTGTGTTGAAAGACATTATGCTTGGATAATTTACAAAAACGTTAAAACTAAAAGCCAAAACCTGCTGGCAGGTACATTATTAAGTTCAAAATTCAAATGCTAGATAAGTATGTTAATTGTTTGTTTAGCTCCTATATTTTGTAAATATTAAATGTTCACCATTCATAATTTCATCACACATCTTTCTTGGTACAATTATTTTTTTTGACGGCCCATTTCGCTCTTGTAATTATTTAGTTTCTGTAGCCCAAATCTTATGACCTCCAATCATCTTTTGAAATTGTTGTTTTGTTTGTATAATTACAGATAAGCAGAGACTGCCAGGAACTTGAGCCCTCTATTGGTGAGCAGTTGGCTTCCCTTCTCTATCTTGAGCCAGATAGTGAACTGATGGTATGTTCATTTTTTAAATTATTGACTCTGGGAGATATAATTTCATGGACTTCTACGAGGTCCTCACATTTAGGGGTGCAACTCGGGCGGTTTAAGAGTCAACCATAGGTCAACCTAAAATATGACCAATATTACCCAAGCCTGAGTTGAACCCGTCCTCATGTTGGAGAGACCTCGCCTGAGCTCGACCCTACTTGGGTTGGTCGGGTTGGGTTTCTATCACAATGGGATAAAAAAAAAAATGGCAAATAAACAAAACACCACTACAAACTCAGAATACACAAGGCAAATGAACTCATATGTAGTGAAATAAGAATACAAAGGAAAATGAACAAAACATATATGTGTATATGTAGAGAGAAAGAGAGAGAGAGGGGATGTCTAAAATGAATGAAACAACATGATAAAACTTAATTACAGGAGGGAAACATATGATAGTTTGCCCGGAGATGAAGATTAACACAAATGTGTAACCCGCAAGCATATGGTTCCGGCTTATGGTGGCAGCTAGGGTTCTCTCTTCTCACAAGCTGTCTGCCTCACTAGATTTTCTGAAAATGGATGGGTTAGAGACTTGGAGATAAAGGAGATTAATATAACAAACAGATGGGGCCATTGGAAGAAAAATTATGGTAGGATTGATCTCTAATATTCTAATAATAATAAAAATACAAAATATAATTATGGCATAAATTGGTTTGGGTTGGGTTCGGGTAACAAATCTCTTGACCCTAGGCCAAACCAAAATGAGATCGGTAATTTGAGCCCAAAGCCCAACCCCTAACATGTGAAAACCTAGCCGAAGTCCGTCCCTCACTTTGGTTGGGTTGAGCCCGATCAACTTGTACCCCTACTCACATTATTGGAAAATTTCAGGTTTCAGTTATCTGGAAAAGTTGTCTTCACCTGTGCTGCAAAGTTCCATAAAAAATGTAAACAGTGTGGGTGCATGATGCACCACGTGAGGTACAGTAGGATGCATAAAGAGGTAACAAAACTTAGCTGTAGAGAGGTACTCATAAAATAACTAGCCATAGTGAGGTCTGTCCATGGGAGGGTGTCATCACAAATAGGTGTCTGTTAGAAATTGGTGTTCATTTGGGGATCATAAGTGGAAGGGGATAAGGCTTGCGTTGTCTGTCTGCAGCCAGACCCACACAAACAACAAGTGCTGGGGCTTTTTGTTGCACGAGAACGATATGTTTGCAATCAAACCTCATTGGAAGGCAGAAGTCCACAAACTTCAGTACATGAAAAATGATATATCTTCCAGATGCAGAGGATGCCCACTGATTGTTATGTGATCCCCACTACATGACATCACCCTAACATCATGTGGTGGGACCCACACCCCAACTCACATATCCCCCTTTCGGCATCCTCTGAATTCGGAGGATGTATCATTGCTTGAAGTATATAGCAAAACCAGAACTAGACAGAGGTGACTGTAGTTAAGTTAGTTTAGTTCCGGAGATTTCTGCTCACATAGAACATGCTGTGGAAGTAGTATTCACCTCATAAATACTGTGGAAGTAGTATTCACCTCGTAAATGGTCTAGAAGTTAGAGGAAATATAAGTAACAACTTTGTCAAGTTAATTATTTGGCAAATCCTGTGGTCAGATGTAAGTTGTGATATATGCAAGTAGTTATCAACAGAATAAACATTGATGAACTGAAGTCAGGAAGGGCTGAGACTATTTGTTGCGCGAGATTGAGCGGGGATGGCTGGAGATGTTTCCAATCAAACCCCATTGGAAGACAGAAGTCTTTGAACTGAGTATATAGCAAAACCAGAGCTAGACAGAGGTGACTGTACTTAAGGTAGTTTAGTTCTCGAGATGTCCACTCACATAGAACACATCATAGAAGTAGTATTCACCTCATAAATGGTGTAGAAGTTAGAGGAAATGCAAGAAACACCTTTGTCAAGTTAATAATTTGGCAAATCAAGCGGTTAGATGTAAGTTGTGATATTGCACAGTCATCAACAGAATAAAAAATTGATGAACCGAAGTCGGGAAGCATCAAAGTAATCCTGTACAGGACCTTTGTTTACCTGTTGGTGTCAAGGTATATGAGGTGGACTCATGACGTGCCATGCTGTGATGTAAGTTGCCACGTGTCAAGGCAAGATCATGTGCCACTCGGTAACCATGTATGAAGTTAAGAGTTATGTACCCACAATTGCAACTGTGCTGTGCAATTGTGTTAAAGTATACTTCATTTTTATTTTTTTAATCGACCCCCTTAAACTATGTAGACACTTTTACCATTATGTTGCAACAGTTTTGAAATTGTTGTTAGTCAAGGACCAAAATCTAAGTGACAGTTACAACTTTCAGGTTTCAATATTTGTTTCCCTATTTTATAGCAAAAATTCATGGCCACTGTTGCAAATTTCAATCTGTTTTATGGTTTGCTAGGTGTACTGGGAATTGGTATATAATGAGATACTACAAATTGGTCTCTTACACGATTATTTAGTTTCTCATTATGTTGAATATCTGTTATATAATTTTGGACTTTGGGGTCAGCTCTGGAAGAGCTGACTCAGGCAGCTGAGTCTTGTTTTACACGTAGGTAGCTGTAGCACAAATTTCTACTTTTGATTTCTTGATTTTATTTATCTTCTTCTTTCTTCCTTCAGGCAATCTCAGTTGCAGCAGAATCAAAGAGAGAGGAGGAAAAAGCAAAGGGAGTCAATCCGGACAATGGGACTGAGAACCCGGACATTGTCCCGTTTGAGGACAATGAAGAGGAGGAAGAGGAAGAAAGCGAGGAAGAGGACGAGAGCTTTGGCCAGGGATTTGGGGCAACAGCTCAAGGCAGAGGAAGGGGCAGAGGCATGATATGGCCTCCTCATATGCCTTTAGCACGTGGGGCCAGGCCTCTGCCTGGTATGCGGGGCTTCCCACCTGTCATGATGGGTCCTGATGGATTTTCTTATGGAGCTGTCACACCTGATGGGTTTCCCATGCCTGATCTTTTTGGTATGGGTCCCCGTGCTTTTGGACCATATGGTCCAAGATTCCCTGGTGACTTTACAGGTGCTGCATCTGGCATGATGTTTCATGGCCGACCTTCCCAGCCTGGAAATTTTCAAGCTGGTGGATTTGGGATGATGATGGGTCAAGGACGAGGCCCTTTCATGGGTGGAATGGGTATTGGGGCTGCAGGCCCAGCTAGAGCTGGTCGGCCAGTTGGTATGCCACCATTGTTTCCACCACCACCATCACAGCCCTCTCAGAACTCAAACAGGATGGTTAAGAGGGATCAAAGAGCACCAGTGAATGATCGGAATGACAGATACAGTGCAGGGTCAGATCAGGGCAAGGGTCAAGATATGGCAGGTTCAGGTGGTGGTGGGGTTGATGAAGACACACAATATCACCAAGGAGTAAAGATTGACCAAGAGGATCAATTTGGCTCTGGAAACAACTTCAGAAATGATGAAAGTGAAAGCGAGGATGAGGCACCAAGAAGGTCAAGACATGGGGAGGGAAAGAAGAAGAGACGAAGCTCGGAGGCAGATGCCACCACCAGCTCTAATCAGCAGATCCAGTGATGCATTGACAAGGGAGGCCATCTTTTGCGTCCACACCCACTCATAACCGTATCTCATTTTGTAAAACTCATTTCACCATCTATTCTTCAGTTGCGGGTTGTATTGTTGTGAAATTCAAAAAGCTGGGCAGCTAAAGATAATTTGAGTTAACATTCTGGGGTTTTTATTTTCTGTACACTTTTATGTTTTTTGGTCAAGATTTTTGAATATCTTGCCTAGTGTATATTATAGTTTAACTATAAATATAACCAGAATCATCGAAGCTATGGATGGAATACGATTAATTTAGTTGCTTTGTGTTATCCCGATCAACATGATTAGCTTAACACTGTTGGGGAAATGGAATAGGATGAATTCTTGTGCTTGGTTCTTTTAAGCCAAGTTCAGGGTGGAAAAGTGGAAGGTGGTTTCTTCTCAATAATGGTATTCAAACTTGGATTCAGTTTGAATCTTATGATCCGCTTTAAATCTGAATATTCTTGCCTTTCTATCTTCAGTATATGATGGATTTTATCACGAGAAAGCCAACCTCGGGCTTCTACTTCTCTCGCAAGTCGCAACTATGCTTCCTACCTAACTTGACAGCATTGGTGGATGCAACTATGAAGATTGTGTAAAAAGAGTAAAAGCAGCAACCCAATTAGATGGTTGAAGGCCTGGGACCATTTTAGTCTAACTATTGCCAAATTCAATTAATTTATATGAGTAGAGGCTCAAGTCATTATGACGAGAAATATGAATAACATCGTGATGTTGTCCTTCATTCAAATAAATAATTGAAGTTGCCTGACTTTCAGACACCAACCCATTATCCAAATAAAATTACACTTAAATCTATCATATAGTTATTTTATTTTTATTTTTTATATATATAAATTCTGTATCCCAGAAAACACAAGGGTTGCTAGCGAAAAAATACCACTATAGCATGCATATAGAGCGTATAACCCCCTATACGTTTTAAAAGGTCACTAACATTCAATTTTAAAGCAAACAAGCACCGGAATACTGAAAAGACTAAAATGTCCTTCTATAACTGAATAAAAATAGATAAAAAAAACTAATTAAATGTGAAATGACCAAATTGTCCCTCTTTTCTTTTCTTTTTTTTAGGTTTCTTCTTCATCATCACTACTAAGGGTGTTCAAAAAATCTGCTAAACCGAAAAATCAGACCGGATCGTATTGAATTGGGCGGTTTGGTTTGGTCTTGGGCCAAAATTATGGAACCGTAATTTTTCGATCCGGTCCTGGTTTAGGGTCGTGCTAGACCGGACCAGCTCGGACCAAACCATTCATATGTTACATAATATATATATATATATGTATGTATATCATATCGTAAATCTAAATTGAGTAAAGTTCTCACGTGCCCCCTTTCTTTCATTTGTTCTTTAAATTCCTTAAATTTCTTTAAAAAAAAGTCAAAATTTCCTTTTCAAATATATCTCAATTTTCTTTCCTTTTAAATATATCTCAATTTTCTTTCATTTTTTCTTCTTAAAATTCGTTTTTTTTTGCGTGTTATATCGATGTTAGTTGATATATATATATATATATATATATATTTAAAAAAAAAAAAAAACTTTGCCCCCTCTAAATTAAAAAAAAATAAAATAAAAAATCAACTAAAACCGTCAAACTGAACCGAACCAAATCGGGTTTTCTCGGTTTGGTTTGGTTTGGTTCCATGGAAATTATGGTTCGATTTGGTTTCAAAAATAATAGAACTATTATAAATAGTCTGGTCTCAAAAAATTCCCAATCTGATCCAAATCGGACCGTGTGCACCCCTAGTCACTATTACCAGTAATGGAACAACGGCTTGATATGTTCGGTATATACAGGGTAATTTATATATAAGGACATTATCAAAAGATATAAGGACATTTTTTAAATTTTAAATCTTAACCATGACTTCAAGCATATTTGTATACATAACATAAACCATTTATTTGCTCATTTTTTAAAACATATATGTATTATTTATCAAAAATATAAACACTGGGATGGTTTTTCCACTTTGATTCTCTTCAAATTTGCCATCTTTTGTTGACATTTTAACATTTACCATTTTCAAAGGTTTGAAAATTGGAAGATCATAAAAATCAAAATGGAGGTTGTGAAAAGGTGACGCATTAATGCCAATGTTGACATCAAACCTCCAATTTCAGAGGGCCTAAGGGCTATTAGCCAAAGCAAATATTTGGCATTTCTATACAAATCAATTAACTTGTATTATATGCCATATATACATACATATACATATAAATTCGATTTATGTAGATAATTTATCCACGTCCTATTATTTTCAGACCCAAAACACTCTCACCTTCTCGCCATTGCAGGTAAATTGGTTTCTCTGTTTCTAATTCTCGAATCGATGGATTCCAATTCCTCCAAATTTAGGGTTTATTCATGATGTGGATCTTTCCGTCTCTTCACCAGATTTAACGACAACAATTTCTTCGTTTCGTAAGCGTTTTGGGATTCTAGGGTTTGACGTTGCAGATCTTCGGAGCCTGTCTGCGGAACACACAGAGGATTGCTTCTGAGGCGTTAGGGTTTTTGCGTTGACAGATCCGAGTTTAAAACTTTTGCAGAAGGCCATTTTGCAGTTCGATTCAAGATGTTTTGGCGTATGGCAGGATTGTCCACTGCGTCTCCTGTAAGTTATCGGTTCTCTTGAGCGACGCTTTGACTATTTTTACGATCCATTACTCTTGTGAATAGTGTGAAGTCCTTAAATTTTCTATTTATCGTCTTTTTGAATGCTGACAAAATGGAGGAAAGCGAAGAAACTAACATTGATTCCATGAGGTCTTTATTTTTGTTTCCGCGGGTCCAAATGATGGAAAATATAACTTATCCTTATTTTTTTAAAAATTTAAATCTACAGCCAATCTGATTACATGAAGGGGTTTTCGGATTTGTTTATTTTGTTGTTTTTAGTGTTTCACGAAGTATAAAGTTTATTTGACAGCATTTCTTGTTGAATTATAATGTTTTTAGTCAACTGATACCCTTTTTTGTTATTATCTACCTTAGCAGCCTGGACAAATTTATTTGAATTGTAAACTTAAGAATTAAAATAATGTTTAATCACCACATTCCAGCCCTGTAATTACCCATAATTCAATGCAACAGTCTCAAGGACAGCAGAATTTATGCAACAGTCATATTTGGTCGGACTTGTTCATATTGATTGCCAACTTTCTGTTGGTAAAGGAAGATGGCGGTAGATATTATGTAGTTTGCACTACATAAATAGGATGAACAAGCATTGGTATTGAATTTAACTAACAATATGTTATCTACAAAGGCTTGTAATTCAATATTTTACTTAATTGTTTCTTGTTGACTTTAATTGAGTTATAAAGTAAAACTTATCAAAAAAATTGAGTTATAAAGTAAAAAAATTGGATATTTATGAGATACTATCAAGTTGAGCCTTTTCATTTATTTTTATCACCTCTTGAGTATTTGAACTCCGTGGCAGCGTGGCTTCAATTGCAAGGAAGTAAGTAGAAATAGGATATGTTTGATTGGCTTTAGGTTTGAGTTTAAATTGTTTAGTACTCAAGGAGAACTTGGATTTGTGGGTGTAAAACCCTTGTATTCAACTGGGGATTTATGGGTGTAAAACTCTTGTGGGGTTTGCAAATGTTCAGCTTGGCATGGTAGGCACTCAATTGATTTTCCTATTCTGTTAGTTGCCAGTGGATCATCCTTGTTTATACAATTTCCAAGACAATTCTAGTATATTTCAACAGTTTTTATTGTATATTCCAAATAGTTTCTTGTAGGCCTTAAGCTTCCGATTCTTGCTATAAGTGAGTGTGATTAAGATAGGCCTTGATTATCTCATCCATATTTTTTATTTATATTTTTTCCAAACTACCTACAGTGTTTATCCTCACCACTCTAGCAAGGTTTTCTGACTGATCCTTAAACATTTGAGGTAATTTAGTCCTTGTAATTATTAGGCTGATCATATTGTATAAACGGTTTTTGTTTTAAGGTTCATCAATTAGTATCATTATTTGGATCTAGTCGAGTCTTAACTAAAATTTAGAAAGTCTTATTTCAGTGGAAAATTTTTACTTTAGAAGTTTAAAGTTCTTTTAACTTCTTTTTCTTTTACCCCTCGCCCCATGAGTTTCCTCTTTTTAAAGGTTTTACTTAAGAGTCCAACTTGGAGTATTTTGTTTGGTATTTTGCACCATATATACCCATGCATGTATATAAATATTAAAATTGCTTTGTAGGGGAAATTTTATGTTTTGTTTACATTAATTAGTCTTATTTTTATGAGGTTTTTACTTGCATAGGAAGTTTTCTAAAGCTTATGACGTCCACTGTCTCAAGAAGATTTTGAGTGATATGAGATGAGTGTATAAGATCAATTTGGTTGTGTGAAAGCAAGATACACACACACACAATTATATCTCGGTAAGTAAATCACAGACACACCCATTCCACCAGGACTTGAATCCTCAATCTTCCTTTTAGAAGTTTATGCCACTTAGACTAAGCCCTTGGTGAAGACAACATTAAGAACTTCGTATCATGGGATTGGTCATTGACATGGGGAGTATTGAGATGACTTGGTTGTGGTGTATCAAATTGATATTAGGCCAGCTACCTCTAAGGCTCAAAATCTATAACGATATGAAAAACTTAGAAATAGTAAGAACCTAAAACTAGGAAGACCATAAAAAAATATAAACAAAATGAAAAATATAAACAAAATGTGTAAATATGTTTTATAAGATATGAAAATGTCTTAAATATCTATAACTATGCTGCCAAGTTGGTGGTATAAAAGGTGACATAGCACGATATTACATTCAATAAAAAATAAATATATGGTATATTGTAAGTTAATTTGACATAAATTGGCTCCATCACCAACTCCAACATTATCCTTTGAACATCATCCTTATCATTCTCAGAACCCTGCCTGACTCTTAATTTCACTTACCTCATTCATTCTCCGGCAATTTTGGAAGTAATTGCACAAATCCAACCATGGTACCACAAATTTATTTTTGTTAAATTTATTATATACCTACAAAGATTGTTGACATTTGAAATAGTTTGTTTTCCTTTCTTTTTGAGAAAAAAGATATGTAAAAAAGGGTTAAATTACCCCTACCTTCCGTGAAGTTTGATCGAATTTTCATCGACTTTTAAATTTTGTAAAAGTCACCTTGACACCTCGGTCAATAGGCTCGAAATGAAGCAGATCCGGATCCATATTTTAAAATCACGAGCCATATCCGGATCCAAATCCTATGGACATGATTTATATACAATCCATATTATATTTAAAAAAAAGAAGGAAAGAAAGTATAAACATGATCAAAATATAGCAAAATATACTTGATCTGGGTTAGTTCTTTTGTGAAATCTGATACATTTAAGAAGTACCTGGATCCATATCTGGATTGAATCTGTGGAGTTTATAACCAATATCTATATTAGACCTGTTTTTGAGTTCGGGGTCAAAATTAAAGTCCAAATATGTTAAAATGGGCTTTGGATTGGATGGGATCTCAGGTCAAACAAGCCTTACTTGTCAGAGTTAGTCAGTTAACATCACAAAGCATTTTACAATTTTATCCTCTCAATGATTTTTTACTCTTTTGAATGCCTTTCCATTTCTCCCTCTTACTTCACCCTCCCCATCACCATCTCCAATACCGTCCCCTCTCCCTCTCCGCCATGACCACTTTCGCTTCCCTTACTAAGCGATTCTCGATCCAAACCCTCTCTGGATTACATTACTGGTGTCAGATTTTGATTGCATTTCTGGCTAAACAAGGGTAAATTCTGCTAAGAATAGTAGCTCAAACGCCATCTCTCTCTCTCTCTATATATATATATATATATGTATGTACGTCTCTTTGTTACACTAAAGTGCTTAGTTTACCTTCTGTTTGCTAATTTTTCATATATTTAACAACTATACATTTGTTATATGTTCTTTTGAGCTGATATATATATATATATATATATATATATATTTATTTATTTATTTATTTATTTCGATTTTGATCTATTGAATTGTTGGGTTGAGGTGTCAATTACCCGAGCCCAATCTGAAGTTGAATTTTAACTCTAATTTTTATGTATTTGTAATTTTAAGTCTACTTTGAGGGTCTAACTTTTTGTGGCTATGTGAGTCTAATTGGGCTGCACGCCCTGTTTTGTGTGCTCTTCAATTTATTTACTTATTGAAAACAGAAATTATATATACTTTATGTTATGATCAACCTTTTCATTTCAACTTATTTTTCTTTACATTTTCAATTTAGTGTATATATATATATATTTTTGATAAATAAAAGAATATTATTAAAAGACGCTCGAGAGGGGAGCGAATCCCAAGGAAATACAGAGGAGCACAAAGGTCTCAAGCCTTCAAAGAGGCCAAAAAATCAGCAATTTCCTCCAACGATCTATGATCTGTAACGACCCGAACTCGAGGGTCCGAATCGCTAACCGGGTCCTTACCTGAACCCGAGGTTAACTATAAACGTTACCGTCCTTTTCTATATCAAAACATAATATAAGTGTCGTCCAAGGGTTTATAAATAATAATAATAATAATAAAAATGAGATCATAGTTACAAAGTAGGTCAAAACGATCTACTAACCTATTGAACCCTGTGGAGGAGCGTCGTCCGCCACTTCCCGACCGTGTCCTGAAAAATGTTAAATATAAGGGGTGAGCAAATTGCTCAGTAGGAGGTGCCTAAGACACACCTCTTATGACCCCGTGAATCCACATAGAGAATAGAAAGCATGAAAACGGGATCATACTATATCGGGGATGTGAATCATAACCACAACATCCAATATAAACACAAATGTCATCTAAGTCACAAATACGCCATGTATGCCAATGAAGTGCAATGCCATGCTCGACATTTCCGTTTCAACTTCCAAACTGTTAGTGTAATCCGACCCAAGGCACCTCCAAGGCGTCACGAGGGAGGGGTTGGCTAGTCTTCACCGACCACATGGCACCTCCATGGCGTCGTCTGGGTAGCTCAACCACACTAGAGTCTCTCTCTAACCCCCTCTAGATCACACTAACACCACGGACCACTAGGCGCCTTCTAGACGTCCGGGTTTCCGCAAACACTTTTAGAAAACATTTTTCCTAAAATTTAATTTCCTTTATTTTAAAAACACTTTTCCCATTTCTCTTCCCAATGGATGCAGGAATGCTCCATGTTTCAAATCATCAATTCAATAATAAAATTTTCACACATACCATCCAACATAATTTTCCAAAACACATAACTCGTGCTTTCAATCAACATCAATTTAATATGGTAAGCATTTAAAACATGAATTTAACTTCACATGTATAAAGAATCACCACACAACAAGTAACAAATAGTCATGTGTTCCATAACCAACATTTTAACTAATTTTGCAAGAGATTATACAAATTGAGCATGCTTAACATCAAATTAAACAAGAAAACTCACAAAAAACACAAGAATTTAAGTATTAGAACACCCCTACCTCTTAGGATGCAAAACCCCCAATTTTGCCCAATCCAAACCCTAGAATTTGAAATTCCTAGGGTGCCCAAAAGTGTGAATTGCTCCTATCAATGTGTAGATCTTATTGTGCTCTTTGATTTGCCGCAAACGGCATCCAAAAATTCCAAAGGATGAAGGAGAAATCAAAGCTTGAAATTGTAGAAGAAAAAAAAAAAGAAAAAGAAAAGGGAAGCCACTGGACGCAGAACTAGACGTAGAAAGAGAGAATAAAAATGATGTGTTCTGTAAACCCATAAGTCATGTGTAATGGCTTATGTTTGTGGTGGGTCCCAGGCCAAATAAATTTTGTTTTATTAACTTAACTTTATATATATATATATATATATATATATATATATATATATATATATATATATATAAAGTTAAGTTATATATATATATAAACAAAGCCCAACCATTACATGATCTCTCCCTGAAACCTAACAAAAAAGAGTGGAAATAATCGAGAATTTAAGTACCAAAATCGACAACGCCTTTCCTTCAAAGTATCTCCTATTCCTTTCAAGCCAAATACACCACCACACACAAAGCGGCGTAGCTCTCCACGTATCCTGACTGAGAGCCCCCACATGGCAACCTCTCCATATCTCAATCAACTCTCTAGTAGATCCTGGCATAACCCAATAAAACCCAAATAAGCCAAGCATCAAATCCCAACACTCTCTAGCCAAAGAGCAATGAATGAAGGTGATCCATAGATTCCTCGTCACGAAGACACATATAACAACGATTGACCACCACCTGGCTTCTCCTTCTCAAATTATCCTGGGTTAAGATCCTACCCAGAACTGAAGTCCACACAAAGAAAGCCACTTTGAGAGGAGCCTTGGAACGCCAAACAGACTTCCAAGGAAAACGAACTCCAGGATCAAAAGAGAGGCACTTGAAGAAAGACCTCACCTCAAAACACCCCTTGGAGTTTGCGACCTAAGACCAACAATCCGAATCCTCCACCATAATCCTCTGGCGATATAACAACTCCAAGACACGAATTGCCTCATCAATCTCCCAATCCTGAAAGGCACGCCTGAATCGAACATCCCAAACCAGTCTCCCATTATCAAGATGATAACAGTTAACCACCAAGGCCTGCCTATCCGAAGCAATCCTGTAAAGCTGAGGAAAGGCAAGAGTAAGAGGAGCATCACCACACCACACATCCTCCCAAAAACAAATCCTCCTCCCATCTCTAAGACGAAACCGAATGTGCTTGGAAAAATCATCCCAACCCTTCCGAATAAATTTCCAAACTCCCACCCCCCGAGGATTTCTAACTTCCAAAGAGCTCCACCCTCCTCTCATCTCTCCAAAACGACAAGCCACAACCCTCCTCCAAAGCCAATGTCTCTCCACACCAAACCTCCACAACCATTTTCCAAGAAGGGCCTTATTAAAAGGCACCAATCTACGAAGACCCAGCCCACCATTCCGAATAGGCCTGCATACCTGATCCCATCTCACCAAATGGAACTTAAACTCTTCACCTCTACCCCCCCACAAAAAATTATGCTGCAACCTCTCAATCCTCTCCGCAACTGAAGATGGAATCTGAAAGAGAGAGATAAAATAAGTGGGAAGGCTAGAGAGGGTACTCTTAATCAGAGTGACCCTGCCGCCCTTGGAAAGATACTGCTTCTTCCAACCTGCCAACCTTCTCTCAAATCTATCCACAACTGGATCCCAAAACCCCACACACCTCGAAGGAGCTCCCAGAGGCAAACCTAAGTAAGAAATGGGAAAAGCACCAGTGCGACATCCAAGGATGTCAACAAAAGTCTCAATCTCAGGAACCTCCCCAACGGGCACCAAAACACTCTTGCCCACATTCACCTCAAGGCCAGAGACAACTTGGAACCAAATCAAGACACATCTCAGATATCTAATCTGGGACACATTCGCATCACAAAGAACCAAAGTGTCATCAGCAAACATCAAATGAGAGATCTCCAACCTGAAATATACATGCATGTTTAGAAATTTTCTATTATAAGGAGTAACCCAACTTGAAACTAACTTGAGATCAACTCGATTTTCAGCCTGATTTCTCTAACTTGTGCATAAAGATTTGAATGTGGGTTGGTCTCTTAACTCACTCAACCTACCCGAGTCGCATCCATTTTTGTACGTATATGAACTCACCAAGTCACCTTTCAAAACATCTTTATTCGGCCTAATCAACTTGTGTGTCAATACCATACTCGCAGTTTATCTATATCAGACTTAATGTCTCTCTTACCTCCGATCCAGAGTTCATTCTGCTGAGTTGACTCAGTTTTTACCTAGACATTGAGCCTTAATTCTGATGATATTTTGTTTGGGTTTTAATTTTATTTAGCACTGAACTTTGTGATTTTTGCAACATTGTGTAGGAGTTCTTTTTATAATTTAAATTTTGCTCCCTTAAATTCAACCACACCATCCATGGATAACTATTGGATGTGATTGCTATGTTTTTTTGGTAACTACCTTTTTTACATCCAATGATCACTATGCATGGTGCGGATGAATTTCTTGCTCACTGGTGAGCAAGAGATCATTACCCAATTTCCACATAATCCATATTGTGTTCATGTTTGTTTTTCAAAAGAATGAGCATATAGATTTTTCCCTTCTGAAAAGAAAGCTTGTCAGCATGTCATTTAGTGTTAATCTAGTATGTCTCTTGATACTTCTATATGGAAGCCGAGAGAGAGTTTCCAGCTACCTCATTCATTTTGATCAATTTTTATCATGCTAGATTTGAATGTTTATCTATTTATGTGTCGATGTATAAAAAATGTGATTTAGATTGATCCGTCGTTTATTTTTTTATATGTTCATTTCAGGTGGAGACAATTTTGGATAAAGAAAACTTTACACTCGAAGAGCTTCTTGATGAGGATGAAATAATTCAAGAATGCAAATCTCTTAATGGCCGGCTTATCAATTTGTAAATGTCCATAATTTGCTCATGCTAAAATTTCCAAGAATGCATCGTCGTTTTTTTTTTTTTTTCCTTCTGTGCTTATACAATCATTGGTTTTAGGGATTGTACAGCATTGTTTACTGCTATCTGACGGTACAATGGCAGAACTTTGTGATAATCGAAGCATAACATAGTGTTTTGCTGGCATTTGATTATTGGAATTATACTTGAGATTTTTTTGGAAAGTGTATTGTTTTATGGTTGTACTAACTCTGGAAAAATGATACTTCTGCTACTGGCTAATAGTAAAATGCTGTATTACTTCTGTTTAATTCTAATTGTTGTTGTCATTATTAGTTAGAGGTTTGTCAAAGCTATTTATCGCTAAACAGTGGAATGGGACTTGATGTTTTTAAAGACAGTTGTATTAAGTGCCGTCAAAAGCTTGGTAACTAGACTTGTTGAGCCTGCTTATCGCTCCTCTTCTTTTCATTTTTGATTTACTTTTACTTCTCAAGTAGTAGATAATTCACAGGTTTTCTGCTCCATTTTTCACACGAATTCATTAGAAATTTTGAGGATGCAGGCATGTTCTTAGCCATAAAAATTATTTTGGTGGGATTAAACGTGAAAAGATGTTTGTGTTCTCTGCCATGAAGAGAATGTGGCTTAGAGTAATTTATAAAGTCGGTCTCTATGCTCTTGACGGTTGAGTAAAAAAGGATAGGAACAAATACAAACATCCAAGTTTAAAAGGTCGACTTGATGGTGGGAGCCACACACTTTTGGGATGGTAGAAAGTATGCAGATTACGAGATGCACACCGGGCTGTCAACTAGAGGCAGTGCTGCTTCCTTTATTGCAAACTACAGAGAAAAAAGCAACTTATTTAGGAAAGGGAGAAATTGAAGCTTGAAAAGTTTTTGGGAGGCCGATTACTGCATCGGCTGCCGAGAGAGAACTGTTAATATTTGTTATCATATATTATCTTCTTATCAAATATTTGCCATTACTTTTGCGGCTACCAACAAACTGCTTGGGTGGGCCAAGTGTCGAGTTCAAGGTCAATTATACCTGCCTTAGACTTGATTCGGGGTTCTGATAAATAGTTGCCCTTAATGTAATGCTCCCAATTAATTGGATCATTTCTAGTTACTTGATTTGTGTGCTATAACATTTTAGTTTGAAATCCTGATAGCTATTAGTCGAATTCTTTTCGGGTTCAACTGTTTTTGATGTGAAGTTCTGAACTGGCGTAGTGTTATGAAGGACTTCTGGTGTACTTTGTTTATATATATTATATAGATTGTTCTTGCAAATTATTATTTTTTAAATCGTGAATTGTTTTTCTGATCTTGCATGCTTCAGCAGCAAGTTAATGTCTAAATTTAACCTTGTCATATAATTTCCTCACTGTCCTTGCAGCTTGCGAGAAAGAGTGCAGGTTGAACAACTTCTACATTATATAGTGGTGGAAGCTCCAGATGATGCTGAAAAGACACGATCTTTTAAGTAGGTTTCTATGGACAAATATGTAAATATTGTTTTGAAATGTTCTGATTAACATGTAAATATTGTTTTGAAATGTTCTGATTTACTGCTGCGGGTTCTTCTATGTACCTTGTTGCATTAATGGCGGCTTTGCTATATGCTTGTGCGTGTAGGTTTCCTTTTATTGCTTGTGAAATTTTTACTTGTGAAGTTGATATCATACTCAAAGCTTTGGTAGAGGATGAGGAGGTGAGAATCTAAAAGAGTTCAGTTTCCCTTTTCTTCATTAACATTACTTTCTTTCAATTATCAAGAATTTTGTATTTGTCTTTTTTTTTTTTTTTTTACTTTCATCAATATGTAAATTTGTTTGTTTATTTCTCATTGACAGCTGATGGGCTTGTTGTTTTCCTTTGTGGAACCTGAACACTCCCATAGCACGCTACTGGCTGGTTACTTCAGCAAGGTATCTATTATTTGGCTCTCAATTTTTCTCTCTTCGATGTATTTGAAATGGAAGAATGTTCACTATCTTTTGAAATATAGAAAGTACTGTTGGCAATTTATTTAAGGTTCTTTATGTCTTTCCATTTCTTGAGGTGTCATTGATTTTGTTTTCCCGGGTGTTTGATGCTCTGATTTCTTTCTGCAAGGTTGTTATATGCCTATTGTTGCGGAAGACAGTTCCTTTTATGAATTATATTCAAGTAAGTCCAGTAAATTTTGCCTCACTTACTAGATGAATTCTTCCTGCTTATGATGAGTTTGAAAAGTGTTGTGTAAGATCTGTGTATTATTTCGTATGCTATGCACATTTTTGTGTGTGCATAGATTCTTGATATGAGAATTTGGTGTTTTTGCTTCACCATGATAAATATATGCGATTTTTTTCTGTACCTGTTGAATAAGAACCTTAAAGTGTCCCATGGTCATGCTACTGACTTACTAACATATCCTTTATTGTCTTAAATAAAGTGAATAGTAGAATATGTATGCCTTAAGTGGCATTATTCAGATGACTAAACACTACAACTTTTCCCTGAACCCCCCCCACCTGAAATTATGAACGGGTCAGTGGCCTAGCGGTATTAGCCTCTTACTTCCTAAAAGGAGGTCAGGGGTTCAAGTCTCAGAAGAGACAAGTGTGTGTGAGTACCAACTAAGAAAAAAAAAAAAAAAAAACAGTACGATGTGGATGTAATTGCATCTGTATACCATTTGGTAATTTATTCAACTCTGCACACATCGCTCTCTCTATTTCACCCTTGCCTTTCTGTAATTGTTGAAATACTGTGGGCATAGTTACCAAAACCGCGATCAGGATAATATGCTCCTACAATTGATCTGGATCGCATAGGTAATTTATTCAACTCTGCACACATCGCTCTCTCTATTTCACCCTTGCCTTCCTGTTATTGTTGAAATACTAGTGGGCATAGTTACCAAAACTGCGATCAGGATAATATGCTCCTACAATTGATCTGGATCGCATAGGAAATTGCCAAGGGGTGGGATAGTAGTGGGATCACCAGGAGGTTTTCCAGGATCATAGGATCACAGTGAGATCATTATGATCATAATGGGATCGCTATAAGATCATATATGTATTTAAGAGCCAATGATTCATTTTTTTCCCTCTTCTTGGTCATGATGATCGGAACTATTTGTATAGTGTACTTGTCATACTTCATGAAAGATGGTAGTGGTATCATATGTAATAGGCATTTGGTAGGTTGTGTTAAGAATTATCTTGGTTTATTTCATTAAAAAGTATTTTTGCATTACAGAACTTAGAATTTTGTAACGAAAACTGAGGGTGGAAGTATTCAAACTTTGATCTCACCTCTTACAACTTTTAAATTTCAATGTAGTTTTGTGGGTTCTACCTTTCATGTTACTTTAAATTTACTTGATTGAACTTTTTTACATACAAACGGGTTCCGTATGTTTGTAATAACATTTATGTTATATTTTTTAATGTGTTTTAGGCTTGTTCTTTATCTATTTTTTAGAACTTTTTATTCATAAATATTGTTTGCCAATCCTGCTATCTGATCCTATGGACCCCCATGGCTTTGATGTAGTATCTCGATTTTACAACCTCGCTAGAGCCTATTTGTTAGAAGATGACATGGACATTGCCTTTGGGAGTTATATCCAATGTAACCTTGAAGAAAATGTGATGTACCTATGACTATATTGATTGTTCATTGTGTAATCATGTTAGGCATGTCAATCTGTTATCTTCAGCCAACGCATTATGAAAATGCTCAAGTTCAAGCCATACAGTTTGTAGAAAATTGGATCACTCCCATTAATTTAGTATACCTTATTATGTTTCTAGTAGTTTGTGCTGCTGATGTTTGTGATGTGAGATCATTCTCCTTTATTTAGTAAACTACATGATTTTAATAGTTTGTGCCACTGCTATCTTGTGATATTTCACCTCATAAATGTATGATATTTGTAGAGATTCAGATCTCTTTTTTATCTATTTACTTGTCAGATTGGTGGAATATGTTTAATTTTTCTACTACAATTTAGTGCTTCCTTTTTTGACGTTATGTATTTTAGCTGATGTCTTTAAATGTTGCTCATCTAGGCTCATCACGAAATCATCAGGAAGCTTGTTGACCTTATTGGAATTACATCCATCATGGAGGTTCATTGCTGGCCATTTTTGTGTATTGCTCACTGATTTGAATCTCTTGCTAACATATTTCTTGTTGAACAGGTTTTAATTCGTTTGATTGGTGCTGATGAACATCTTTATACCAACTACATGGACTCAATGCAATGGTTAGAAGAGACAGATGTGCTGGAGATGATTGTTGACAAATTTAGCTCGTCGGTATGTTGCATCAATGTTGTATGATCTTGAATCTTTTGAACATTGGGGTTGCCTATTCCATGGGATACTTATTACATGAGGCTCTCTGGCACCTTTGGTGGATTAGAAGAAATTAGGGATTCTTTATTTTTCCTTTAGTCATATGGGATATCCTGATGGTTGCAACTCATTTTTCCGTGGGTTTCAATTGAGGTTTTTTATATGGGTCAAATATTAGCTTGAGACATGAGTCGCATGCATCAGACATCTTCATTCCACACCATCTGCATATCAAAGTTGGTGTCTTTGTTGCCCAAGTGCAGACCATCTTATTGATTATCCATGAATGACTGTTACAATCATAAAGAGAATGTGTCTGTCTGAAAAAATGCTACTAGATAGATTTTACGAACTGGACGCTTGCCATCCGACCCAAAACTTAAGTTGTTGGGTGATGCCGCTCTAAGTCTCCAAATCCCTATCCAATGTGGGACAAAATCCTGTGACATTCTTCCCCACCTGAACTTGCAATGCCCTTGTTGCGATCGAACCACCTTGCCTACCTGTCCACCCTAACGGTGGGAGGACCCAATAATGACTGACCCGGACAACTCCGTGTGGGCGTTTGGTGTGACACTGGATAACGGACTGGACGCTTGCCATCCGACTAAAAAGCTTAAGTTGTTGAGTGGTGCTGCCTACTAGCTCTTATAAGCCCAAGACTACCCTTCCCTAATCCAATGTAGGACAAGACCCTTGTGACATTAGTCTTATACATCAAGCTCAAGTTCGTTTTATAATTTTCTCTAGAGCCTCTCAGTAACATGATCTGCATAGTATATGGCTGGCTATTCATTTTGTATATTTCCTTAAACTTGACTGTGTAATATATATTATAGCGTTCAGATTCTGTATGTATTTTAAGTAACTTTTTGTTTGGTGTGACAATTAAAGGATTGTCCAGAAGTGCATGCTAATGCAGCAGAAACACTTTGTGCTATAACTCGATGTGCTCCCCCGGGGCTTGCTGCTAAAGTCTCGAGCCCAAGGTAGTGCTCATGTTTCTTCTCGTGTGTCTCGGAAGTTGGCAAATTGATTCGTTGTGTTTGTTGTTATTTGGTAATGCTTATACAATTTTCTCTGTTTTACACAGTTTTATTGGAAGATTATTTCGTCATGCTTTGGAGGATTCCCGGCCAAAATCCGTGTTGATTAACTCATTGTCTGTATGCATATCTTTGTTAGACCCAAAGAGATTAACATTAGGGACGTATCACACGTACAACCGCCAACTAACTCATGGATCTACAATAACTGCCAATCCTGAGACCGTGGAGGGTATGCTGGAGAGCCTTGGTAAGGTTACTGTGCTGGTGTGTTCTGGGTTCTTTCTTGCTTTTTCAGCACCTCTTCTCCTTTCGAACAGTATATCTGCTGATATTGTTATAAAAATATCCCCTTCAGTTGTTTCAGTATAACTTACTTGTCTTTCAGCTGTTATACTGTTCAACATATTTATGCATGGTCTTTTAGATCAGTTCCACTATGATTTTTGCACCATCGGGAATGGAATTAATGTGAGGAAACTGTCTTTTGGTTAATTACATGTTTTATGCTACAATTGAGGACATTAGTTGTCCCAACTCCTAGATTCACAACATTGTGTGTCTATCACAATTTGGTAGGGAGATAAGTAGTGGTTAATATTCTGGAAAATATATAGGAATGATGCGCACTTCAAATTTTAGATTTTATATATTTTTATTTTTATTTTTTTGGCAACCATGCACAATCTTGTACATTAGAATAGGCATGCTTCAGAGAATAACAATGTTACTGGTCGATGATGACAAGTTGCAGTGCAAGTCCTTTTGCATGGTCGTTACTGGTGAATATGGATAAAAAGGGGCATGTGGGGCAATGCCCCCCTAAGTTCAAAATGTGCTGGGCACTTAAATTTTGGCCAACTCTGATGCCTCTAAATTAATGGATCACTCCCAATTCAAAATCCCTGAATGTTGTCTCATGGACCGTAACCTCCAAACCGATGTCTCTATAAGTGTTGACTTTTCTTCCCATGTTAACTGTTTTAGTGATTTCCGTAATGGTACATTTGGATGATGGATGGAACTGAAATGAAGGGATTTAGGGTTTAAATAAGATTAGTTATTGGAGTTGGACTAGGAGCCCCAAGGGGATGATGATTGAATAGAGGTATGAGATATATATATTTGATTAAGTCGTCGTGCAACTAGAAATCTTGCCTCCATGTATTAAAATAAGGTTCTCAAATTAATTTATGCATTTTATTGAAATTCATTTAAGCTATATTCCTTAGATAATTCTATTTACTTCCATTAGTTTTAAAGCTCAATCCAGATAGGATGTGGCTAGCAAAAATAAGGGAAGTTTATTTTCTTCACTTTTTCTCCCAAAGGCAAAGCGTTCTTTTTTGAACAAAAACAATTAAAGATAGTTCCCAAAACCTCTAATTAGAAATATCCATGCAACCATAGCATTAAGAGAAAACTGAAACACTTTTTTACAAGTATAAAATGTTATTAGTTAAATAATGCTAGAAAATGTGACTTCTTTTTGAATAAGAAAATTGAGAGGAACTTCAAGGAAAATGAATTTTCAATTATCAACACTCCTGAAAAATGAAAGCAATTGATGAATATAAAAAAGCATCATGGTTCTTTTTGTATGATAGGTAAGAAGTAATCCACTGAAGGGCTAATGATGGATTGATGGCGCAGTTCATGTACAATTGGCGTATGTGATCACTATGCTTGAATTTATCCACAAGTCATCGCTCTTCAAATAATCTATGAAACATTCCAAAGAGAAGCCCACAAGAACCAGGAAAAGGAAGACCTTAATGTAAAATTTCACTTTATAATAACATTTCAATCCATATAAAAAAACTTCTCTGCCCGCTTTTTTGATACACTGGCTAAGGCATACTGGGGCTACATCCTGACGCAAGTGTTCTACTTGAACAGCCCCTCATCCAACTACTTGGGACTCCTGTAACTCCCCGATATTACCCACCTAATACCAGATGAGGAAAACAATATCTCCTTGGCCACTAAATATTGACATGCACATCAAATGTTTCTATGAGGTCCTTGGGTGTTTCTATGAAATTCTTTGAACTAAAATGCATTACTTTATGTGATTAATTGCAAATTTCAAGCCTGATTTGTAATGATCAAGACATATCTTGTTTGTAGAATTCACGGGTTTTTTAGGAGGGAGGTGAGGGGTCTAAGTTTCAGTTAAAATGGGTGTGTTTGTTTCTTTTTTCTGTCCTATTTATTTAACGAAACCTAATAGTAGAGATCACGTTTGTCTGCTAGCTTTATAAATTTTAACCAACTTAACTAGACAAAATTACAAATAATTTATGTTCTAGTGGGGCAATTTAAATTGTGATACTCTTGCCAAGAACACTCAAATTGGACTCAAAACTTCTTCAAAACTATGCCCTTGTTTTCCCCTTTTGCAAGGCAACATAGAATTTATGAAGATAGAAATTAAAATATGATTCAAAGATGTGATTCATTTTTTTTAAAAATAACTTTCAGAATTCAATTTACATCTAGAATTACTTTATATATACCTTTGTGTAATTAGGTAATCTGTGTAAATATCTTACTCATCAAGCCACTTTTTGGGATGATATTGTACCGCATTCTATTTGCATTTTTAGTACTAAAATTATTATATTCTGCTTGCTTTATGGATGTTTGCATGTCTCCGCATTTGTGATTCTATTTGTCTATCAGTGTCTATGCATGTGCATGTGACTATTGACATCAACTGTTGATTGTAGGTTGCTTGTGCTCCATGTCGTTTCATATTGGTACATAATGATTGAGCTTGAATTAGGTTTTATGATTATTGAGCTTGAATTAGGTTTTATGCATGGACATGATTATTGTGTTTTGGAACGTATAGTAAGTTTAATTTGAGCAAACTGGCACTCTGCGCATCAAAGCATCTTAATTTTGTCATAGCATAGTAAATGAAAAGTTTGTCTTGGTTTTATCTTGCAGGGGATTTGCTCAAACTTTTAGATGTTTCATCCAAGGAAAATGTGTTGCTAACTACATATGGGAAGTTACATCCCCCTCTTGGAAAGCATCGTCTGAAGGTATTCATTATATATGCCTTTGGAAAAGAAAAAAATTTAAAAATCAACATTTAATCATTTATCTGTTGATTATATTTCCTCCTTTCTTGACTACACTTGTATCTTTTTCTTTTTGTCGTGTAAATTTGAACTCATCAAATTACACGGATGTTACTTAGCTGTTAGTTGATATCAAAATCATTATATTTGCTAACTCCATCTTAAAACATCCATTTATAGATACAATGGATTGGTGAGCAGTTTATTCTCTCTCTCTCTTCTCCAAATATTATACTCTCTAGAAAGAATAATAAATAGTCTGAATTATTTCTAGTTGATTCTTATTGTCTACTAATATGGACATTTCCAGATTATAGAGTTCATTTCAGTCTTAGTGACTGTTACTAGTGAAGTTGCTGAAAGGGAATTGATTCACCTTGGAGCAGTTAAACGTATTTTGGACTTGTTTTTTGAGTGAGTTTTACTTAACTTCATTTATTTATTTCTCTGGAATTATTGACATTTGGGATTTCATGATTTGCCTTTAATGTCTTCAGGTACCCATACAATAATTTTTTGCATCACCATGTAGAGCAAATACTAGTTGCTTGTTTGGAGAGCAAAAATGCTCAGTTTATTGAACACCTTCTCAAAGACTGTGATCTTGTTGGGAAAATTCTTGAAGCAGAAAAAAATTTCACATTGGCCACTGATCCAAACAAGGTACTGGTTTATTCATCAATGATGATGAGTTTCTTCTCAGTTGTAAATTTTTAAATGTATCTTTATTTTTTATTTCGTAGGATTTATGTGCATCATCATCATCATCATCATCTTTCTCATGGTATATTATTTATTTTGGGTAACATCTATTTAATCTGTATTGAAGTTCAATTTGTTGAATGCGATTTTGCAGCCGACGGTCACTGCTGAGGCAAGATTACCTCCCAGGATAGGGAATATTGGGCACATAACACGCATATCTAACAAACTCGTTCAACTGGGCAATAATAACAGTGACATACAAGCACATCTGCAGGTTATTTACTTAAATTTTATCATATTTCCTTCATTACCTCTTCGATGAGTCAATCTATGATGAATGATTACTCAGAGTGGAAGACTTTGTTTGGCTATACAAACCTGTAAAATAAAAATGCAGCCTGTGTTAAAAGTCCTTTTCCCCTTATTTACATTGAGATGTCTCCAACACAAATTACCCATAAGTGACAAAAGAATTTTGAATTGTGAAGTTGCAAATATTAAGGTGCTTGTTGCTTATCAATCAACTCTGTGTGGTTTAAAATTCTCCAGTTCTCTATTTGCTAGAAGGATTCCTGCAAATTTTCCATTTTTAATGTCAAATGCCCTTTTAAGCTTCTATTTTTTATTTTGACAGGAGAATACTGAATGGCTGGATTGGCACTCAGATGTCCTACTCAAGCGTAATGCAGTAGAAAATGTCTACCAGTGGTCTTGCGGGTTTGTGTTCCTAAATTATATTTTTTGCCATCATGTTCTGTCACATTAACATTTGAATTGCAGTTTGATATTTTGTACGGAGGATGTGTTAAACAGGCACACATAGTTATTTTTATGTTGCACTTAGTAACTTAAGAAGTTCTAAACTATATGGTGGTATTTCTGTTGCATAATTAATATAATGTTGTCCGTTGCCTTGGAGCATTTGCTGTGGGCACAGCAGTATAAGAATTTTTAGGATGCATTATGGTTATTTTTCCCTCTTTCGGGAATTTAGAAAAATGTTTGTGAAACTCTTTAATGACTTAGTTGTTAGAAACATTTATTTGTCTAGTATGTGTTTCTTGCATATATAAAACTTATCTAAATGTATAACTTACATTTTAAATGTCTTCAATTTCACTAGATCAGTTGAACTTGGGAGATTTGGAATTATTATATCGGAAGAATGAATACCTTACTCATCTACTTATATTGATCCTTTTTGGCTTACATTTTTCCTAATTAATCATGATTTTTCATCTATTGTAACAGGAGGCCAACAGCATTACAGGATCGGACCCGGGATAGTGATGATGATGATTACCAAGATAGAGATTATGATGTTGCAGCTCTAGCAAATAACCTAAGCCAGGCATTTCGATATGGCATTTACAGTAATGATGATACTGATGAGGTGCCTTTCATAACTTCTGATGTAGTCTACTCACTTGGTTTTAATTAATTAATTAATTTATTTATTTGGGATTGTGAAACAAAGTAAATGTGTAAGAAAGATATACATAACTTGTAAAAAAGGAGCCAAAGATGATGACTGCGTCAACATCCTGATGGGAAAGTGTTTCTGCTGGAAACTATTGTAACACATACCAGATGTTTTGGAAAGATGAAAGGGAGTCTAATCTCATGTTAGCTTTAGTACAGTTCCAGAACTGTCTTCCTACTTGCTTTGACGTTGTTCATCATCATTGTATAACATCTATGTATCATAGGTCCTTGTTATGTATTTAATTGATATTTATTCTGAATAATGTTTGTATCGTGGTTTATTCACCTGGTGGTGTTGCTGAATGCAGGCTCATGGCTCACTTGAACGAGATGACGAGGTACATTTGGTTTTACCCTGTATGGTGAATTCTAGAGTGACCTGCTTATAGTTGATTACCTTGTGAAATATCCTTTTGGGGATTCCAAATTTTTAGGGGAACATGCATCATTTTATTTCTTCTTTCAAAATGAATGAATGTGTGTGCGTGTGAGTGTGAGAGAGAGAGAATTTGTGTGTAATGTGGGCAACTCCGAGAAGAGTTTCATGGCGGTGGAATTTGTGTTAGGTTGTGTGTGTGAGAGAATGCTAAATTTTTTTCGCAAAAGATGTAACAACATACTCCACCACATGGTATGATATTGTCGGTTTTGTGCTAAAGCCCGCACGGTTTTGTTCTTGGGTTTTACTCCAAATGGTCTCATACTATTTGGAGATGGCACTTTCACATATAAGCACTTCACCTTCTCCTTACCCAGGCGTTGTGGGATTGTGCAACCTGTCCCTTGCCTAGTGTCTCTCACCCGCCCTCATCACCCTCCCACATAGGTCGCCACAATCACCCCCTCAAGGGGCCTAACGTCCCCATTGGCCACACTTTCGGCTGAAACTTGGCCCTGATATCTATTGTAATAGCCCAATCCACTATATGGTATGATCTTGTTCGCTTTGGCCTGGGCCCATACGGTTTTGTTCTTGGGTTTTACCCCAAAAGGCCCCATACCATTTGGAAATAGTATTAGCACATATAAGTACTTCACTTTCACCTTACCCAGGCGATGTGGGATTGTACAACTTGTAAGTTGTAGCTCATCCAGTGTCTTGCATCCGCTCACATAGGTTGCCACAATCACCCCTCTAAGGAACCCAATTCCCCCATTGGCCACACTCCGTCTGGGATCCAGCTCCGATACCATTTGTAACAGCCCACTCCATCACATGATATGATATTGTCCGCTTTGGGCCTGAGCCTGCACAGTTTTGTTCTTGGGCTTTGCCCCAAAAGGTCTTATACCATTTGGAGATAGCACTTGCACATACAAGCACTTCACTTTCACCTTTATCTTACCTAGGCGAAGTGGGATTTTGCAAGTTGTAACTCGCCCGGTGTGGTAGCTCGCCACCTGCCTACATCACACCTGCTCACATAGGTCTCCACAATCTCTCCCCTAAGGGTCTTAACGTCCCCACATTGGCCACACTTCCAATTGGGCTCCGGTTGTGCTACCACATTATCACGCTCCAGATTCAAAAACTCAGTTCGTGATAAAGGAAAGAGAAATTAAATTAAAATTGAACGCTAAAATCCTTAAACTTGAACTGACCCTTTTATTTTATTATGTTATTGCTACATGTTTTATTCAATTTTCTATTGTATCAATTCTTGAGATCACTATGTTTTAACTAGGTGACAACAATTTCATCATGCGAATGCCACTTATGTCTAAGGCACGTTCTCCCCAATTTATAGAAAATGTTGGGTGAGCCGGGCATTTTATGGAGAATGTTGGTTGGATGGGCATACCAATGACATGGCATACCCGGCAATATCTACTATAACTATTGGGGAGAACATGCTGTACGCATAAGTGCATACACTATTAAATTGCTGTTAGCCAATTAAAACATAGTGATCTCAAAAATTGATACAATAATAAAATAATAATAATAATAACCAAAAAAAAAAAAATTGAATAAAATATGTAGTAATAATAGAATAAATAAAAGGGACAGTATAAGTTTAAAGATGTTAGCGTTCAATTTTAATTTAATTTCTCTTTCCTTTATCATGAACATGGTTTTTGAATCCGGGCGTGACAAAAGATTAGAACAATCTTTAATAGTGGTTATGGAGGATGTGCTGATAAAAGTAAGAAGATGAGAGATGGAGTGTTCAATGTGGGCAACACGGTCTTCTCAACTTTTCAGTCTCGGGAGAGAGGAGATAGAAGAGAAGAGAAATAATTGAGGGTGATTGATAAACATAACTCATCTTTCCATTAGCGAAGATATAATATTAAACTAGAAAGAGGAGACAACATAGAGTGCAAGCGAAATGGATTTCCTAGTCTTGTTATAAATGGAGAAGAAAGACGAAACTAATATCATTGAGTGGTGGAGAGAAAGCTCTTCCATCTCGTTTCCCCTCCTCCTAAATTTTATTTATTTTTGATCCTTTTTCCGGGCTTATTTTTTGGGCTCAACACCTTACCTCATGTACCTGTTTGTTAAAAACTTCGGACCTTCCAACATTAAGAAAATGTGGCAGGTTTAAATAAAATTTATTTATTTTACTTTTTTTCCCCTATTTATATTACTTGATTACTAATAAAATTAAAGCTTGCTTTCTATGTACGGAACATTGTTTTACGGTGTTGGTAGACCACATGGTATGATTCATCATATTCATCGTTCGTCATGTGTCACCTCCCACTTAGGCCCACAATGTGCTCCATTTGCTGATTGATATGTGGACACAACTATGATCAACAGATGTTTCGTTTCATTATGCTCTCCATCTTGGATAATTCATGTTGGCCCTTAGCCTTTGCAATGCCTTGATTTAGGACCTCAACACATGGGGCAAGTGTGGATTTTCCACACCAGTTGTTGATGCTATTGAATGTGTCTAAACTAGGCATCTTCTACCGCAAGCAATTCTTTCACGTATTTTTCTTCACAATTTTTCTCTTTATCGCGTCTTACCATTAAAGCCATTTCAACATGCATGCACCACCCTTTATGACTTGAGTTCTACTCTTGCCAAATTTGTGCTCCATCTTCACTTCAACATGACAAACATTGTTTACCTACTCTTTAGATATTGTTGAGCTGTTGCTTTAGCTTAATAATTGTTCACAAGGTAGAAAGGTTCCTTACAGTGATCTTTTGCAGGACGTCTACTTTGATGATGAATCTGCTGAAGTTGTCATATCTTCTCTTCGTCTGGGAGATGATCAGGAAAGGTAGGTCAAATTTTTTCTTAGATCTTCCTATTTTTATATTAGTTAATCTAGAAATGTATTGTGTTACATTGGAGCTTTGTGGGAGGTTTTGCGTCTCTGTTTTCACGTATCATATGCATGCCTATCCCACATTCACACTTCATATGGTTTTCTTAGAAGACTTGCATATTTTACTTGATCTTTTCTTCTGATTGCCAATCATAAAACTACAATTTTTTCCAATGTTATACAATTGTTAGTGAATTGCAAAAAGAAGCCCTTGGGAACTATTGGTTTTTTTGCAAATACCCCCTTGATGAAGCAAAGCCCCCCCTAAACTACTAAAATTTAGAAAAGGACAATCCGATTGGTATCTACTAATGTAGAATTGGAATTAGGGTTTGTCCTTGTCAACTAGACGAATAAGTGATTCTAAACGTTCTTCATTGGCGTGGTTCTGATGTCTTAACCTGACTCTGTCGCTTCATCTTGCAGATTAAGCGGCAACCATTTTCACCTTGACCGCTAGGCGCTCCTGAATGAGATCAAGCTCACTAATCAATAGCAAACATTGGTTCAGAACAATAATAATTCTCTCTATTTTCCCTTCCCTTATCTTAACAAACTATTTTTCCACACGCACTCGAGCTTCTTAAGCCCTGTTTCTGTATGTGTTTATATATACACATACAGAAACACATACACTAGGCTGATTCTCTCAAATTCCCCACCGCTCAGTACAATTTCCAACCATTAACACCACCTGAAACTCGACAAGAACTTCTAATTCACCAGGGATCATAATCTTGGCGTTGCTGGGATCCCAAATCCTCATAAATATCTGGCGACGATGCCAAAATCTCTCTGTCTCTTCATATCTTCATCCCGTCAAAGTACTTCACCATCTTGAGACACTCCTATCTAAAACCTCTGTACTGACGCAAAATTCAAGCTAGGATTCATAACACAGAAAAGAAAATGCAAGCATAGATCGGAGACCTAGAGAGAGTAGATTTTGATGGTTTGGACACATACATTAGAGACTTGGAGACGCGCCAACGGGAAAGACTAGTTGTCATAGAAGGTACGAGACGGAGAGGGCGACCAAAAATAACATTAGTTAATAAGTTAAATATAATAAGTGAAATGTCATGTAATGGGAAAGATTGGAGACAGAATTCATGTGGCCAACCCCACTCATATGGGATTAAGGCAAGGATGATGATGTATACAGAGATGGGATTACAGTAGAAGGGGCGCAAGATAGTGGCTGACTCTATTGAAATAAACTGGAATGGAAAATGAAAAAATAAATTGCTGGTGGTGGAGATACCTAAGAGATGAAACGAGAAATGAAGTGAGGTTTGGGAGAGTAATTGTCATTTGTGGGATGAGGAGATTTGAGTTACCTTAATGCAATAGTGATTGGGTGTCCTGTTCATGAAAGAGACGTGGCTTTTTACTTCAGTTTCCTTGGTTAAAAGGCCTAATTGTCATTTTAGTGAACAATTGTCACCTGACTTGCTTGTGGAAGCTTAGGGAGGCAATTGCCGGTTTGTCAGAGAAGAATATGGGGGTTTCTTGAAAAAAGAATAGTTCATGGGGTATTTTTTTATTTTTGAAAACTATAGTTTAGGGGTTTTTTTAGGCGACTTACCGTAATTGTTAAGAAGGTTATAAGTATTAATTTTGGGAAAATCAGAGTTTACATTAGAATTAAAATTTTCCCTTTCTGCAGTTAGGGTAAATTGCAACGATATCTTTGTGTCATGCTGATTGATGACTTGAATTTAAAAAGTTTACTGGGCAGAACCATCTGCTCATGCAGATTTGTTTACGTTTTGGTCACACGCGACATAAATCATATGATTTCTTTCATGCTCTTGGACTTTGAGAATACACTTATGTGCCCTTACTTTCCTGATTTTGCTAATGGTTTTTCTTAAAGCTGATTGACCTAATTGATAATTTTGGTTTGCATCTTGTATTTTCAGTGGATCTCTATTTACAAATTCCAATTGGTTTGCTTTTGAAGATGACCGAATTGTCAATGAGCGCTCAACAGGATCTGTTGCTTCTCCGTCTCCTAGTACTGAGGGGATTGGTAATACCAATGGTGGCGGGGATGATGAGGTAATTGTTGATGAAGATGATGATTTAGTTGGCAATGCAACATCTCAAGTGCTAGAACCAAAGCCCAGTTCAGAAGATTCTGCACTTGGTAATATGTCTGAGAACGTGAGAGAAACAGGAGCCAGTGAGAGTGACAAGCCACCTGAATGGGTTGAATGGAGGGAAACTCCAGATTCTGTTGAACCGTCTGACACGGATAGACCTCCTGTTTTACCAAATGGTGAGGTTCAAGTGGAATTAGAAAATCGGGCTGATGGTATTGACCCAAGTACAGCTGATCCTTCTCCATCATCCACTGACGCATTGGTTAGTAGCAAAACTGATGCAGTGGGATCACCAGAATCGACAGCCGAGGGCTTGGGTTCCAGTTCTTCCCAAATGTGTGAATCAGGAGGTGTGAATCCAAGATCTGACTCGAGTACTTCTGTTGGTGTGCAGAATTCTGTTAGAACAGAGGGTCCTTCTGAAGCTGCAGAATCAGAAGATGGGAATCCATGCTCTGACAGGAGTACTTCTGTTGACGCAGACAAGCCTGTTGGAACAGAAGGCTCATCTAAGGCTGCAGAACAAGAGGCGAAGGTTGAAATGGGGACCTAATGTAAATTGTCAAGGTCTGTTAAGGAGCTAACTCAATCCCGGTGCTGTTAATCTGGTGGGAGCATAAATTCTGGAACCGGGACGCCTGCTTGGCTAGTCTACAATGTATTTATAGAGCCTTTTGTATATTAATGGGGGCATTGTTGTCCAATAGGACTGATGATTCTTTTCCCAACCAGTTGGTAACTGGGGGGCCCCCCCCTCTCACTCTTTTGCTCTCTTTTTTTGTGAAAAGAAGACAGGTTCGCCTTTTGATGTTTTGTCGCAAGTGATTCTTTAGGTTGGAAGGTGATTATGCTATTTTCATTTGATGTTCAGTACCTCTGACTAGGTGCAAAAGATCCTGTTTATATTATACCATTATCTTCTTTACATGAATTTACAGTGTCAGTTAGAGAAATTTGTTTCTCAAGAACAATTTAATATGTAAAAGTTGGTTTTGTGGTTCATAATTTTGTTCCTGGGACATTGCAGGATTTAAGTCAATCCTGTATAATAGTTTTGCGAAGGTTGGTTTAACAGCTTAAGAATTTTCTTGAATGCAACCAAGGCTTTTTGATGCAGGATCATGGTTTGTGTGGACTTATGCATATAATGATTTTACTTGTCATACATTTACTCTGATTCCGTCTGTTTAAACTGTTGGTAACAAGGTTATATTCACCACACTTTTTAAGTTTATTTTAGAGAGATATTCATGGTCGCCCGATCGCATGGGATTAAGGCAAGTATACATAAATGATGATGATACTTTATTGGGGCATTTCATGATTGTAGCTTTAGATTTTCCAACCCCGGTGTGGGGTTCTGAAAGGAGATTTCTGTGCAACTTTGTATATATGACATGAATGCCCTTCCTGTACAAGCAATTTTTGTAGGTGATGTTTTGCGAAGCATTACAGTGCATGGAAAAATGGAAGAGGAATTTTTATGGTTTTATGGCATAAAGTTCCGCGTTATTATTCTTTCGTAATTCTCATGGTGATAGTTGTTACTCGCAGTCGTGCTAAAATAAGCTTTGTAATATAGATAATGCAAAACACCATCATTTTAGGGGGGAGAAATAAGTTGTTTTTATCGAAAAACTGACATTTTTTTTTTTTTTTTTTTTGCCCTGGCAAAGAAACTGATTTATAAAAGAACTAGTACATGAAGAAGAGCTCACAACAAACAAGACATAAAACAACATGGAGCTCTATATACTTACAATCCTTACTCAGAAATGTTACTTGGCCAAGAACATGATCATCAAGAAAAAACATGAAACGCCACTTATTGGCGATGTCAAACACCAAATGAGGAATATTCCGTTCGATCACCAGCATCAGAACATCCCGGAGAACCAAAGTTGCTACAGAAAATGAAGCAACCACACCAAAACTCCCTACAATGGATGACTCCAAGGTCTTATCAACCACACCAAAACTAACATGGATTACCTTTGACAATGTCAAATTCGTGAAATGGGCCTGCCATTGGATAGAGCATTGTACCATGAAAACAACGGAAGGATATGATTTTTGTGTTTGGTATAAAATTTTGAAAGGAAAAGAGAATAAAGTCTAAAATTTTTAATGAAGCTTTGTAAATATTAGATTTATCTTTATTTTTGTAAAAGACAATATCTAAATAAAATGGTATGATGGTAAATTTATTAAAATAATTTTTTCTTTTCTTTTCTGGATAACATTTTTAATTAGTTTTTTTTTTTTTTTGAAAAAAATAAGTTAAAACGTTTAATGAAACTTTGTAAATATTTGATTTGTCTTTATTTTTATAAAAGATAATATTTGGTGGTAAATTTATTAAAGTAGTTTGCGTTTTTTTCTTCTTCTAAACATATTTACTTTTATTTTTTTATTATTTTTTTCTTTTCTTTATTTTCTCTTGTAAAAAAATATATATATATATATAACAGAGTTTTATATTTTTATGTTAACTATATTAATAATCTCAATTTGACATCCCTTCTCCTCAATTGTGGTTTGTGTAAGATGTGTTCTGCACTTACACCGGAGGAGATCAGATTCTCTTCAGTGAAATTAAACCCTAATATTGTCAACCATCTGTATATTTCAATCGTTTAGCTCTTCTCATCCGTTTTCTCTCTGTAGTTGATTCAAGCTGAGAGGGCTTACGAAGATCACTGTCTGAAATCAATAGTTGTACAATGCTTGGTGGATTGTACGGAGATCTCCCACCACCTTCATCCACATCTACAGATGACGAAAGAATCAACAATTCGTCCAATGTGTGGTCCAGCAGCGCCAAAATGGCTCCCCCGACGCTGCGCAAACCGGCGTCGCTCTTTGCCCCGCCGCAGACCGTTCTGAAGGCCCAGAACAAACCCAAAACCCTAACTTCCGCGCAACCAAAGATTGTTAGTGCCTCGGTGGCTCTGCCGCCTATGGTGGTGGCTGACGACAGGGCGAGGAGCCCTTTTTTCCAGCCGGCACTTGTCGGTGTCACGTCGACGGTTATCGAGGAATATGATCCGGCGAGGCCGAATGATTATGAAGAGTATAGGAGAGAGAAGAAGAGGAAGGCGATGGAGGCTGAGATGAGGAGGGAATTGGAGAGGAGGCGGCAGGAGGAGGAGGAGAGGGAGAGGGAGAGGAAAGAGAGAGAGACAACGGAGAGAGAAAAAGAGAAGGATTTTGGGGATTCGAGGTTAAATATTTCTGGCGAAGAAGCATGGAAGCGGCGGGCGGCAATGAGTGGGGCAATGCCGAGGTCGCCTTCTCCGCCGTTGGATGGGGATGGTTTCAATATAGGAAAGTCAGAGTCGGGTGGATTGGGCGTCGGTGTGGGCGGGCAGATGACTGCTGCACAAAGAATGATGGCGAAGATGGGGTGGAAAGAGGGGCAAGGGCTTGGTAAGCAGGAACAGGGGATCACAACTCCGTTAATGGCCAAGAAGACTGATAGACGAGCTGGGGTTATTGTCAATGCAAGCGAGTCTAAGCCAGAGAAGAAGGTGAAGAGTGTGAGCTTCAATGGTCTTCCAACTCGGGTTATGTTGCTCAGAAATATGGTATGCATGATATTAATCTTTTCATTGAACTTGTTAAACCCCTGCTTGTTTGGCGCTATTTGGTTAAATATTATATATTCCATGTGAGATTTGATGAGCATAATTTGATGATTGTGTAGAAGGATGTCACTAAAAAAATGGTCAATTTTTTTTTTTTTTAAAGTGCTATCCAATGGCTACTTTGCCGAAATAATGCATAAACGATTTTGCGAAGTCTTGAAGTGGGAATGTTATTATATATTCTGTTAAAAGCAATTTCGATTGAAATTAGAAGAACTTACTCAAAGAAGATGATAACTTTCATATATTCTGATAAAAGCAACTTCGATTGAAATTAGAAGAATGTACTCAAAGAAGATTATATTTTTTTTAGAAAAAAAGATCTAAAAAAAAACAGTACCAAAAGCGCCCCATAAATGAACATACGTTATAAACCGGAAACAAAGATGATGAGAATAGGCAAAGGCTAAGCCTAAGAGAGAGAAGTCAAGTAATTGATTTCTGTAGTTTGTTGCCAAGGCTTCCAATTGCCTTACGTGCCTCATTTTTCCCAATAAATTATATTGAAGGAGTCCCTCAACCACCGAAACATCTTTGAAATCATGAGCTGACCTCAAACCCTGGACATTCCACCCAATAGGCCTAGACAACGTGTATATAATGTTTCCATTGTAATTCTAAACAGTATGCTTGGGGTTTTGGAAGGAAAGGAAAGGATAATATAGTTCTAAGAAAAAGAGAGAAGAGAAAGAGAAAGTAGCAACTTCTTCCACTGTTTGGAACTTGTTCTCCTTTTGTTTAGTAATTAAAGTAGAAAGAAAAGAAAGCTGGCCTACAGGGACAAAACAACTGCCATTTTTCCTTGAATTCCTTTACTTCCAACTTCTGAACAAGATTTGCCTATAACTTCCTTCGTTTCTTTTTATTTTTTTTCAAACTAAGAATTTTTCTAGATCCCCATTATTCCTAGATTCTCTACGGGAAAATATCAAAGTTGAATTTTGTATTTCCGAAAGAAGAAGGCTTCTAGTTGTGAAGTGTAACAAATGCCTAGGAGTTTTTGGCACCCAAGAGGAGAGAGTAGGTGCAATTTTAAGCTTCAGATCTATTAATCTCCAGTAAATTCAAATGTAAAGGGACAATGTGAAATATTTATACTTTTTAATACTCATCTTTTAATTTTTAAACCTGCCCTCATGTCACATACATAATACTTCTTTAGAAACACTCGGACACTTTATTGGAACAACTTTTGAGGTTTAGAAGGATGATCTGCAAAGCCTGCCTAGGCAAGGCTCAAACCTTCTATTGGAAGCATGGAACACCATTAACTAAGTTGTGTGCTGTCCGGTTTGCGACCGCTACTAGTGTCTGGGAAAGGGTTTCGTGGACTTTGCTGCCTAGGTTTTGAAAAATATTGTTGCCCAACTGTCTTCAACAAAATTTGAGAGTAGGGCTACCCTTTGGGTATAGTTCTGGATCCTCTTAGTTTTCTGTTATTTTATTTTATTATTATTTTTTTAATGATAAAAAATGAGAAGTATTATTAAGATGGATAGAATGATAAATAAAGTTTTACATGGATGAACGATCCTTCAGGTGACATGTATCAAGTGTAATACTGAAAAGAGAAAAGGAAACATAACTTCATAGCAAAACAGGCTACAAGACCCAAACGAACCCTGAAATTGAAATTCCGAAAACCCAGCTCTCTTATTTTATGGATTTTCCATGTATTGAATTTTAGTTTTGATGGTTGTTCTATGCCGAATACAGATTACACTGAATTGTAGGTATTTTTGAGATACCACAGGACGCTTTATTATACTTTTCTTTAGATCGATCGGCTCAAGTTTTGCTGTTAATGTGGAGATTCTAGCTTCTTGTGGAGTGTGTTAGGGAAGCTGCTTCTGTGGATCTTCAGCGCTTGTTTGATTGAGGGGTGTACGACAAATGCTGTGAACTAAGAACACAATCAAGAATCACCCCAGAGAAATAAACACACGCCACACACAAAGAATACAAAGTTTTACGTGGTTCGGCAAATCCTACGTCCATAGTGCAGATCGAGCAAAAGATTTCACTATGTGAAAATCAGGAGATTACAAGTTTCAGCCCTCAAACCCTAGCTCTCTCTCTCATTCTCTTTCTTGCGGACCCTCAATGGCCCTATATACTGGGCTATAAGAGAATTATATACTCGGGTTACCTGACCCAAAAGAGAAAACGGGTCATGTTTTTTTTCTTTTCACCGAAACAAATTTCGGGCCACAACATCACAAGGGGGGATGTTGAGGTTGCCAGTTGGGTAAGACCTTTTTGGAACTGAGGTGGGTGCTTATGATTTGTAGCTTTAGCTATTTGGATTGCGAGCTGTTAGCTCACTGAAAGCTTTAACGTTTGTTTTAGGGTTTCCCAATTACAATAAATTCTAAATCCCCAAGATTTTGGAATTTTTTATTTTCTAAAGAACAAGATAAAAAATCCTTTGAAAATAAGTAGCTTTGACATTTAAGAATTGATCTGGATTGAAGTGGCTGTTGAGGAAACTGTGGTTGTAATATTTGTTCACAAGAATTTTGTAGAGCATATATTATTTGGAAAAATATTCTACAGAAGACATCAGGTTTAAGTGTGGTTATCAAATCCTCAAATTTTAGGACAAGGGAAACTATTGGCTCATCACGCTTGAATTTTTTTTAACGTATCGTTAGTTAAAATGATGCATTCATAATATGGCATGTCTAATATGAGTGTTTCACTCGTTTTGAAGTTTCTGAGAAGGAGCATATTATCATGGTTTCCAATGGAACTTATAGTGAAATTGGAAATTTGGAATACATTCTTCCCTTCCTTGTAACGGCATGACAGAAACATTATCTATGCACACACTTGTCCTGTCAAGTTTGGCATACGCTTTGCACGTTTCTAAGTGTTCAGTCAATGACACCATGATAATATGCTCCAACATATTTTCAGTTTTTGTAAAACTAAGCATTTCGGTTTAAGCCATGGTTTGACGTTGGAAATGATTGAAATTTGGTTGTTTGAGGGAAGTAAGGACGATGAGGGATAAATTTTGTTGAAATATTAGTCATTTTCTTAAAATGGGTTTTTAAGCGTGGTTGGAATTGGGGAGATTGAAATCCTTTGGTAATGTTTGATGTGAAGACACTCCTCATGCAGCCTCCAAGTGGCATTCCCCAATATGTTCAGTATCATGGCAAAGAAGGAAGCTATGGTTGGCCATTACCTTTCTAGATTGGCAAACAAAGTTACGTGGATCTCGCTGTTCTCTTGAGAGATTTTTAGAAAGAATCTTTGGCAATCTATTGCAGTAGTTTGAGTTGTATGGTTAGTGATGGGAGGAGCTGGTCTCTAAATATTTTCTTTTCAACAACTTTATGCAATCAAGCAAATAGTCAAGTACACTGTTATAGAGAGCGATGTCGGAGTTGATTTTTACATGAAAAATCTCTACGGGGAAAAACTGCAGATTTTGTCTAGAGCTTAGTAATCCTCTATGACAAGAAGTACAACATTACTGCCAGTTGCAAGCTCTTTCTCATAATACCATTTGCCACTGCAAGTGCAGTTGTTGTTCTCCACGTCATGTATTTCTCCTCACGTTCCATCTTTCTCACAGTGATTGCTAGCCAACAGCCTCCTTCTCACCAACCATGGCCTGCTCGTCACGGGTCAAAACTTGTACACACAAGTTGAACGCTTTCTAATATAACTTTACTTATCAAAAAAAAAAAAAAAAAAACTCATACACACAATGAAGCAGTCCAACCGGAACAGTCTTAAATTAAACAACTCGAAATATCAATATGCTCTACGAAAAACCCAATCAGCATTCTTATTCAGGTCTGTCGTGGAAGCTTGCAGATATATCAACTTGAATAAGTAAAGAGGACATAAATGTTTGCCTTTTGGGCATATAGATCTGAACGGTAAACCCGGATAATTGCATTCGTGCAGTTTTGATTTACCTCTTTCCCCTCATGCTGATGCTCTGCTCCCTCTTTTGTCCAATATGAGAATGAAGCTTGATGTATCAATTTTTTCAAAATGTTAGATTTATATGGTTCTCTTTACTAAGAAGTTCCATGACAAGGCTTTGCACAGATGAATATGGATGAACTTGGTTCTTATACTTCAGGTAACAAGAAGATTGCTGCTGATTGGTTCTTCCCGCCAATATTGGTCATTGATGGCTAATGCATATCTCCTCCCCCCAGGAGAGAATTTCTGTTCTCTGTAGTCCAGTGTTTGCATATGTACCCACTTCCACATCTGATGCGTTCTTGATTGTAAACATCATTATTTGTTTTCTTTTTCTTAACTTCTTTTTGTTGTTTTTCTTTGGAAAATGTATTGATCTAACCTTGAATCAATTTTATCCTACTCCCAATGGCAAATTCTTGTCTCATTATTTTTGTTAATATTTTATTTTGTCTTGTGCTTCATGATTGTGAATTGCATATGAAGAAAAGGAATATGAGATTAGATGACTAACAGTGTTGTGGTTTTTTTCTTGAAGGTGGGCCCCGGTGAGGTAGATGACGAACTAGAAGACGAGGTAGGATCAGAGTGTGCCAAGTATGGGACAGTAACTCGGGTTCTCATATTTGAGATAACAGAACCAAATTTCCCAGCTGAAGAGGCAGTTAGAATCTTCGTACAGTTTGAGAGATCAGAAGAAACGACCAAAGCACTTGTTGACCTTGAAGGTCGGTTTTTCGGTGGTAGGGTGGTTCATGCTACTTTCTATGATGAGGAGAGGTTCAATAAGAACGAATTGGCTCCAATGCCAGGAGAAATACCTGGTTTCACTTGAAAAAGTTTCCTCATTTGAAATGCTGATGAAGTATTGAACTTTAAAGAGAAATGTGAGAATTGATGTAAGTGGTATTTGAACATGGAGTAATATTTAGTTTCTGAATTGTTGTTACTTGTTGGTCCAAATCACGGTAGTAACATAAACAGAACAATTTTGTCGAGTGCATGTTACAATTAGTTCACTGTGATCAAGTTGTAACAATTAGTGCAGTTGTGATCTAATTGTGTATATCTTTTTCTGTATTTAAGATTTGTCTCATTAAAATACTTGTTAAAGTAGATCACTCAGGTTGCTTTTAGATCATTGATTGCCATGCCAGCTAACTAATAGAATCTTACTGCTTTTTGTAGGCAGTTTTCCTTTCTTCTTTTTCCACCGGTCACGAAATCTTGACCTAGGGCTTGGAAATTAAGACCTAAAGCCACTGGGACAAAGGTAGAACAGTTTTAAGCACGTAGTTCTTGCTAGTTTTGTAGGACATAGGGTTCATGGCTAGTGCTTTTGTAGGACTGATGTGTAATTGTCTAGTTATGTGTTTGGTGTGGGATTGATGCATAGGATTTTCATTTTATTTTGTTTATTTTTTTGGTAATTGGGGGTAATAGTGATCCTAAATTATTTTAGATATTTTTTATTATTTAGAAATTATTTCTTCAATAAACAATGTATTTTTACAAATTAATCTCACGAGGATTCGGGTGATGATGATGATAATGAATTAATGATTGTCGAGTAATCTAATATAATAAATTGATAATACAGAAATATTATGAAAAGGTTCTCAAGTTGAAAACTTGCAGCATTCTAGAATGTAATTTGATCCTTGCAGCTTAATTTTTCCCCAATGAGAAGATTGAGTTTTGTATCCTTTGTAGTTATTGTCCGTCTAGTTGGAACTTGGCCAAAGTGTGAGAAAGGAGTGAGAATCTTTAAGTCAAAAGTAATAATATAACGATGTGATGCTTGAGATTGTAATATTTGAAAGTGTGTTGTGGACACACACATAAAGTACAAAATCAATCAAACATCTAATTGCTACACTGCTATGTAAAGACTTCTTTGGACTCACGAAGACAGCAAACAAAGTAGAGGACCAGTTAAAATATTAAAATATATATATGTATTTGAGAGACATTTAGTTTTTGGACCATGGAGAGATTGTGACCAAGAAAACTCTCAAAACCAGAGTCCTAAATATATATATTAATAAGTGAAAACAAAAACAAAAACAGTTACTAATATATATATATATATTGAGTTTTTGAGAAACAAAAAGTATGTATTTTTACATGACAAAAGGAAGAAATGTTAGTTCCTAAAGGTCGCGCGCGCCTTTAGGTATGGCGTTGAGGTGAGGCCATGGGAGTATTCTGGTTTGAGGCCCTCGCCTCCTGCAAGTATAGTTGCTGCCGCTGATACGCCACCGTCACGGCAGACGAAGGTCCGCCGTCCGTGGAGGAGCCGGTTACGGTGGAGGGTTGGTTTATTCCGACATCTAGCATCCCGTACATGTACGGGGCGAGACCGCCTTGAGTCGTCGAAGCAGCAACGCCACCGGAGTAGTAGAGAGAAGTGGCGGGCTCGCCGAATCCCGTAACGGAGTCTCTGTCAGTCACGCGGCGAGGCGACACCGTAGTCGAACACTCTCCGCCTCCAATCCGTATCGAAGTGCTGCTGCTTCCCTTTCGGGTGCCGCAGAGTGGACAGACATTAGAACCCTAAAAAATGAAAGACAGAACCAATAAAAAAAATAGTTCGCTAGAAAATTTGAAGATAGGAAATGAATTTTACATTGGTGGTGGTGGTCGAGGTGGAGCGGTAGGTGGTGCCGTCGGGGTCAACGACCCAGCCGGCTTCTTTAGCGAGCTCGCGGAGGACTTGGTTGATGTCGGCGCGAGGGGAGAGGCGGTAACCACCGTGCTTGCGGAGGCCGTGGAGAATGTTGGTGGTGATGGACCTCCTCCGCCTCTCTCTCATCTTGGTCCTCTCCTTGTCAGCTGCACTTCGAGTGTTGTTGCCACTACTCTCACTATCCATCATCATCTCTCTTTCTCCTTGTATGTATCTCCGGCCTCTTCCTTCCTCTTCCTATGCGTCCTTAATTCATCCCTCCCTCTCTCTCTCTCTCTACCTCTACAAGTACTGTTTCTCTCTCTATCTCAATCTTAAGGGATTGTTTGGGAATTTTATGATGCACCGTTATTAATGTGATCGGACGGATTTCAGAGTTGATTCAAAGTATATATATATATATGTATGTATGTATATATATGTATGTATGTATGTATGTGTACGGGGCTGAATTGAAATGGTTTTGCATGACAAGAAGTTAGAAGAATCACAATTGCATGTCTGTGTCTATGTAATTGATAGGCATATCACGCGCTGGGAATGAGAGAGAGAGAGGCGGCTGCGGATCAGAGTATGAGGCGGTGTAGACAGAGGCAATCATGAGAGTGAGAAAGAAAAGGCCAGTATCTTTGTTATTGATCGGAGTTTGCTATTGCCACTTCAATTAATTTTTTTAATTACGTAATTAAAATTTTGATTGAATTATCCCTCTAAAGAAACTGCAATAGGTACTCTTCTAATTATGAATGTATTTATTAAATTGTACTCATGTTATTTAATTTATAAAAAAAAAAAAAAAAGAACAGAAAAAAAAAAAAAAAAAAGTGAATTGTAAGTGAGAAAAGTGGGCGCTTCCCATCCATTTTATTGATTATTGTGTAAGAGTAGTTGTTGAAAAATATTTTTTGAAATATGTTGAACAACATTTATTGAAATAAATAAAATAATCGATTCAAACATTGTATGTTATGAAGAGGTCTTGGAATCCGGTGCAATATAACACAAATTTATTTTTGAACAGTTTATAGCACACAAACAGTTGATTATGTGTGCGTGATTACACAAGTGTGTTGTTACTCGTTTGATGTCCGTGTACTCTAGAAGATTTGGGCTCTATGAATACAGATCCAATTATGTGAAAATTAGAAGGCGTTAAAATCCGGTTTGGTACAACACAAATGATATAATACGGTTCACAGTGTACAATTGGTTGATTATGTGTGCTGTGAGTTAAAATTAGATGTTAAGTAGCATGAATAAAATCATGTTTTATTTTGAATATAATTTAAATTAATTATTATATGAGAGTAGGCAAGGAGAGTGCTCTCATTGTGAGATCGAATACTCAGTTGTTGAATTGTGACGCGGACTTCACCATAGTCTGTCAATCCAAAATACTCCCCAAGTTCACAGTGAAGCATTCGAAACTCTTCCAATACTTTGTTTAAAAAAACATTAATACTGCATAATATATCTTAGTGAGTTTATGCAGCTTCAATGAAGAGTCTCATAATCAAATTTTTTTTTTTCTCTCATGTGTCTTCTCTTTCAATATTTGGAGTTCCTTTGATTTCCTGATGATTCCACTAAAACTTAATCCTGAAAGCACACTGGATCTCTGTTTCTTGTGTATAGAAAGACTAGGGTTTGCTATACTGTAAAACCTGAGACTCAACATGCAAACTTTAACGCTGCTCCTCAGATTTTCTTGAAGAAATACTAGTGTTGCCCAAGAATTGACTCGGGAGGGGGGGGGGGGGGGTTGGATAATTTTTGCAATATAGAAAAACAATTTCAAGCAAAGTACTTAACATAATTGTGCAATTATAAAGATAAGAAATAAACAATTAAATAGCACAATTATAAGAGAGATAAGGGAATAGAAATTGCAAACATTGACTCGACGATTTTAGCGAGGTTCGGAAATTCCTACTCCTCGGCTCAAGACTCTTCTTGAGACTTTCCAATCCACTATGGCTTCTCCTTATGGGTGGAGAGCAAACTTTTACATGAAGCAAGACTTTGCTTCTTTTCCTTGCTAGGAGAACACCCTTTTCCTAGACTTCTTTTGGGTCACACCAACCCTTACAAGTTTATAGAAAAGATTGTAATTGAAATACAAGATTGAATCTCTCTATACAAACTTTGGCTCTCAACTAAAATATATATGAATATCAATGAAGCTCAAACTCTATAAATGAAATGAATGAGAGAAGATGATATAAGTGAAGAACAAAAGTTCTAATGAACTCAATAAGATCTCTCAAGTGTAGAACAGAACAAAAGCTCTATGAAGATTCAAATTAGAGCAAAAGCCCTTTGAATCCTAAGTTAAATCTCTCAAGATTTGTATATGAGTGAATAAGAGAGATGAAGAGAAGATTTGAGAACAAAAGTTCTCTTTAATGCAATGTGAAGGCTTTCAAATGATGTTTCTTAGTTATTAAGACATTCCCACTCTATTTATAGAGTTTCCAAGCTCAATATAGCTGTTGGGAGTTGAATGCACGAGGGTCGAGAAGAAAAAAGCCGTTGCAGTTGAAATCTGCAGATCTGCGACCAAACCGGTTGACATGAGGATAAACCGGTTGACATCTTGGCTTGAATCAGTTGATGTGTACTCCAAACCGGTTGACAACTACTTATGAACCAGTTGATGTATTTTGCAAACCAGTCGACATCTCTTGCAAACCAGTCGACATATACTGAGCTCCATTTGGACATTTGCTACTGCCTAGATACCGGTCAACATGTGTGTCAAACCGGTCGACATGTGTGAGCTTCAGCTTGGATTTTTGCCACTGCCTAGATACCGGTCGACATATGTATCAAACCAGTCGACGTGTGTATTAACAGTTTTGACAGACAGCTTATGCATAGGACTTTCAGGACAGGACATCTGCACACAACTTATTTCCATTGAAAACATTTAAGTAAATGTCTTTACTTTAATTTACTTTAAGTTTACAATATAAATAAGGAAGTACCCCCTATTTGGATTCAATAAAAAATACTAAAAAATTGAAATCCAACTAAATCAAAATGTAAAAATTCAGTTTTAGTACAAATTTGGATTTCCGACAGTTTTGGTAAAAATGAATCCTTATGTAGACCAATGTAGACTTGGTCAAAAATTCTGATAAAATCAGTTTAGGCTAGTTTAAGTATAAAGAGTTATTACCGGGAAAAATTAATTTGAAATAATCATTATTTCAAAAATCCATTTTTCACACTTAGCCAAAAATACAGTTTTTTATGACGCGCATTCTGGGGTCCTAATGTCCGTTACCAACTCATGGTAATGAAGACTTCTCATGCCTTAATTGTTGACCAATATGAATTTTATGATTGATGTGCATGGTCTTAGCATTTCTAGCACAAGTAATGAGTTCTTTCAAAGCTTATGCAAGCTTGAACTAACTCACTCTTTAGCAAAGACTCCATATGTCAATTGCTAATGGATATAAGAACACATGAATGATGATATGATATGCATGGTCCTATAGAGATGAGCTTCAAATGGATTCATAGATACTTTGACATTGAATCCTAAACACTTACCATCCTATCTACCATTTTCTTTAAGCTTTGTTCATGATCTTTAGGTTTTGAGGTAGTCTTGCTTTCTTCCTTCCTTTGAGTTGCTTTCTTGCTCATTGTAGTCCAAGCTATTTTTCTTTGCAACTTCAACTCTTCTTTGTATCCATTTCTTTCCTTGATGTAATCTTGAATAATGGAATACTTGAAATGGTCTTTATGATCTTTATTAAGGTTCTTCTTTGAATATAAGTCATCTATAACACTCAATGTGAACATTAGTCCTTAAACACCATTAATGGGTTGTTATCATCAAAACAACTAGATTGTCATTGGATGAAATCTTTAAAGTCAACAACTAAGAAATTTACATAGGTGGTGGATAGGCTTACAGGTTCGTGCATATTTATTATTATGGACATTCATCGTCAAAAATTTACATAGGTGGTGGATAGGTTTATATGCTCATGCATATCTATTATTATGGTCAAACATTCGTCATCATACATGATGCATGACATAAATTAGAACATACTGTTGTTATTCGTGATTAAGTATGTTGTTAGATTTATGCATATCAATCATCTTTATATTAAGAGTGTCTGTTTAGTCTAGCTGTATCTTCTTATATTTTAAAATAGACGGAAAACATGAGAGCATGCAAAAGAAAAAAGAAAAATACAACTTTTTATATATCATATGACTTCTGATTTTATTGCACAGTTTGCACCAGAAAAGCTATTAATAAATTGGGACCAACAATTACTGTAGGATAATGAAGATAGCTTGGTAATTAGGAACACCTCCTGATCTTGTTTTGTACAAATACATTTAATGAGCTTCCACCTAGACGGATTGGCTTGGTTTGATTTTAATTTGTTTTGTTTTACCAGGTACAACTCGGAGCTCAAGTTGAAATTTCGGATACACTTGCTTTCTACCACATCGTTTCAAACGAAGTTTTACCATAACATTCCTCTAAATTGGAACCGGTATGGAAATGATTCAATATTAACTTAAATGAAACTTGGTAAATTACTGTAACGATTAAAAGATCAACCTTGACTTTATTACAATTGAGAGAATTGACGACATGCCAATACCTACGACAAAATAACACGTGAACCATTGACCAGACCAACCCAACCCAACCATAATTTGAAATATAAACACACACATACATACATACATATACATATACATATATATATATATATATATATGTAGTATAAATAAAATAAAAGCTTAAAAAATTTAATTGAAATTCGGGTTTGAGTTAAGCTGGGTTACTGATACCTCAAACCAATCCCAACCCTAATTGTATAAATTGTTACCCAACCTTGTAAAAAATTGGGCTAGGGTAGAGTTGGGTTTGGGTGACCCGCCCATGTTGCACCCCTAATATATTATATTATATATATAGAGACAGACACAAGCATATGATATGGACCTCTGGACCTCATAACTACTTCTTTAGCTAGAAAACAAGAGACAGTATGATGAATCTATGTCAATGCTACTAGAAATTACCATTCCTGATGAAATTGACCAAAACAAAAAATCAAATCAGGCAACAAACTGACCCCTCTGCTGCCAATATTCTCCATCTTGATTGAAATCCCAACTAACTTCTTGAGACATTCAACAAACCTAATAGGAGGCTGACCCCTCTACTGCCAATATTCTCCATCTTGATTGAAATCCCAACTAACTTCTTGAGACATTCAAGATAATTGAAATAGATGGCATTACTGTAACCACTAAGCAAAACATAATCACATGTGCCCCCATGCATACATAGATTGGCAGATGAGTCTACATTTACCTAAACAAAATGCATAAAATAACTTAAAGAGCTAGTACAAATTCTTGGAGCCATATGTTTTTGCTCATACAAAAGACCAGTTTATGAACATGAAAGCCAAGCAGTGACTGGAATCATCATCATTGAGCACTTTCCATGCTATGGCTTGGTCATAAGACACCAGCCTACCCATGCTAGACACACATATCCCTGCCGGCAAATACGTGTATCCCTGCAGTACAATAAATAAACATCATCAATACAATGTGGCTTTTGTTGATCCAATGATTTTTAAAAGGAATTTTTTTTAAGAGGAATAGTTCTTACAGTTCACTCGTGATTCTCACCAAGGCTTAGTAAGTAATTTTTACTTGTGGTGGTGGTCTCACCTGTTGCATGATCTTAGAGAACTCTAAGAGTAGAATTTTCCGACCAGCTTCGTTGAGAATCTTATCCAGCATTATGTCTTGAAGGGCCACAAGAGTAGTTTCAAGCATGTCAAGCCCTGCCTGGTTTGCAAAGGTGAAAACTGGAGATGCCTACAATTATAATTTTGATAATCATGTTAAACCACTTCATAGTTGAAGCAAAGACTGACAAAGCAGCCTCCTTATTGACTTAAAATGGATGACATTTTAAAACAGGTTTGACTTGATTACATTTGTCTTTGTAGAGCAGCACAATATCGCATCTGAGTGGTGCCAAAGTTGTTTCAAGACAGCATCACCAGCTTGCGAGTTGATCTGAAAGAGTTGTCCGCCAGTGTGGATCCTAAAACAACATATTACAAGCAGAAAGCAAGGTGTGTCAGAGATCACAAGAGAAGAAGGAAGAACACAACATGTTTATATTGACTCTTCAAGCATCATCACAGTGCAGATGTTGCTGTAGAGTTTTTATTTAAAACAAGTAAAGATGTAGCCATTCAATCAAACATTTTCACATAAATGACTAAAGCATACTCGAATTGACATTTTAAATTGTGATTGCTTTCTGTTGAAGTTAAACACGGATGGTGACTGACAGTTGAAAATCATATATTCTTCAGTTCTCTTGTATTATGTTTAATGGGAATTTAATAGTAATGGAGTAAAATAATTGTATTTTAATTTGAAACAATACCTGTAGCTCCTGCAAATCCATCGTGCTAAAGTAAGAGCCTCAGGTGAACCAGGAAGTGGTTTTGGCCCCATATGGGTGCTGAGCCTAGAGGGGGCAATAGCCATAGCAAGCCTCTGAACAGAGCTAACAACACTGCGCAAGTACTGGCGAGCCATAGCAGCCACATTGTTTTGAAAGTGGTTCTCAAAAGTGAATTGGAATGCAATAGTCAGAACGGACCTAAGGTTATAACTGCTCAGATCAGCTTCACCAGCAGGACGTACACCTCCAGGACCCACTTCGAGTGTAGAAGCCAAATCTAACGTTCGAGTTGCAGTAGGCCCATCCTACAATGTGTACAAAAAAAAGGATGCTTAAGTGAATGGTGAAGATAACTAAAAAGATCATGTTTCAGTTATGTAATGAGAGGTTCACTTTACAAAAAAAGATTAAAGAAATGCAAGACTTTACATTCGCTTTTCTAACATTTGGGAGGTTCTCCCTTGCTAATTTATATTTATTTATTATTTTTACACATATACATATATCATTCAGGTAATGTTTTCTAAAAATGAGGTTCTCCCTTGCTAATTTTTATTTATTATATATATATATATATATATATGTGCGTGTATATATATATACATATATATATCATGCAGGTAATGTTTTCTAAAAATGATTTTTGTTATATAAAAAATTATTCAGAGCATAAACAGAGATAAGTCACCAAACTGATTTAGGTTCCAGTGGTATAACACGGAAACCAGATGGCAGCAAAGGAGCATCATCAACAAATGATTCATCAATAGGTGCAAAAACAAGTTGAGCACAGGCACCAGTTGCATTCTCATCAACTCCACTGCATAACTGCCATGGTAGACTTGAGAAAAATTAGTACAAGAAAATGCATACCATCAACAAAATACCATTTTTATATATGAACAGAATAAATAGCCCGACCTGTAGTAAATACATATCTTGTGACAAAGCTATGTCCTCAGGGGAGAATGCACGACTTTCTAGCCGAACCACCTCCAAAAACTATAACGGGAGAAAAACATGATCAAATTCATAGTGCCTTAAATTAAAATGAACAAGACAATAGTGGACAAAAGAGTTACCTCCTCGTGCTCTGCAGCATGACTCAGAGGTAATATGACCTGGCTGCTAGGAAAGCCACCAGATCTGGCACAAGGAACCGCATGAGGACTAGCTTTAAGAGATGCATTAGAGTAAGCATCAACCCCATGGTCTGCCCATTCAGAACGGTGCTCCCTTAGGAAACGCACAAGCAAAGCAGGAGAAACATTCTGCATAACAAGATGAAAGCAGTTAGTAAGTAATACACCAAATAAACAAACACTGACAAGGAACTTTAACCAATTTTTTTTTCGAAAAAAAAGGCTGGAAAGAGAGGAATATGAAATGAAACGGGTTTAAGCCAGCCAAAAATTGGCAACTGCTGAGAGGATTTCATCCTAAATAGGTCCCATATAGCTAACTCATTTAAGTACCTGAAGAAGCATTGATGCCTTTGCGCACAGCACCCCCCCAAAAGTTGGGAGCATTGACAATGTGTTGTATTGAGACCAGAGATATTTGCTTGGAGATGAGTTTATAGCAATTGTCACATCTTCAACACCATCACTAACCATAATTGACCAACCATCATCCACAAACCCATTAAGAGCATCATTGAATCCCCTGAGAACCAATTTCCATAACTTTCAGGTAAAGGAGGAAAAATATCAAACCATAACCAGCATATACAGACATGCTAGGTTGCAATGTCTCATAAACCTAACCGAGTACCATCCACCCAGCCAGCAGGTGGATCAGTTCCCTGCAATTTACCCAGTGGGTCAGTCCAGGTCGGCTTGGTCATCAACAGATGATAAACCCAGCTGACACGACATGTTCAACAAATCCACTTTGCCCAGATTTCACCATACTGAGAGGTAGAATGCCGCACCTGAACATTCTCTGACTAAATGTCCTTAATACAGCAGGTTGGTGAGCCCCACCATACTGAATTTCTCCACTGGTTTCCTGTGCAATTTGTCGAATGTGTCGCAAGGCCTGCATATAACATTAACAATGATAAAAATGAGAAGGCAAAAGCTAACCAAAATATAGATGTAACCCAGGAATGTTCTTACAGCCATAGTCATTTTCTGAGCAAGAATTTTGGATGATTCATAAAGTGGCCTGAGAACTTCAGGAACGCTCCATGCCTAAATCACACAACAGGTATATTTTAAAAGGAGGGAAAACGAAGAAACCAAAATTTTAAGTATGAAATAAACTGCGAAGAGCTGGTTTGATCTAATCCTTTACATTCAAGTCGAAGTGATCAACAATGTGAACCATGGAGCCACCACCCTCACAAGGCCGTATTAGGTAACCACTAGGCAGCATTTCCGCTCTCACAAAACATGAAACAGAAGGCCCCGTTGGGACACCAGTGGAAGAAGTCAACGACCTCTCGCATATCTGCAGGTTTAATTTTAAAACCATCAACACAAAAAGCATACATTGGGAACTTTTCAAGGGTTGTCATTTACTACTGCTATGAGTCCCTCAAAATAATCTGGAACAGGTTCCGGTTCAAGAATCACTTCAATGCCAAGAAAAAGCATTACCAGATTGCAGATAATGGGTACGAGTGATTTGTAACCAAAGTGACTTCAAAACTTGCAAACAATTTTTTGAATGGAGAAATTGGTTTTCGATTTTTTTTCAAATTTATTATTTTACCCGAAAATAGATGCTTACATTGTTTTGGTCAAATGTCTTTGTAAGAAGTTACATACGCACAAACAAGTAAAAGCACAAGTAATTTGGGTAAATTAATATAGAAGAAAGGGAAAATTCAAAACAAAATTTGGAGTCAAGCTCAAAGATTTACCACTATACTTCCATCTTCTAAATTTGTAGTATATCTCAGCGTCCAAAAGTCACGAGCTGATGCCAATGTTGTTGGTGCGTAAGTCTAAGGGGGAAGAGTAGAAGCTTTAAAATAGTTTCATACCCAAGTGAAAATGAGAAATTTCAAATCTCGTGACCAAGTTTTGGTTTGCAAGTACAACAAACCTGCATGTATATGAGTTCTATTGTCCCCCCATTTCCAGCAGGGATTACACTCAATACATCAAGGCAACGGCAGTCATGAAACCAAGATAAACGATCTTTAAGGATTTCAGCGACCTGAAACATGATTCATCACAAACTATACACTAAAACTAAGGGAAACCAAGCCATTTTTCTATCCAGATGATACAAATAAAAAAGGAAAAAAGAAAAAAGAACATCAAAACAAAATTCAAGGTTACTACCTTTGTGGGCTCTAGACTCACAAGACCACAGGCTCGTGCTGCTACACCACTACAATTGTGGGAAACAGCAATGATTCCAATAGAATCCGGACCAGGCTACAAAAAAATCAATGGGATTTTTACATATTGAAACTAAAATGAAGTATATAAAAGTTTAAAAGATAAATAAATAAACAAATGAATAGAAGGAAATACCTTCATCCCAATCATTTGGACCCAGCTGACAGCAGTCCCAGTAGCCTTAGAAAGGAACTCTGTCAGGGTCTCCTCAGCTATTGCGAGAAGACTGAGACACACAAACGCAAGGGGAAAAAAAAGAAGACTTATTCATACCAACTGTGAAGAAAAAATATGTTGGAATTGGCATAAAGGAAAGAGATTTAATTACCCGGCTGGGTTGTTAGCATCCCTCTGTGGACCCTGAGATGTTGGATTTTGCTGTTGATGCTGACCACTCACGACCACAGACTCGCAGCTAGTGTCTGTGGTTGTTGTGGATGCCTGATACAGTCCATTAAATATTCCTTAATAAATAAGATCATGTAAAAAATAAAATCATGCGCAGGAGCAATAAGGCAGGGAAGAGAATATAGGATTTACAAACTCTCAACCTATAGAAACCAAAAGTAGGATACATATTCAACTCAACTCAACAAAGCATCTTCCTAACCTCAGTCAAACCACACGCTATTATAAAGTAGGTCGACTTCATGAATCATGTTTTGTCTTTCCACTCTAAGTCATAACCTCAGTCAAACCACATGCTATTATAAATTGTCCTACTATCTCAACTCATACTAATTGATCTTCCCTAGCATTACCCTAAAAAAAAAAAAAGGAAGGGAGGGGAGGGGAGGGGGACCAAGAGCCAACTAATAAATTAATTAAAAAATCATTGTAAGTGGAAAATTGGACAACCATATAATTTCTAACAAAATAAATAATTTGGGAAAAAAATTCTGAGGAGAACAACGCGCTTCCCTTTATGGTAGCAAGAGAAAAAACCAGGTAATGTTAAAAAAGAGGAGCCTGTGGGAGAAGGCATAAATCTTACATTCTGGATTTGCTGGCGCGTCAATCCATTCTCATAAACCAAGTGTGAGACCTGCTTCTGCAAGCGGTCATTCTCCTCCATCAACAGTTTGTTCATGGCACTCAGCTTCCTGTTTACAGTCTGGAGGCGAGAAGCTTCCTTCTTCTGTTTTTCGCGGCATCTACCCAAGAAAATATAAGCAAAATGTTAATTGGAGAACAGATTCTTCATCCAACATATATTGCTCAAGGAGAAAAATTAGTATAGCGTTCAACTATTGGTAAGAAAAAAAAAAAACTTGACAAGAAGAAAGAAAGACTTTAATTCAGGAAAAGAAAGACTTTATATAAATATGGCATAGATGACTTTAGATTGAGGGTCAAGTGTTAGGGGAAATGCTATCAAGAAGTCACCCACATGGCAAGAGTCATGAGCTCTTGACGGTTAATACGAAATTTCTTATAAGATTGCTTCGATTTTGACTTTTTATTTAAAGATCTCGAAACCTTTCAGTCCAGTGGTCAACAAATAATGAGAGACCTTCTGAGCCTTACTCATAGCATTATCAGCATTCTGATAGCACTTCAATGTCGAAGTTTTAAAGCGAACAGATCCACCAACAAAACAAGAACTAGATCAACTTTGTATCCCATGGCATCAAAGCGACAAACACTGGCACATTTAACTAGCCAATATAATATTTTTAAAATCGTCAGGATGCAATAGTATGTTCACTGAAAAATGAACCTGTACCATTTCTCTTTCCATTTGAAGGGCTTTGCCATTATAGAACATGGGATTCTATGGGAGCAATGATAAAGATAAATAGGTATGAAAAGAGCAAGACTTTACTCTTTTTGTTTCCGAAACAACTCTCATCAACTAGCACTATAGAAAGAAAAAAACAAGTATCTATGATTATCAAAGGAATTTATTGCAAATCACAGGGACATTCCGAGGTGAAAACCTTGCCATACGACAATGAGAGACAGAGACCTTCCGTATGTAAAAAAGGAATAAATAAATCAATCCAATTCCGGGAGGCTTCATGAAGTGCTTCTTTAAGAGTCATTTCACTGAATATTGATAAAATACATTATTGATTGAATAAACCCAGTATTTTTTTCTATTTCATCCTTATTCATTCTTCCATCTACACTTTTTTGTTTGTATCTACGTAACTGAAACCATAGAATACAGGGTCATTACCACTAACAATAGTGACTGCAACCATTGCTTTCTCCTAAAAATGATCTACAAGCGACAAAAGTAAATTAGTCCCAGGAACTGCAAAACACAAGATGAATCTAAACTTATTCCAAAATGCTAATAGAATGAAATGGAATAGTTTTGTACCTATACGACATTCACATACACCCTTATGGAAAACACAATGAATCTGAGTAGTTATCTCTAAAAAAATAGCTGATAAACTCAGAAACAACAATATGAAACATCACAGAAAAAAAAAAATCATATCACCTCAAGTTCTAAATTATGCTTCCCTAATCATTTGTTTATTTTTCCCATTTTTGTTTCCATTGTTATAGCATCTGCTGCAAAAATTAAAATAAAGAGAAAACATTGCAAAATATTTAACAAGAAAGATTAACTCGAAAATATTATGAAACAAAGGATATACTAGTGTAATCCTAAAACGATGTTCAGAAGAAACAGATCAGTTTTTATTTTCTTTCATTTAATTCCAAATTTACCCAAAATAGGTAAGTGAAAAGATACCCATTATTCATAGAAAACCCCAACTGAACAAGAACAGAGAAAACCAATAGAAATAACAGGATGATGTTCATCAAAAGTAAATGAATTGGCTGTCACTAACTATCTCTTATTTCAAAACTACCCAGAAATAGAGTAGGCCGTTAACAAAATTTCAGAAATACTTCATTTAATGTTGAAAGTAAAATAAGTGATGACTAAATAAAATAAAATTTTTGATAAACTTCCACATCTTCTCAGAAACCACAGGGAAGAAAAAAGACAAGAAAATACGATAAAATATGGATAATCAAAAAACATTATACGAAAAAGAGAATAAAGCGACCGCAAAATCATAATCAGAGATTCAGGACCTTTTGTCCACATCATAATGACACGACCACATGAATGATTAATGCAAACCAAGACAAACCACCACTATTACTCCAAAATAACATCGTGTAGTTTTCAACAGAAAGATTTTTAGGCTCAAGTAAAAATAGTAAAACAAATTGAACAGAACACAACAAAACACGAATCCAACTCCAACAATTGTATATAACAGAACATAGGGATTCAATCCTTGTTAGAACTACATATTTTCTCTTCAACTAAAATCTATAAAATAGGAAGCTCAACCAAGAATAGAAACCATTTCGAAGAATAATGTTCCATACTAATTTAAAGAAAATATTCAAGCAAAACAATATTTTCACTCTTTTTACCCATTTTCTAAAATTGAGCAACAACCCCCCCCCCCCCCCCCCCAAAAAAAAATAAATAAATAAATTTGTTGCAGTGATTAAAAGGACGCGATAAAAGACTAGTCCACTGAGAGCGGTCAGTGTGTGTAAAATAATGCCGGAAATTAGATATAGAACAAGTGTATGATTATCCAATCTCCATGTCCCTTATCAAGTCTACCAAAACTAGTAATGGCTTTTTTAACCAAACAAAGCTTGACCAACCATGCATGACCAGGTAAAGACAGCACATTTAAACCAAAAACAAGAACAAATCAGCCACATCCATCACACAATCTATCTTTTTATTCCGCCCCAGCTTTAAGCCTTGAGAAAAAAGGAACAAAGCAATAATTTTTTTTCTAGGAGAAGGCGAAAACAAGAAATAGCAAACCAATAAGTACCCATATTACAAATCCTTACTCTCCTAATTCCAAGAATACACAAAAGAGAAAACATTGACAAAACAACAACAAATCAATCATACCCATATATCATTTCTCATTATACTTTAAACCAAACTAAAAATCAAACCAGATAATAGAAACTGAAAATGTTAAAACCCCAGATAAATTAATCGCCACATAAAATAACTCATTTTTTTTCAACAAACAACAAATAGATAGTGATACCTGCGATTCTGAAACCAGACTTTTATCTGTTTAGGCTCAATGTTAGAGAGAATAGCACATTCTCTAACAAGCTGTTGCCTCCTCAAAGAACTAGGTTTTGGGCATTCCAAGTACACTCTCTCTAAGGCCTCCACTTGTTCGGGTGTATATCTAACGTACTTACTCGCATCCATCTCTTTGTGCATCGAAAAGGCCATTAAAACACAACCCAACAAAGAAAGAAAATTACCCAAAACAAATACGAAAACAGACTGACTCAGAAAGAGTATGAGAGTGTTTAGAGCTTTGGGTTCACAGTTTCAACACTGAAATGGTGATTATTGCTATGTACAGGCAAGCTCTCCACCGAGAGAGCGAGCCTCCTCTCTCACTCATCAGACTTTCTCTCTCCTTCACAGTAGACGAGAGTGTGGAAGAGCTTGAACAGGGTGCTCTGGTCTTTATCTCAGACGCCAATCTCGAGAATTTCAGTCTAGAGAGAGAAAATTGAGAGAGAAACAAATCAACCCACAGAAAGAATAGAGGGCATGAGAGAGAACAAAACAAACACCCAATGCGCAAATGAAGGCCAGGTATCAAATACCTTCGTATGTTTTGATCTGAGAATCAAAATGTGTCTCTTTCTCTTTATATTTCCTCTCTCTACAAAATAAACCTGAATTGACTTAAATGGGAATGCAGAGGGTCTGTTTTTATTGAACCAGAGTGTGCCACAGGCGTTCTTAGACAACAAAAGGGGTAGCTGTTGGCTGTAGGTTTCTCTCTATCTCTTCCCTCTCTCTTTCTCTCTCTAGAAAAAAATATATACTCCGTATCCGTTCAAAGCACCGTTTTCTCTCTCTTATGATGTAATCATGTAATGTAGCAGAATGAGACGTATGGATGTCAATTTAAAAAAAAAAAAAAAAAAATTTGATGTATGGATGTGGATCATGCGGTGAAAAACTGAAACTGTGGGCATGTGACATTTTTGGGGTGCATATATATGAAAAAGAGCATGCAATGGGGAGGTGTGAATTAGAGATAAAATGATAAATTTTTGCTTTGCTGGATGCATATACTGTAATCATGTATGTGGGGTGTGTGTGTATATGTATGTATGTTTGTATGGGTTAATGTAATTTGAACGGGTTGACCCGGAGACAGATACCGGTATTATTGGTGTAGGCCCATTAGAAGGTTGGGATTTGAGGCCTCGAGGCTTGTATTAAGGACACCAGATACTGTTCCACAAACCCAGTGAGGAAGGAAGGAGGTGATGGGGTTTCTTGCAAAAAGAGGTTGGGCACAAATTTTGAGCAACAAAATTGAGTTTTTTTTTTTTTTTTTTGGGGCAATGGTCATGAGACTTCCTCTCGGTAAAACCAGAGAGAAGAAAAGAAAGAAATGATAGTATTAATTATGAAAAGGAAAGAAATAATAATACCAATTATTTATATTTATGTTTTCATAAATTATGAAAAAATGATAACATTCTCGTTTGGAAAAGTTATAAGAGGGAAAAGTAAAAAGGAAAAGAAAAGAACAACAATCAAATCACTATCATAATCTTTTATAATATGAGACTTGAGTGATATAACAACTTTTTTCTTTTAAACTAGTTTTGAAATTAAGAAAATATTACTTAATCACTATCATTTATCTCCAAAATCCTCCCCTTTTTGCAAGGATAGAATATGAGGTATTTGGAGGGATAGAAGGCCAAATTTTCCATTTTTTTTTTCTCAATCTAAGACAACCTAAACACTATACTTTCTTTTCTTTTTTATCCAAACGCTCCAAATCATTCAATCAAACATGAATGAAAAATGATAGACCAATCTACAACCATTCAATCAAACATTAATAAAAAATGATACATCAAATGTGTTGTGTGAATGGAGATGTGACCATATTAGCATCATGTGGTGAGATTCATGTCCCACTCACGTATTCTCTATTTAATGTTCTCTAAATTCAGAGAATGTCTCATTACTAATCATGAATATATTTATTTATCACTTTCTTATAGATATCACTTTCTTTCTTGTTATAGTTGGTTTCAGTTTGGATATCAGTGATGTCTCCGGATCCCCTCTTATGAAGGGGATTTTGTGTCTTGGCCATATATTGCACTATATACAATATTATAAAATAATATTGTAACGTAGTAATTACATATGCATTGTAAAATTATTATATAAACCACGTGAATTGTTGCACAAGTGATCACATGATGAAAGAGCACATCCGCAAATGATAGATAGCTTGATTCTATACACACAGAAAACATATCTAAACGTGCTGCTAATAAGGTTATTATGCAATGTTTTTCAAAACATGAAAAATCGTCAAACCACGCTCTAAAAGGTTGACATTTGGCGAAAAGGGGTTTCATATTTTGAAAGCATCCAAGGCATATAGTCGCTCCTCAAGCTCCAAAGTGCTCACTCCTGGAGCTTCAAAGCGCTCTCTCTTTCTCTGTGTTGTGTGAGTGATACACATACATACATACATACATACATATATATATATATATATATATATATATATATACATATAATATATACATACATACATACACACACACACACACACATATATATATATATATAATTGATGGAGGTTTAGGAGGAGTCAATGGATGGATACACGGATTCACTCGGTGTCTGCTTGTCCCCCTAGCCATATGATGATGGTGAAGCTCTTTCTATTCCTATAACTTCTCTTTATATACCTTTCCTTTTTGGAAGATGGTCACATAAAATATGGTCTTTGGGACACTATAGTCCCACCCTAGGGCAAAGTCCACTGAGGAAGTCCCTTTCCAGCCTTAGCCAGAGAGGTTTTTCATCTTTTGGCATGCACCAAAAGAAAGTTTTGACACTCCATATAAGGCCCACACTAGCATGTTTCTCACTCTAGAATTATGTGTCTTTGCTTTGCTTCCATTTTACATCTCCTCCTCCTCTGACCAGTTCTAGCTCTATGATATATCTATATTTATACATACAAAACCATATAAAAGGATCCAATAGGACACAAAAAGGTTTCATGGGTTGACTGCCACTGTGTAATTAATGGTATTAATCATATGAAGTATCTCCATGCAATATTCCCTTTCAACTTTTTTTCTTTTTTTTTCTTTTTTTTTTTCTTATTTAAGTTTATTAATGTAATTTTTGAACTCAATGTGTGTATTACATGCATGCACCTATCATGCATCACTTTCAAAATTCGAAGAGCTACTTTGATAAAATAAGAATATTATCTATCAATATTGTCAAGTATTTATCATTCTTATACTAGTTAATTAGTATATTATTTTGCAATACATTTTTTTCTTATAATTTTTCATTTTTTATCAAACACATTGTGTCCTCTACAGTCAATGCCTGACTCTGTTCCTAACTAACCACTTTCCTTATAATACAGTCAATTTATGCTGACTTTGACTTGAAAATTATTTTTCCTATTAGCACAGAAAACTTGTAACTATGATTCACAATTGCGGCATCATTCGCGATCACGGTGTAACGAATTCGGGTAAATATCGATATAAATCAACCGAACTGACTGATTTATAGATGTTCGTAACAATATTGGACCTTTGAAAAATGATTACGAACTGACCGATACGATGAACCATGTTTGTAACTCACAATACAATTAGAGCCAATATATGGTGGATTTCCTACTCTCTCACACACACTCTCCCTCTCCGTAATACATTGTATCCATCCTAGTATATATGTAGTTTCTTTTTACCCATACATGTTTTGTGTTTTTTTTTTTTTTCTTTCTTGGTAAGTCCTATATGCATGCATTTTGTTTTTTTTGTATATATGTATTTAGTTCAAATTTGGGTGGGAGGAGGTGTTGTTTGGATGTGATTTTGTCAAAGTCCTACTTTACCCGGTGGGTCAGAAGTAACATCTACTACAAGTGATAAGAATCTGACCTAAACAAGTCCAAGTCCTACTACATCAACCAACAACTCAATTTCCAGATAAGAGTTGAAAAGATCATGTAGGTCCTAAAGAGACAAGACCAAGCAACGTTAGAAATACATTGGCCAAAAGGGAAATGATTCAAGAGTAGAAAACTTTGGAAATAAGAGAGATATATATATATATATATAAACAAAAAAAAAAAAAAAAAAAAAAAAAGGTAATTGTGGTATGTTGAATTTTTGAGTAACCATACCCCTTTGGTGGGGAGATAATTGGGACATCATGTTGTTTGAATAAGACATTACTCAAATCATTGACAATGGTGAACAGTGAAAGCCACTCTTTTGACTACATTTCAGATACTCTCATGTTATTTTTCTAATGAATAAATTAATAGCAAGAAAAAGTAGCTCTTGTTATCATCATTTAGTGCTCTAGATTTCTCAGCTACAACCTCACAAATTAGCTATACATTTTTTAAGGCTATTTTTGGCAGGAATTGAAGCTTTAGATTTGAAATTGGAATTAGTCGAATTAGAGAAAAACAACTCATAAAATTGAACCAAAATTTTCTCTAATTCTACTGATTCTAATTTTAAGGCTCCAATTCCATATCGCTAAATAGAGCTTAATACAAATCTCAACTACATTATTATCATAGAACTATATTTTTAGAACAATATTACTCTAATCAATAATTTAAACCTACAACACTAGTGGACAGGCTTTTATCCCCTTAATATATTTTAAGTGATAAACATGAGTCTCCCTTAAAACATATATAGGGGTAGATAAGTCTTTCACTAGTGTTCCGGCCCAAATATCATTTTTCAAATTTTTATGGCCTGAGCTTAAAACGTGTTCTGGTAATATATCCCAAAGCTTGATCCTAAATCTTCTATGTTTTCAATCACAAATATTCAAAAAAATAACATTAAGTTACATACCAAAAAACAACAAACAAATAAAATATGAAAAGAGAGAAAAACAATGTACTGCGCAATTATATATTATGATATAAACAATACATACAACCTTACATTTATTTTTGAATGTAAATGGGAGAAAAAAATAATTTATATAGTACACCTATTGGTCAAGAGGCATCCACTCTAGTTCTAGATTTATTTCTCCAGATTCCACATTCTGGAGCTTAAGTGATACTGCCTGTTTCACCTTCCCATCAACAATGTTTACAGTGCTATCTTCCATGAGGGCGTTGTCGTATGATTTCAGCCATTTCCCGATCTGCATGTCTCCAAACATTTCGATGTCTCCAAATGCCATTGCAGAGGTAACAATCGGCTGGATATCAACCTCGGCTTCCCCCATTATGTCATCGGCTGAGAATGTGTCCCGATCAAAAACTTGCTGCATTATAAAAATCAAAATATCAGGCGAAATGTTGTGAATGCAATGATGGGGAAATAGTAGTGATGTGCAGTGAACACGAGGGGTAAGGTCCAGAATTGGATGTCATTCAAATTTTAACTAAAGAATAGAAATGAAGAAGAATTATTCTTATGAACATTCCTTGACCACAAAGCAACAAAGATGAAAATACAATAGTGATGTGCCGTAAAAAAAGAAACAACTTCTGAGAGAGAGAGAGACTGGAACATTAGAGGCTACACCTGGACTTGCTGGAGGCTGGTGCTCCTTGTCCAGGGCTTTAAAGAATTTAATTGAGTTCAACAGCTTTAGCTTCTCTGAACTTACGCTACTTGATTACATTTTTGTCCAAAAATTACTTCTTGGGTCCAAAATTGTGCTTGATTTGTATATTCACTTATTAAATATTATTACATAAGAAAATCAGATATATGCTAATAATCCAATCCGTAAACTGACCCGAGTTCTTTAATTATTTTCTTCTTCTTTTTTTCAAATTTTACTTCTCAGGTCCAGGTATGCACTTTATTTACTTCTCATTAATTACTTGAGAATATCCAGATAATACCAAGCCAAGTGCCAAGTAAACTTAGGTGCACAGAGGAACAATTGCAAAGCCCTCAGTGACCACTATCATGGGAATTACAGAGACCCTAATGCCCAGCTGTTGATCGGGCGTTACCTAGCAAGATTTTACTGCACAGATCAAGATGGAGCAGATTGTCTCATTATTCTGTCTCTTCTACTCTGAATAGATAAGGAGAGTCCTCACTCAAAGGAGTGAAGATATTAATCATGAGCACAATAAGATGCATCAAAACTCCTTGTTTTTCTACCTTTGGAGGAGAGTGCTGTTTTAGTGTTTTACGTGGATTTCTTTGCTGATTTTCTTTCGGAAGTCTAAGTAGCCAGAGGGTTTACTGTTCTTTCACTTTGCTTTTAAGGATACTCTTGTAGACATCACATGAATTCAGATTTTACCCAAGTGTGGAGAACAAAAAACAAAAAACTTTATTCCCAACATTTGACTGAAACTGAAACCAAAATTGTAGTCCGGAACAATATTTCTTCTCAAACACTCTTCAAACTTATTGATCATAACTCCAGCTGATCTAAAACCACCAAACTTCAGTCTTTTGTCTACATTACCCTTATCTAATACATTGAAAAGCAGGCTTAGTTTATGTTAAGTGAGTGCATCTTCTGTATTCCCTTTCCTTCCATCCTCTTGAAATAAAAAATTGTGATTAATAAGATAGTTTTGTCTTTCGGCACTGATTGTACAACATATAGATTTTTTATTCAATTGAAAATCAGATTAATAAGAGGAAAGAAATTTAGTGACTGTGCAGTACATGTCGATTCAGTGTCAGGTTTATTAAGGAGAGTTCAATGCTGAGCTGAGGTGGAATTCCAGCTATAGTGGTCAATAATGTGCATTATGGCTGCCTTGTCATAATATTCATGTTCTTCAAGTTGCAAAGCAAATGGAGCAAACACCAAAAATTTATAAAGAGAAGAATTTTAAAATAGCAAGATTAAGACAATAAAGCACCATAGTTATGGAGATAGAGCTTCAGAAAAATGAAAGAGAAAAATCATTTACAGCAATCAAGAGGAAAGGGAAAAGACAGGCTCACCAGTTTTAAGGGCCCAAAACGCTGAGGAACAGATAGCATGAGCTCCTCATTCCAAATGGGATTCAAGTTGCTTTTAATTACTCTCGACTGGACCTTCTAATAACACTAACAATTTGTTTCATATCAGAAAAGGATGATAAAGAACATTTAAAATATCATAAGTTTTTCATAATTAGATAATACAGAACAATAAAACAATAACAAGGTTTTTTATAATAAGATGATGAAGAACAATTAATATATATCTCGAGAAGATCTTGCTGCCAATGCTTCACAACTCAAACTTGAATAAGTAGCAACCATCATGGGTGTGTACTACCTGTCTATGTGGACCCGGTTTATGCCCTTAAGGTTCAACCAGAAGAGAAAAGGGTCGAAAAGGAGGAAACGGTAAGATTGACTGACCTGCTGCCCAAGAGTCAGGATAACATAAGGATCACTTGACAGCACATCTCTGATAGCTAGATTTGTTCCTTCTATTAATTTGACCTTCAATAATCCGATAAATTCCACCATACCTTCCTGTTATCAGTTGGAATTTCAGTGGGACAGAAGTAATTCATAGAACCACAAAAAGCCAGTGAAACACAGATTATGCAGATTATATTGTTATGACTACTAAACTACTATAACCCAATAAATGGATAGCATTTACAATGTCTTCCTACGAGACAGTTGTATCATAACAATCTGCTACGGCATCATCATACACATCTGATCCATATGCTAAGCATTCGTGGCTATATAGGTCATCAAACAAGTCTCTATACCATCCTCCAAAACAATGTGAACCTAAAAAATAATCCTTGGAGTACAGAACCAAAAGTGGAAAAAGACAAATAAAAGACTTTACCAAGCGTGATGAACTTGAACTTTGAAAACTATCGGTCTTTCTAGATAAACTTGATTGGAGTGAGCTCTTTCCGGCAACTGACAAGATTCGCAAGCTAGGTTTCAAAAATTCTTGAAGGTCATACTTAGACCTACATAAAAAAAGTGAAGAGACATAAGTAACGAATACAAAGGGGAAAGTGATCCGCACAATCTTCGCATCATAACAAATAATTTTTTTATGTGTGTTTCCATAAAAAAAAGTGAAGAGACATAAGTAACGAATACAAAGATCCTGTGACCTTTCAGTCCATGTGCTATATGGTGCCAACAATTCATGAATCCAAATTATTTTTCTGGCAAGAGAAATGGTATGGCTGAATAACTGATTGGAAGATTAAGTATTACAATAGGTGGTAGTTTGACCAATACAAATCTCACATCAATATACATCCACGTCATCACCCAACAAACAAGTGGTCAAAATCAAGTATGGGATGAAGAAACTGAGAATAATCCTGAAGCTTCAGAACCACAAGCATGATACAAGATACAGAGCTAAACACATTATTGTATTTTGACTAACCTAATGTATTTTAAACGCTCCTCATTACTAGAATCTGGACCAGGCTTTGAGAAGCCTTCAGGAATAAATGCCTCGTAAATTGCATTTGCCGAAGCATTTCCTCCTACGTCAACCATTGCTTCAATTTCATCCTCAGACCATTCATCTAACGTCACAGACAAAACCTGCATGGTTTAAACTCAGGTAATTGTAGAGACATAAGGTAGAGGTATGGAGGAGAAACCCGCAAACAGAAACAATTTAACATTTTGAGTCAATAAAAATATATTGCTGCCACCCATCCACAAAAAAATAAAAAGCTTAAAAAGAAAAAGAAAAAGACCATATCCCTGCTGACAATAAATTTAAACTTGCAAATAATCATGGCATATTGTAAAAAGTTTATGGCATGAGTTTGTGATTTATAAAATCTGAAATTGCCAGCTTTTGCTAGGGTAAGAATTGAGACCCATTCTTGGTTTTCTTGTTTGAAAGATGCTTACAATATAAAGGTTAATGATAAGTTCCTTGTAGTAAGAATAAGGAAAACATGTGCAGCTGTTCACTTACAAAGGTCTTATTCCATTCAACTTATGCATACTAAATGGTTTCAAGGAAACATAATACTTCTACGTGGTGGTATGGTCATATTTAACATAGACCCGGTGATGCACCAATTAAAAGAGGAAGAGTTTGTCTAGAAGGCAAGTGACAAAAGGGCCGACAAAAGCTTACGTGGGATGAAGTAATTAAAAATGACTTAAAAAACTTAAATTTAAAGGGGACATGGTGTATAATAGGAAAAAATGGAAAAGGAGAATTTATGTGGCCGAACCCATCCATTTGGGATAAAGACAAGGATGATCATGACAGTGATAAAACTTCAACCCGGTAAGGTCATCAGTAGGGGCGGAAGCACACAAAGTTACAACCCTGCTTTATGAGTCCCATTAACAGTGAGTTTGGGAAAAAAGTTAAAAGTCTCGGACATTCAAAAGAGGAGATCAAAAATTCAAGAGAGAGAGAGGTGCTCGGTACTTGAGTCGGAAGAATATGCCCAAAGTTAAAACTTCTGAGTTTGTCCTGCCTATCAGTTATGCAATGGTTGACCAGTGAACATTTCTGTGAAGCAGAAGCGTTTCTCCGTGGCACAATTAAGTTGTCCAATAAAAGCAATAGGTTAGGGAAAAAGTAATTAAGAACAAAAATAAATCAAATCTGCTTGGGGAAAATAGTTAAAAACGAATTATTTTAAACATCTTTTTTTTTTTTAGCCCCATGGTTTTCGCTTTTTACTGTTTAAGCTCAGTAAACACTTTACAGAATGCTACCAAATGCAGCACAAAACTTTATTTGAAAATATTCAACATTTTGTAGACAAACTTTTATGAGGATCATTTAGATTGTGATCATGTAACATGCATGTCTATTTAAATCTAGAATTCAGATCCTTCTGGCTCCATTTTTAGTATAAAAATTATTTTCAGCAAAAAGTATAATATGTGCTGCTCAACAATAAAAGAAGTTTTTAAACATAAATGGGAAATTTGAGGAAAAATGAAATATATTGGGAGATGATAATTCAAAAACTTCAGTCAAATAGCAAATTACATCTTTCCAGTATGAAAAAGTCATATAGTCTTAATTTTGTTGTACATAACCAACAGCCTACTATGCCTTCTCATCAAAAAATGAAGAGATAAAAGGATATAGGGGAAAAGTAGAATATCTGATGGAAGAACTCGGATATCCTTTTGAACAACTGTTCTAATAGGAAAACCTTATATTTTGAAATGAACTTATCAAGTTGATGAGACAATCTTAGAGCAATTACCTTTGAGATATGTGTGCCAAGGCTTCTGTGCGCACCAGAGCATTTTAAGCATATAAAAACTCCGATGTTTGCCGACCTGAACATGCAACATTATAACGTACTTTTTAAACAACCATAAAAGATATATATAATCAAAACATGCATTCTGCACACACCACTTGGTCTCAAATCCTTCTATCCAAAGTATAATCCAAAAAACACTATATAATTAGTTGGAGTTACTAATCCAGGGAAGACCAAGAAATATACAGGCAAACCTTCCTTCTCTATATATTATATTCTCAAGCACAAATAGTTTTGATTTAGACATGTTTGGTCAGTACGACTTATATCAGCATATTTCGTGGATCAAAACTAGAGTCCGTAATTTTGTTTTATTTTTTAGTTTAGCTACTATTTTAAAAGTTTGTTAGTGTCAAGTTAATAACTTTTGGTCAAGACAAATGAGATGCACCACAAATTCTTTTTGAATATTCACTCTCCATCAACGACGAAAATAAGAAATAAGGGCTTAATCCGGACCTTGATGCCTGTTTGTTATGAATGCAAACTCACGTCTCTCCTATTTTTTATGCTTTCAGTTCAATCATACATGTCCCTGATTTTATTTTATTTTTTTAAAAGGCTGTGGCCATGCATGTCTTTGATACATCAATAAAATGCTTTTTCCTTTTCCACCAAATATTTCTTAAGGGACTTTATTAGATGCTTTTCCAAGTCAATAAACCCCATAAGAACGTTCATCGTCATCCAAGCCTTTCCACATAACAAGAATAAAAGTTTTTTGGTACCTCATGGCAAAAAGCAAAACAAATTTTTTACTAGGATTTCTTCTGTGTCTTACTTTTTTGCTTGATCAATATCCACCAAGTATTACGGTATGACTCATAATCTGGAAATATTTCTTTAATTGTAAAGAAGCATTACAATTTTATTAATATAGTCCACCAAGCACAGTTATCATCCACAAACTTCCAAGCTTCCATTAGAATACAATGGAGCATAAAGCCTTCAGGCCCTTCACTAAGATTATACAACCCAAAGAGCTACAACTCCATTTAAGCAAAACCATTAGGAAAAACTCGGCCGTGGATGTATATGAGCCCATTGACTATTAAAAGCCTATTAACAGAAACACAAACAGAACAGAAAAATCTAAAGGCGTCAGGATGGTAGATCTTACGCCCATTTAGGGTTTGGAGCAGCACAATCAGCACAGACACGATTATCACTTTGAAGGAGTAAATCTTTTAATCTTCTTTCACCTGCATAATCACCATTCATGTTTTCAACTTTACTAAAAACAAGCTTCAAGTTATAGTATTGCAAGGAATGGAGAAGGGGTAGGAGGGCTATCATTCTAAGTAATTGAGAAAACCAAGTCAATTAGATCATTAATAACAATAAACACAAGTATTTTTGCCAAAATTTTATGGGTAAAAAAGGGCATATATCTTTCATGTGAAATTATATTCCATGTGATACACAAATAAAATGGCTATAAAGAAAAGAAGAAAAATAAGCAAAGGAGAAGAAATGTTTATTGTTCTCCGTGGTCCTTTATTCAAAAATCTCATTACACACAACATCAATATCAATGGCATGGAGTGAACTTTCTCAACTAGCAGAGTTCAGCAATCAACATTATAGATTAGAACCCTTCAATTGATTAAAGTACTAAACACCAGTTCAGGTTAAATTGCCAAACTGCCACTTAAAATACTAATTGATTACCACTATCAAAAAACAATTCAGCAGAACAAAGAAAGCACACCTGATGATGGCCTCCGAAGGGTGGATCGAGGATTACTCATATCACTGCTTTCACACCAAAATCACCCCCCAAAAAACCTGTCTTTAAGAACAATCTACACAAAATAACCCACCAAAAAAAAGATGAGAAATATAAAAGCCTTTCAACAAATCAATAACATAAAGCCAAAAGAAAATACAGGTGTTTCATAGTTTCAGAAAAATAAAATTGAGAAATGTCTCCAAATTAAAATTTAGAAAGAGATTCACAATTAATATTAAACTTAACCAAACAATGAGTAGAAAAGATTAGAATAATATAGAAGAATCAAGCTAGCTCATAAAGGGCTTAACAAACACTAGTGGACAGCAACAGGCAAAATAACAGCTTGAAGATATATAATAAAATTGATACAAAAATGAGCTGCTTCATGTAAGAGCTTTTGAATTATTCTCATGATTAACAAAAGCCCCAAATCAGTTAGATTCTGTCCCAAATTTCAAAGCAAACAGAAACTGCAATGATAGAGAAGAAAACTTAAAGATGTAGTTGAAATGAAACGAAGATCTACAGAAAGTGTTTGAATTCTCACCAGAACTCAGGAAATTGCACCGTCTTACTTCAATGTTCAAATCCAAAGACCAAGGAACAGATAGAGACAGAGAGAGAGAGGGAGAGAGAATTTAGATGATGAGAGAGAGATGAAGTTCAGATGATTTGCGTGGGCCGTTTTATTTGATTTGAACGAAAAGGAGTGAATTTACATGTTACAGTACTTTTTAAATTAATTATTGAAAAAAATAATATAACAACAATTTTATATATATATCGTCATGTTATCTTTTGATGCGGAGTAATTGATTATTAAATAAAATAATATTAACAACAATTTTATATTACAAAATTGGTCATAGAGTCTGTAATATTCGTTGGAATTGTCTCCCCATTTTTATTTTTATTTTTGTTTTTTTCCCATCACGATCGGATTTAGTCCATAGGACCATTCTATTCCAACTGTTACAAAGAAAAAATTACGCGTCAATTACTAGTCTACCAGAAAGGAAAATTTCCAAAAGAAACGTCAATTAATTTATCAAAAAATAAAAGGGGCATTAATGTAATTTTAATCAGCAAAATACTTTGAATAAGATGGGTGTGTGTGAAGAGACAAGAGAGAGTGTGCGTGTTCAGATGTCAATTGTTTTACCTAAAATATTTATAATATTTATTGGATAAATATATTTAATTTCATTAATAATAATTACACTATTCTTAATAGTAGCATGTAACTATTAAATTATGAAAACGTTTGTCATAGAAAAATGTTGTGTAGTTCAAAGGTCATACTAATCTAATTGTTTGATGTGAATGGGAATTGAACAATCCCAAAAATAATTAGTGTAACTGTTAGATTTCGTATGATAATTTTTTATTCTATTAAAAATTCAAACTCTCCATATTTTATTATTTGAACTAAAATTTTTGTGATAAAATAATTGTTTTGCCGACTTAAATAAGTTGAAATTATCATCAAGTTTTAAATTTAATGATCAATATAGAGTTCAATGAAAAACTAAGTTAATTAAGTAAAAGGTGATGCAACGATGATATATCAATGTGGTGCTTGCACAATTATTGTTGTGTTACTCTTTAAAATATATAGATAAAGTGGGAGAGATATTTAATTGATTATTAATGAAAAAGTCAAATTCAATACATTTCTGAAATTAATGGCCAGCTAAGCTGCTACGCGTGAGCTGTAAATGTATGTCGAAATACAGTCATTAAAAACAAAGCCTGCTTTAATTATTAACTTTGCAAACTACCTCTCATTTTACCTTTTGTGTTAACGTAAAATATTTTTTAAAAAATATTTTTTTATTACTTTTTGTTGTTTAATTGATTCAAAAACTTAAGTAAACTATAACAAAAATAATTTGCTCGTGAATTTTTGACAAGTCATTTTAAAAGTTTAGCCCGACACCCATCGACCTTAACCTCCCTGATATAGGGATACCCATTGACCTCAATCTCAAACTTATAATTTCATATAACTTTAATATGACTTTTAACTTTTTCTCTATCCACCATGCATAAGCCTCTCTTCAAACCACAAGTTTCTCTCTTCAATTCACACTTCACAACCTTCATGATTTAAAAATCTAAAAAGAAAATTTTAATCTCAATCTTTATCCTCTTCTATGAATTGTTCATTCAATCTAAATTTTTAATTTTTCTTTAGTTATAATCATATTGACTATAAATGGTAATATTATGATGAAGCTTTCATCTTGCATTTTGAAAGCCTTCAAATGCCATTGGAGCCGTATACTCACGTGCACACGTATATAATCCTTTTGATAATTATTTCGTGTGAAATAAATAAATTACATATGTTCGTCATGAAATATAAAGTATTTTAAGTAATTTGACACAAGGTGAATAAAAAATAAAATAACAGTAATAATTATAGTAAAACTTGCAAGTACTTCACAGGAAATTAAAAATAATAATAATAAAAAGATGAAAAATACGTAAGTAACGACCTTTTCTGTCATTGTAATAATATACATCGGTCTAGTTTGGTTCTCTTTCATATACGTGTCTTTATCTGGAAATGGTATATGGAGAAAGTCAATAAGATATAATGAGATTCACATATAATGTCGACACCTACTAGAAAGAAGTCTTGTTTTTTATCCAGTAGGTGCTTGTATCCTTTTAAGGGTCAATTTGGTAGAACGAAAATGAAAGGAAAAGGAAAAGAATGGTAATGGAAGGGGTAAAAAAAAAAAAAAACAAAAGGTGTTTAGTAGGAAATATTGGATGGAAAGGAAAAAATAAAAGAAGAAGGATTTGGATGGATAGAGTTGGCCATGAATAATAATAGCTTTTGTTATCCTCTAATCGATGGGAGGTAATAGAAAAAATGGTTAATTACAGTTATACTTCTTGAGGTTTACAAACCTTTAAGAAATGTAAAAAGACGAGATAGCCCTTCAATAAAATATTAACTTTTATCTAAAAATATTAAAATATTTAAATAACAAAATTACCATTGAACATTATTAACCATACGTTTCTCTCCAAAAACCCATAAATCTGCAACTGTCTCTCTACCATCCACTAAGCCATTATTAGTAAAACATAATTTTTCTTTTAGATCAAGTCTGTTTACATGCACACATAGATGTAAAACATGTTTGTATATATATATATATATAAATCATGTATTCATTCATTCTCTGATTGTAATTTGTTGAAGAAAAGTTCAGATTTGACACATTAATATCAATCGGCATGGGCACTACCTATCTTGATTTCTTCTAATTTTTTACTTACGAAATTTAAATATATAGATCCAATTCGTTAATTATATTTGGGGTTGGTTTTGTGTTCTTCAATTACTGTATTTCTATTTATTTTTAGTTCACAATTCTTATATGGTTCAGAATCCCGATATCCATATCGATGCTATTGAGTTCTATTCTTTAATATCAATCGCAGTAATAGGTTAAACCCTCCCTCTCTCATAATCATGACAGGGTAATTTTTTAAACCTAATTCTTAAATTTGCTAAATAATCCATTCATTTTGTTGTTGTTGGGTTGGGGTTAGATTTGAATTTGAAATAGGAAGGTCGTTGAGCTCTAGCCGGAGAGACGATGACCCACTGGTTGCATGTTCACTATGTCCTTCTTTATTTTTAGGTTTCAATCTGATGATGCCATCTTTTTTGTAACTTTCCTCTAGTTTTCATAGATTGAGCAACGAGGGTGAGGATGACAGTGAAGGGTGTTGGGTTGGTGGCAATTTTGGACTTGGTAGTGCTGGTGGCTAGTTATTGAGTGGTGGTGGTGCTAGTGCTTCCCTTTTTTCTTTCCCAACATTAACTCTAAAATCAGAATTAAAATAAATATTATATAATAACTTATTTAAGGTCATTGAAATGAATATTGATTTGTTCACAGGAGGATAATGGAAAAGGGAAAAAGAGAGAGGGGAGAGATAATGGAGAAGAGGTAATTGATCTTGGCGATGGTGGGGTAGAGGGAGATGGTGACCACAGGTGGATAGAGAGAAAGGCTACTTTGGTCCAATAAAGGTTAAAAAGGTAATTTAATTATTTAAAATGGTCAACTCATAAGTCAAAGGGCAACAATGTCAATTCACTATGGGCATATGATCATTGGGGTGTCTTTGTGAACTTTATCAAAACTGAGGGGGTGTGATTGTGCAAAATGGAGCTAACTTTCATTTAACTGTCAATAGAGCAAATCTCAAGGGGTGTGATTGTAATTAACCCTAGAAAGAAAGTAAAGGACGTCCAAATTTGTCTTTATTTTAAAAAAAAATAAAAATTTTATAAAAAATAGCATGACTGTAGATTCATTATATTACTTTTATTTTCTTTTTTTCCCCAAACATGATTACTATCATTTTATTTTTTTTCTTTTATTAATTAATCAAACAAGATAAGTTATTAACACTATCATCTCTTTTCCTTTTCTTTTTTTTTAATTAATGTTATCCTTCCTTTTCTTTTTTTACTGTACCAAACATACCTAAAAGTTGTGGTTTCAACTTTCAACTTGGGACTTTAATGCAGATATGCTCAAATTCTGTGGGACTGCATGGTTCAACATTTTGATAATAGCTTTTCTATTCCTTAGAATTGAAATTTTAAAAACTGTACAAATATTTGCTTAATTAATAATTTTTTGAAAATTATTCAATCTCAACTGTAAATCTTTTATAGTTATTTGAAATCTTTTTTTTCTTGAATTTTTTATAACAGTTTTTTGAAAACAATTTTCAAGGCAGTTCTCTGAAAATAAATACCTTTTTATAACTGAATTTTTATAAAACGGTTTTCAAAAAACTAAACCAAACAGAGTTTTCTTGTACAGTATGTTTTCAAAAAAACTGTTCTTTGAATTACAAACCAAAAAATATTTTTGTAAAGTTTTCTGTTTTCTCATAGTTACAAACCTAACAAATTACTTTATTTAGAGTTGCAACTTAACATAGGATTTTGGTATTCTAGGTCACCTCGTGTGTCTAAGGACTTGAGAAAATAATTAAATATTTTTATTTCACATCATTTTTAGTCTATGAAAAACGAGATTAAAGATATGGGATTTTGATTGTGCATTAGGTGTTAGGTATCCCATGACACCCATAAAAACACTGTTTGTTAATTTACTTTATATGTTGCATTTCAAAAAAAAAACAAATATATATATATATATATATATATATATAGCATTTAAAGATCCTTAAGATAACATTGACCTTGTCTCTCATGGGGTATAGTTAAGCTTTAGTTTCTATATCCGAACATGGGCGTGTAAGCAGATGAAGGATGATGTATGTTGGTGCGCTGCTTATGGGTGGCCATGGTGGTGAAGCATGGAGTTAATGGAAACTGATTGCTAAAAGCACTAACGATGAAAGTGGCTGCGGTTCACGGATGGTGATGGAAATATATGTTGTTTGATGTTGATGTGGGTGGGTTAAACTGTGTGTTGTGATTATTATTTTATTGACTCACAAAAAATTGGTCCATCTGCCTCAATTTCCTTTCATTTTCTATTATTATTATTATAACTAAAGATGAATCAGTATATGATTAAGCATTGTTCAATTACCCAAATCTGATGAGTAATGCTACTATAATGTCAGATTTGTTGGTGGCCTAATAATCCATTTTTTATACTAATGGGTTGTTCACTTGAGACAAAAATTTAATTATCTTTCACTTTTCAGGTTAAACCTTAATTTTGAGACAATTTTAAGGCTCCAAATTAATCTAGGTGATCGAGGTTTAATCTAGCATTCCGTCTCAAATCGTAATGAGGTTAAAAGCTTGAACACTGAACTCAGATTCGGTTCGTCATTATTTTGAAAGACTTAAGGTTTAATTCTGGTTGAATATATAGTTCAATATAAAAAATCACTCTCCTTATTATTCTTATATTCGAGCATGATTTAAGCTCATGTGTAAAACCTCTTGGACTAATTCATGAACCATTATAAACTTATACATATAAACAAGCAGAATCGATTCATTTACTAAATAAACTCACAAATTCAACTAATCAAATCCGAATTGTAGCCACTATATGATTCAATGAAATTGGAATAATCACACTGACTTGTTGAGCCCCAAATTATCCTTTGACCTCATGGTTAAATCACTAACCGTTATTGAATCTCCATCATAATTTTGCAGCATTTGCCAGAAGTTTTGAAAACTAGGTAGTTTTAAATCTTCATTCCCAGAAAGAAACTTTTATTTTTATTTTTTTTTTTTATTTTATATGATCATAATACATGTGTTGCATATTTTATTCTATATGATCATAATACATGAGTTGCATTCATCATTTAAAATCCTTCTTGAAAACCTAGAAGATTGTTCTAAATTTTCAACAGTTCTAATTTACACTTATATGGGTTGTGGGGGAGAAGGTATTGAGTGCACCGGCGCATCGACCGCCAATATAATATATATTGGTTGTGGGGGAGTGATGGTGAGTATTCAGAGGTGCTATAGAGTAAGCATATTGAAAAATTAAGTAGATAGAAATGAGACTAGAGTGGATATTAACAGAAGTCTAGAACAAATTTCTCAAAGTACACCAATGTTCTTAAGGCCAAGAACAACCCCAACCCCAATAATGTGACCTACAGACCCACATGCCAAGGTATCTGCAAGGGTGAAACCAGCAGGGTCACCAGTCTGGAGTCCTGAGTCATAAGCCTCAAGCTTCAACCCCGCCGTGGCCTTCCTGTTCGCCGACGGAGCCAAACCGAAACGTCCAGCAAACAGCATCAGGCTTGTAGAAGTCACCATTATCTGTCCCAAAACATAGACAATTTTACCATTAATCCATGCACAACAGTAATCTTATGTTTATGTTTGAAAGCAAAGTTACACAAGAATCATGGAACCCCCAATGGGTTAGAATCTCCTACATTGTGATTAGTTGAGATTAGTTTGACACGTGTTCGGAGGGATTAGTCTCACCCAAAAATAAAAATCACATTTGACATGTTTACCAGATTTGTGGGTGAGCCAATGTAGCCACAGCGAGCACCCAAAGCTCCGTTACCCTTCTGCTTCATCGATTGAACTGCAACCTGCTTAGTGGGAGAAATTGAAGCTTGCGAGGTTTAAAATCTTACACAGAGAGACTACTAATGTTGTAAACATTAAGATAAATCAAGGTAATTGTTCATGATCACTGAAGACTCTCTTCCAAATGGAAGTGTGAGTAAGAACAATAAATCAGATTAAATCTTTTCAAACCACATCCTAAGTTTTCTTATATGGGATGGCCGTAAGACTTTTATTTTTATTTTTTCACATATGGAAATTCTGTAAAAAGTGCAATACAGAATCATATGTCTATTGGGATTTTTATTTTATTTTTAATTTGCATATTTCTTGTGGGACCCACTAATGCAATGCTTCCAAACACAATATTAGCAATTCCGAATAAATTAGAATTATGTAGATTAGGAGAGTATAGATCACATAACTAGCTCAAAATATACTCTCCAGCAAAAATGAGGTTAGTTTCACCTTTCTTTTACTTTGAATTAAGAAAAGGTCATAATATCCTTCACAACAAAGGAATTGCTCTACAGAAAGGACTTGTATATTTCGTAAAAATTTAAAAATGCATGGAGTGTCAAATTCCCAAAAAAAAAAAAAAAAAAAGGGTACTTGGAGCAAGAGATATGGATTTTAAATCATTTAGGAGTAAATTGAGAACAAGGCCTATTTGTGCAAGACAACAAATTTTTGGTTGATCTAATTGAGGTTTGCATTAATTAAGCACTAAATCTACAGTTATAAATTTTGAATAAATATTAAATAAACAAGAAAAAAGGCCATATATAAATATATATATATATATATATATATGTATGTATCATATGACTAACTAGCTAGCCATTTTAGTTGAAGGAGGAAAAGCAGCACTGACCAAGCTTTTGACAGGAGAGACTGAGGATGGAGTGGATCTCAGCCCATTGAATTGTGGTAGAGAAATCATTACAGAGGTTGCCATTTTTGCTGAATTTTGAAAGACAGATCAAAGAAGGTGAGTGATAGATCTCTGTATCTCTGAATATGCCTATAATTTTAGGTTTCTTTTGATTTAACTTAAAAGGGTTATGAAACAATTTGGAATAAAGGCAGCTGTGTTTGACAGCCACATGAAATGTTTGTGGCTTCAGAATGTTGGTATTGGATACACTTAGATACTTCATGTTGACATGGCATTCTTTTATTTGCTATCCCAAATGGATAAGATTTGGGGATCTTGGAAATTTTGTTTTTGGTTGATGGAAATGTTTAGGTTGAGCAAGATGGTTTTGTCATCGTTCCAAACATGTTCATCTCAGTAAAATTGAAAGAGTAATTATTAGTAGTCGGTGGAATTACGTGGTCACGGCCTGAGCTATATAAAGTGAGAACGGATGTGTGAAAGTAATAAAATTATATTATAAATAGTGAGAATTTAAGTAAAAGTGTGTACAGAGTGTGAAAGCAAATACACGCGCGAAACGTGAAAACGACTTATATTGAGAAGAATTATGTGACTTACCAATCAAAAAATATTTTACATAAAGCATCATATTTTTTTAATTGGTCATCATTGAATCTCTTTCCTAATAATTTCTTGTTGATCCGTAAAGTTCATCATTAATGTGAATTTCATATTATGAAATTCAATCCATTTGTATTCTTTTATTTGTGAATTTTATTTACTTGTGAAATTTTAGTGAAAAACCGTTATTGAGGAGGATTTTGAATTTTTCTGGTCCAAAACTCTATTGTTCTCCCAAATGCTCGATAAGAGATGAATTAAATTCTCTCCACTACAGTGTATCGAGCTGCACTTCAGAATACAAATTTAACAGCACACAAAAGTGTAACAATTTTTTTTATAACTTGATTATCGGCTCTATCATATATGATTATGATAATACTAATTATTCATGTCAAGTTTGAACACGAACTAAGATTTAATCCAAACTTTCTTATTGAATTGCTCAAATATTCATGGTCATTAGGTTTAGAGTTGTCCAAAATGTCAAAGGATCAAAATGGTCTTATCTTAATTATAGAGTAGTGATCTCTTGCTCCCCATGGAGCAAGAAAATTCTTCCGCACTTTTTATAATAACCATTAGATTAAATCTAATGGTCACATTCTAAACCTACCTATACGTTTTCCTTTTAATACAAAACCACTATCATTATTTATAGTTTCCAAATTTAATATTTACCAATACAATTAATTATAACAATAAAAAGTAAGTACTAAAAAAATAAAAATAGAAATCTCTTCAACTTTTGAAATCACGTCTCACCAATACTAAAGTTGACATTGTCTGTTTGAGTGTGCAAAATAAATTAAAATTTACACTATTGACATACAAAACAATGAAACATCGACTAAAAAATAAAATTAAAAATTAAAAATAAAATCTCTATTTTTTTATCCACTTGATCAACTTAGTGTAATCTATGATTTACATAAACTTCACCCATAAAAAATTTAATAGATTATAATTTAAATTATTGTATACCTCCCCAAATACATGTTATTTAAAACTAGAAATTCAATCTATTTTTTTGTCACACAATATATTTTTTTCTAATTATACTATAATAACAAAAATTTATTGACGTAAGGATGAGATTCACGACAAAACATGCTATTATTATATGAAATTTCATATTTCCTTTGTAAATTAGTTGTTTTTTTTAGTATTTTCTTTAATACTGCTATTATTATACTATCATTATTTTTATTTTTTTAATACTTACCTTTTATTGTTATAATTAATTGTATTGGTAAATATTAAATTGAAAAGTAGAAATAATGATAGTGGTTTTATATTAAAAGGAAAATATTTAAGTGGGTTTGGAATATGACCATTAGATTTAATCTAATGGTCACTATAAAAAGTGCGGAAGATTTTTCTTGCTCCATGGGGAGCAAGAGATCAGTACTCCTTAATTATATATGTGCTCATGAGATCTTTTATTTTCTTATTTATTTATTTTTAATGGTAGGAAATTCATTTTCACCCATATAAGACTCAGGCATTGGTCCAGGGTAATTGTAATGATCTTATGGGTAAGTGTGTGTGGGTGGCACGTGAGTAAAATGAAGGTGAAACATTTATATGCTAGTACTATTTTCAAATGTTATGAGGGCCTTTTGTGAGTAAAATTTAAGAATAAAAATATAAAAAAGTCTCGACAGATAATATAATTATACTTTTTGCGGATATAAAATTAAGTCCAATATGAAGTTGTTATTAACAACACAAACCTCTATTTTCTGATCAAACCAATTACGCTAGGTCCATTATGAGGCCCAAACTCTAATAGCTGGAAAGTGGAATCTATATCAAGTCCATGAATCGAATATGAACAGTGTTGGGCCCAAATTCTTTATAAGAGCCAGTCTGTGATTTGAGTGACTTTATACTCCTTGTCACAACCATATGTATTTTACTCTTTCCGTTTCATGTTAATAGTCTATTTTTTTTTTTTACATGTTCCAAATTAATTATCTTATTTGAAAAGTCAAAATATTTTTTCATTATATTTCTATAGTCTTTTATCTTTTTAAAAAATTTCAAACTTTAAACTAAGGGAAAATTACATATAAATGGAGTCAAAGTTCCATATTTACTTAGAGAATGAGTCAAAGTTCCATATTTCTCTAAAATGGATTGCTGAGGTGGCACATGATTTTTTACTGTTTAGAAAATTGTGGTGCCTAAAATGCCCTTCCCTAACAAAAAAGTAGTACCTTCAGTTCAAAAAAGTAGTACCTTCGGAGAAAAAGTAGTACCTTCGCGGGTGTTTAAAAAACATGGTACCTGAACGCCAAAAAGTAGTACTTTCAGTTCAAAAAAGTAGTACCTTCGAAGAAAAAGTAGTACCTTCGCGGAAGGGTATTTTAGGCACCATAATTTCTAAACAGTAAAAAACAATGTACCACCTCAGCAATCCATTTTAGAGAAATATGGAACTTTGACTCAGCCTCTAAGTAAATATGGAACTTTGACTCCATTTATATGTAATTTTTCCTTAAACTAAAAAAAATAATTTAATATTTTAAAAAAAAAATAATGCATTAATTTATATGTCCTTAAAAATTTTAATTTCTAAACATGAACTTTAATTCAGGGAGAACTTTTGACAAGTTCAAGTTATGGGATGAAAGAGATGAGACAACACAAAAATAAGTATGCTCGGGCCTTGTTGAAAAACTAATCGCATGGTAGTATATACGGAGTAATATATATATATATATATATTCGGGTTTACCATTGATGATGGTAAACTAAAGCTGCAAAGGCGTGCCTGAACCAAAAACAGGTGCCTCGAATCTCATAAACTTAAATTCTGACATCTCATGCAGAAAAGCTTGAAATAGAAAGTAAGTAACGTCATTATAACATCTTTCTGATTTTACAACTGGGAAAGATCAAAGATATAGGTCGACTCCACCCAACTAAAAGGACAACATATATATCAATATAATATATATACACACATACATACACGGGGCCCACACCACTCGTTTCCAGGTTTGACCATTCAAAGTCTCTCTGTTCGTTGCTTACCTACTTATATTTTACAATTCTGCACAATCTAAATTTCCTGATACACCAAGTAATCTACCATATCCATACAACACTCGTTAATGAGTAATAATTTGACAGCTTGTTGAAATTGCAAATCATAATAAAATGCATTTTCTACCTCGAAAGTTATAAAATAAAAGGAGATTTAAATATTAAAAAGAACACTTCAACTATACAACAATGGCCGGTAAATAATCTTAGGTGCAACTTACCTGATCAAATTTCATTTTTCTTCTAAAAAAGGGAGAACTGGAAAGTTTGAATGGCCATACAAAATTAAACTGGTAAAAAAAGAAACATGGACATAAGCACGGACCTAGCATATGACCTGCCCCACTGAAATTTTATATATTTATTTTAGATCTCAATTTTTTTTGAATTTATGAAGATACCTCACTAAAATTACAATTCGCCCTAATGAATTTTTTTTTTTTTTACATTTTATACTTTAATTTTTTTAGAATTTATGAAGATACTCCACTAAAATTACAATTTGCCCTACTAAATTATTTTTTTTTGTATTTTATACTTTAAATTTTTAAAAATTTATAAATAATCCTCCATTGAAATTACAAAAATGAACCCACCATATAAGTTTGTCCCATAAATTAAAAGGCTATCTCCCTCACAAAATTTTCTAAGTCTGCCACTGCATGGACAGACAAGAAACATCCAATTCCTTAACATAAGACATGGAAAAGATTAAAGGGAGAGATAAAAAATAAAAAATAATAAAAAAAATAAAATTAGAGAAGGCAAAGGACAATTGCATTCACAGAGATTGTGATTCCTAACCCAACAATAAAGGAAGGAACATCTTTTGCTTAATCAACATTACAAAATGCTAACCCAAGTGCACATGTAGGAAGGTCTTTTTGTCCAACCATACACAAAATTCAAAACCTAATATCTTTTTCTTTTCTCTCTTTTTTCTTGCCACTGCTTAAAATAGAACCCCAAAAAACACCATTCAGCATTGTGGCTAGAAAAGCTCACCGTGAATCAACTTCTCAAGTACAAAACCAGCAGAACCCCCACAAATTTCCACCCAATAAAACTCGGTTTATAGTGCGACAATGGAGTTGCGGATGATGCTTGGGACCTGATCATAGACATGTACCAAACAATTAAAAACAATATATAAAAATACACATTTGTTTCTGGAAATACATATATATATATATTTGGTGGGATTGAGTGTATATATATGTGCATGATCAACATACCCTGAAGAAGCATAGACACATTTATCATAACCTGTAATGGTAAATAATGAATTTGATTAGAAGACTAATTCACTAACAAGAGTTCAACAACCAATATGACAATTGAAGGAATGCACCTTTTTTATAATAAAAAAATTGTCAAAATACCACATTATTATATAAATTGTTCTCCTGATTATGGGTGTGAAATCAAAATCTGGTTCTAGCCAAGTTATGTTTCTACAGAAGTGGAACACCAATATGTTCTTCTGGAATACTCAACTAATCAAACAAAAGGGCAAACTTAGTGCACGAGGCTCCATTAATCAAATAACTGAGATAATTCTCGAGACATATTACACTTGTGGTTGCATCTAAAAGTGACAGTTTTGAAGGTGCTAGGGAACAACGTATAGGAAGATAAATTTCTAGCGGACATTAAAGTGGTCCTAGAGATATTAAGGCACAGCAAAAAAAAAAAAATTGGAGGGTAAAAATAATTGCTAAGAGTTGATACTTACTAGGGTTATTTTTAGTTAAAGTGGCAGTTCCACCAAAATTGCAAGCAATTTCAGAATTTCCATTCTGTTGGTAATAGTTGTTGAAGGCATAGGAGGCGTGGGACACAAGCGTGTCGGGATAAAAGCACGAGCCACCGGATCGAATAGGTTTGCAATCTGCCATACCAAGACCGCAGGCCCAGTCCAATGCATTCTGGAGATCAACCTGGGGGACACCGGCAAGGGCAACACACCAAGTTGTGCCATCAAGGAATGTGGTGTTGCCTTCCGGAGGCGATAGGGTTGTGACCGGAATGGTTGCCTCCGCCTTCTCTTGCACCATTGCCTCTGCTATAAAAGCTGATTATTTTTGTCAAACAAAATGCAAGGGCAGGGAAAAAAAACATTCATTAATAAAGCAATATAATGATTATTAACACATTAATATATGAAGTTCAATAATTTTGCAAAGCAATGTGATATGATGAATATCATATGAAGTTCAATAATTGAAGCACTCTGTTTTCGAATGTGTAACAGAAAATTGAAGCACTCTGTTTTTTATATAACAATGACGAAAACTAGGTGCATTGAGTGTCCTCTATCTCATAATTTATTCTAATATAGACAGAATCCCAACAATTACCCTATTGTGTGGATTGCTAATAGCATCTGGTGACCAAATATATATTTTTTTTATATGATGAATATCATTTACAACACCACTTTTGCTACTCAATACGTCAAAATTTACCCCATTGTATCTATTTTTGACTAAGTCATAAAACAATCTCGGGTTAGAACATGGATTATATAGTCTATTGGAGTAGCGGATACAATATTGTCCGTAGCAGGACTCAAACACTTAAACACAGGGCTCACACTTAAACGGAGCCTTTTGGAAGGAGAGATTGCACCTGAACTAATGCATATTGATTTGCTTTGATCTTGCCGTACACCTAACAAAGTGTGAGAGTGAAAAGTCAAATTTACTACCAATAGCACTAGGCTGGCTAAATAAGATAGTACTGTCTCTTCAAAATGAAGAGCCCAACTATCAAAAACAGGGTGCTTGAATTTTCTACTACCCTTTACTTATTGTCACTAGACTAGCCATCTTTCACTAGTCACAATGCCATCATCCTTATATTTCTAATTTTATTTTTCTCAAAATTTTCACAATCACACACAAAGTCCAAGATCTATACTCCATTTCTTAGCAAACAAAAACAGATTGACATACAAGATTTTTTTTTATAAAAAAATCAAAATATATTCTCAACGAAAGGAATAGACTTGAGGGCAAAGCATAGCTTGAACTGAATGAGCATGTTTATCCAAATTTTTACTAAACCAAACAAAAATACTATTACATGTATGAGAAATTAATAATATCTATTGCCTGCAACATGAAAAGGAAAGAACAACATTAAAGAAATATCACAAATCCATCAATATATGAGAAAATAAAACTATAATCTAGGAAAACAAAGAAAAGGGTTAGAAATTAGAAGAGATAGAAACATACCCACATAACATTCCATCATGATTAGACCCTGCAAAATCCATAACTTCTTTCTCATGGTGAATGGTTCTAACCCTTGTGCAGAAATCTTCGAAAGACACTTTCTCAAGTGAGAGACAATTAAAACACACACTATATATGTGTATGTGTGTGTGTGAGTCTAGATGTATCACCTTCTGCGTCTCTTGGAGTGAGAGGGACGTACAAGAATGAGACTTATAAATGCAAGAGTATATGAAGAATCGGACGTTTCTTGAGAGGAGATTATCTTCTTTTTGGTCATTTCTTTTTCTTTATGACCCTTTTTCCTATTTTAAGAGGAGATATATGAGGAAGCTTATAATAAAAGTATGGCGTATAATGCTGACAAGCTAAGGACTTGACAGACAGAGTCGCAGACTAAATCTATCGGTGAAGTTAATTAGAATTTCAAATCAAATCAATACCCTTCCTAACACAGAGTATACATATATATATATGTATGTATGTCTTTATACATATACTGTTAGTACATACTAATGAACCTTTCCGGAAGGTGGTAGATTCCGCTAATAAAGAATGTTCGGATTGTTCTTGAATGTTGTTTGTAAAAATGACATATTTTGTTTTTCACAATTGAGTTGGAGTATTCTACAAATTAGATCATTGAATAATATTTGAAAGATAAAAGTATTTAAACAATATTTTACAATACTTTACTTGCATGTACATCCGGTTATTTAATTAAATTATTAGACTCTTATATGATTTTTTTAACCTTTAAAAAAGAGGTGAAGAATTTCAAGTCTACAAATAACATTTGTAAGTGGATGTGAATTCTATTATTTAGAAGGGAGATAGGAAGAGAGAAGTTTTAAATTACATCACTATAATTATAAAAATAATTTAAAATTGTCTCTTCCAATCCATTAATTCGTCTCACTTTCAACTAAATTTTTCCTTCTTACCGAAAGCATATAGGATTTTTATTAGAAATAGGGTTTATTGCATAATATTTCCTCCAACTACTACTAAAGTTGCTAGAAACACCCCTTAACTATTAATTATTCCTAAAACCTCCTAAAGTATCACTATTTTTGTAGATTACCGCCTTCTGTTGAGTTTTTTTGTCTCAACAAATTTAACAATTAAAATAGTCATTAAACTATTAAGTGTCCTTTTGCAAAAATAAAAATACCTCTGAATATTTTGATAGTTAATTAATTGCATGTTGTTGGTTTTCTTGTTGCAAATTAAAATGGGTTATATGTTGTATTGTCACTTTTATAATTCACAATAATGTTAAAATTTGTTGCTGTAATTAATTTCTGTCCACAGTTTTCCACTAATTTTGTTGCAAATGTCGTTTTGGCCCCTATGAGGACATGTTTTGCCTCTCTTTCACCCCTCATGGACTAGTCCTCTCAGGACATTTAATAAACTGGGAAACATGTAGACAAGTTTAATAGCGCTATAAGATGAACAAGTTACTAATTGGAGAAGTTACAAGTTAGCTCACTGAAGATTGTTTATGAGATAGATGAATCAACCTCGACCAAAACTTGAAACTCGTTAACTAGTTGAATTTGACTTTAATTTAGCTTGATAATCCAATAACATCAAATAAAATTTAAATTAAAACCGTAGAAGGTGTAAATCATGGGATCGCAATGTTATATCATATTGGTACTTCTTCACCTTCCACAATAAAAAGTCTAGTGTTTAAGTACCATGAAGACAGAATGGATGTGTAAGTGTCTTGCCAATAAAAAATCTATATATATGTATATATATATATTTGAAGAAAAACCAAAAAGTTCAATTGTTAGAGCCAAACTCAATATTTATAATTTATTCAAAGCCCAAAATATATACCAAGTGCAAGTCTTACGGCTGTACTACTGACTTGTGAATTCTGACTCGGAGCAACAAAAATATGTAAGGGCAACTGTCATTGGCAGGCTGAAGCACAATGGGGACTTTAATAGGCTTCAAAACTGGGGCTAATCACAAACCACATTTGGACTGTTAATTTATCAATAGCCCATTCAAATAAAAGGCCCAATCTTCCATCAAAGTCCGACTGAAGCCTGTTGAAGATCCAGAATATATAAGAAATTCTCTTCTCATATTGATCATCATCGAACCTTTACACACTAATAACCTCAAAACAAAATCACAGATTTCCAAACACAATTAACTCAACAATTCAATTATTGCCTTGAGTAGGCTTGGAGTTGTTGTCTCTCACCCTCTCGGATCAAAATCCTCTACGGGAGAGCCAATCCCAGCCAGTGAGGAGAGTGTGGTCCTCATTGCACCGCGTGTTAAGTGGAAAAGACAAATTTTGGGTAACTAATTTTCACCGAGTACATGTATGCCTATACAAATCTTTTTATACAAAGCCTTTTATATATATTAATATATATATATATATATATATTCAGTTTGTCTTACACGTATAGGACCAAATTCCCTTTCTCTTCTCTTGTTACTGGACCAAAATCCTTTGACAATCGAAGCGACTAAAGGCAGATCAATGCACAGGGTCGATCTCCAGGATTTTGTTCCCGGTCTTGAAGCCAGATCAAACCTTGTGGGTTTGATTTCCACAAAAAATTGGCTTCTGAATGGTGTTAGGGTTTTTGTTTAGAGACAGAAAGTGCAACAACTCCCCCCTCTATCTCCTTCCTTCCTTTACCCCAACGTGTTTTCTGACGTTGTTTATGACTCTACTTCTCTCGTTCCGGATCCCTCCCACTTTCACTTCCATCAAGATCACCCAACTACTTTCAATTAGTAAAATATACGTATACAAGTATACAAAGCCTTTAACACAACAACTTAAACATAACTTGTTTCAACTTAAACGTAAGTTGTTTCAAACACGAATTATATATATGTGGCATCCCAACTTTCTTATAACATATACCATAAAAAGCCTTTAACATAACAATTTTAATGTAACTATTTCAAACACGAATTATATATAGCATCCCCACTTTCTCGTAATGTATCACATAAAGCTTTTAACATAATAAGTTAAACGTAACCTGTTTCAAACACGAATTATATATAACATCCTAACTTAACCTGTTTCAAACACGAATTATATATAACATCCTAACTTTCTTATAACACGTATCACATATTAAATTTATATGACTTGGATTAAAAAAAAAAAAAAAAAAAAAGGGTATGATCTCTATTGCTTAGTAAATCTAAGTCAATTGCTCAGTAATCATGCAATCAATTATACATTAATAATGAAAATCCCAAAATTTAGAACAATCAAACCATAGTAATCGAATTCGGGTTACATCAATGCCCTAAGAAGGGATTTAGCTACTCATGACGATGGAGGATATCATCTTGGTTAGTGTAGAACTCATCATCATGGACTGCATTTCTTTTCTGAGGATCTTTTTCTTTAAATCTTCGGAGGAACCTCCAAAAACCCTAAAAGCCACCACTAAATCTAAAATTATGCAAGAGTTGTAAGGCTTCCCTTTTGTGGCCTTTCACCTTCTTTTATAGAAGCAACTGACTTCTATCCTTTATTGGATGGGCTTTAGGTCTTCTGGGGTCATTTGGGCCCGACTGGGACTTAATTATAATTAATCCCGCACTTAAAAAATCTGCCTGAAGAGAAAATGCTCGAGCAGAGAATCTTGTGCTTGAGTTTTTTCTGCCTGTGCACGAGTTTTTTGGAAAAGGCCCGAGAAGTAATTCCATACTTTGCCAAATTCTTTCAATTTATTTCCGAAGCGTCTTTTTGTTCCACACTTAGAATATTTTAGGATTTTTCATCATGCTGCTCCAGCACCTTGGGTGGGATACTTGAGCAGAGAAACTTATGCTCGAGTTTTTTGGAAAAGGCTCGAGCATTTTGGTATTGGATTTCTGACGTAACTTTTCATCTTCATGGGTGGATTTATGCTTGAGCTTTTTGAGAAATGCTTGAGCTCTGGAAATTAGAATTTCTGAAGCATTTTTTCATCTTTTTAGGGGAGTTTGTGCTCAAGCTTTTTGGAAAAGGCTCGAGCTCTTTATTTTCTGCTCGAGTAGAGAACTCTGTGTTCGAGCATTTTTGCCTTAGTCACTTTTCTTACTTCATTCCATTTTGTGCTCGAGTAGAGATACTTGTGCTCGAGTTCTGGCACTTGAACTTATCCAGAATCCCCTGTTGGACTACAAGCTTGCTTCAGATGGTCTGGGACAACTCCATAAGCCTCATAAACAGTCTTTAAGTCTCCAGAATCATGATTTTGTCATTTTCTTCTGGAAATTACCTACAAAAGACAAACATACTAAAATCAGCCTAAAACTGGATAGAAGTATCACTTAAGGTCTTAATATACGCACGTTTAAGGGCTCAAATATACAATATTCAGCGCTTATCACCATCTAGAAGCTCATTAGCTACTTCGATGAGTTACACATAGTGCACGCTCCTCAAACAGTAAATCGACACCCTGATGCCTTGGCAATGCTCGCCTCGAAGGTTGATATCTCAGGAAACTTGTGATACCCCCGAAAATTTAAAAGACGAACAAGTCCTGCCTATACGAGGAAAGGTTCACTAGCCAAAAAGTCGGGGAAGATTGAAGAAATGCGTACGAGCAACAACTGACAGGCAAAAAGGGTGAGATGCCTATTGCTATCCTAATAAATTACTATTTACCTGGGATAACTCTACTTTAAGGCACCTAACGGTACCTTGGTGTTGATAATCGCGCCACGAGGGTTGTTCGAGTGGCGCCACCTCTGAAAGTAAGCACACCTAGCCAATACTTATTTGGTGTGCCCATTAAAGGGACTAAGTATCCTCGAGTTACTCGTCCCTCAACTGAACTCGCTGGCCGAGGAAGGGGTCACTACCTTTCCTCTCTTAAGGACGCGCCTTACTCCAGTCAGATGGGCCCCTCTTCTCTACTCTTCCGAGGTTGCTTCCTGATTGAGCGATCTCAAGCTTTCCTCTGTAAACTTCCCCTTCTGGCTAAAAGGACCTCAAGATGTAGAGTTAGGGTAGCCTCGCAAGGTCAAGAAGGCAGAACCTCGAATAAGGCAATCCAAGGTCAATACAAGGGGGAAAAAACATTCGGTATCCGACCTCAAGCTAAGAGTAATAAAGAGTGCATTAATTACGAAAGACGTTTGACAAGATCTGTATTAATCAAGGAACGCCATTACCCC